AGTTGAATATACGAATAATATTTGAATCGCCAAAGTATTCGAAGACATAAAAATTCGACAAGCACTTAAAACCATTAAAAATTGTATAAAATATATTAGAAAAGGTCACTGCATAGTTTCATGTGTACTATACTTGAATACATAATGTGTATTACCACGTGCACGTATGCTGCCGTCAGAAAAAGTTAAAAAAATATTAATTACGCGAAAGTTTTTAATACCAGCCTGAAATTACGCCGATATTACGCTTTAATTATAAAGAATCGACGAGAAGGAAAGAGGGTTTTTATCGTGCCCGATATTATCTTACAGGCTAAGTGAGATATAGCCCCACAAATAGGAAGATGCAAATTATTATACAAACTTTCCTCCGTCGGCTCTGTTCTACAAAAAATTAACATCCTTTCTTCTCGAAGAGAGACGACTGTATCATAAAGTAAGAGCTAAAATTTCGCTTAGCAACGAAACACGAAAGATGTTAAAAATATTTTAAAGTCGAAGTTTTACTAGCTACGAAAGAATAATAAATTACCGTGGCTTGACGAGCTATAACGAATTAATAAAACGACGTATATCACCATAATTAAACTTGCAGAGATAATTATATTTGTAAAAAATAATAAAATTGCATGCACAAGCAATAATTACAGTAACGATTGTATTATCGAAGCTCGAGGGGCTGCAAAAGGTGTGATCGAATTACGAAAATAAACGCACACCGGTGATTAAACGTACAATTCATAATTACAAACCTAATTATATCGTCGAAGCTTCGAAATAATAAAACGGAGCTCGGGAAAATGTATAAAAATAGAAACGAACGGAGGCAACGATTTAATTAAGCGACAGTGATAACTCGATACCGGGGCACACTTATTTCTGAGGGGGCTGCCACCCCATTCGTTCCTAGAGGTTCACCTCCTGCATTGTGGGTTAGGGGGGCACCTAGTACAGTTATTCTCAAAGGAACTCCCGCCGCACTCGGTCCTAGAACTTCGCCTCCTCAGTTTAGTGTTAGCAGGGCACCTAGCGCAGTGATTCTTGAGGAGGCTGCCACCCCATTCGTTTCTAGAGGTTCACCTCCTGCATTGTGGGTTAGGGGGGCACCTAGTGCAGTTATTCTCAAAGGGATTCCCGCGGCACTCGGTCCTAGAACTTCGTCTCCTCAGTTTAGTGTTAGCGGGGCACCTAGCGCAGTGATTCTTGAGGAGACTATCACCGCATTCGTTCCTAGAGGTTCGCCCCCTGCATTGTGGGTTAGGGGGGCACCTAGCGCAGTTATTCTCAAAGGAACTCCCGCCACACTCGGTCCTAGAACTTCGTCTCCTCAGTTTAGTGTTAGCGGGGCACCTAACGCAGTCATTTCTGAGGGGGCTGCCACCGCATTCGTTCCTAGAGGTTCGCCCTCCGCATTGTTAGGGGTCGAGTGATGTTTCTCTCCTCCCTGTGGTTCAACGCAAGGTTCTTTCTCGATTTTACCCCCCGAACAGCGAAACGCGACGGAAATCTAACACGATTCCGTGGGATTCGAGGAACGATTTCGCTCCCTTCGCGTCCTCGGGCAAACGCGCCGATAAATCTTGTTTCCGTCGCGCGAGGGATAAAAGCGCCGAGTCGTCGAACCGCAGTTCCATCCCACATGCACTTTCCTTTCCACGGTTCGTTTTATGAACTCGCGGTTTCATTTACCTCTTTGTTTTCAAGGGAGATTGATGATTGTAATTATCGAGAGATCGCGGCAGACGCTATATAATTACTAGGTTCTCGCTTGTGGGAGCTTCAGTTCTTTTCACTTGAGAAAAAGATATATAACTGTGCTATTATCTTATTCAATCCTCCCATTTATCACTGGGAAAATTAAAAATTAAATGTCCTTTTCCTTTGGTCTATCGAGCCGAAGAGCTCGGTTCGATAAATCGACTGCAATTTCTCGTCCATAGCAGGCTCATGAAACGAGGTTAACAAATGCTATCCTATGCTTAATATGATGGTATAAATTTGTATTACTCTAATAATCCAGCCACTGTCGCGATAAAAAATACGTTCCTTTAAATCGACTGAGGCCTCTCGGTCGTAGGAGGTACGCGAAACAACTGTTGCTCGCGACAGTATTGAAAATCAAATACAATATAAAGCGACGAGTTAATTAAACAGTCGTATAATTGGTGCAGCTCGAGACGCGTATCGCATTAGTTTGCATTTTATTGAATACGTGTCGCTTTCGCGGAAGCGTTATTTATTGTTAATTAAAACCGTCCTCGGACCCCGTGTTTGTTGAATACGCGATTCAGAGTAAATCCGGGATCAGGATCAAGATTAAGGAACAAGAGGCCGCGATAAAAGCGCGTGTTTATCGTCCGACATGCTCGTAGTACCAGGGTTATCCGTTCGAAACGCAACCCTAAATTTAGGGGTTGAAACGGTGCAAATTTTAAATTTAATATCACGCCGCTATTTTAAGCTAATTATCGATCGCGTCGAACTTAACCGGGCTAAACTTCGACTGAGAACTTTCCGTTTATTCCTCTCACCCCTATTCTTCGTTAAATTTCGTTCAAGCTGCTAGGTAATGGAGAAGTCTTTTTTTTTAACTTTCAAGTTTCGTGACTGGAACCTGTTGGCGAAGAAATATTTTTGGACAATGCATTATTCATATAAATAAACCCCAAAGCCTTTAAGTAACTCTAAAATCTTCCAATTTTAGTCATTTTTATAAAAATTGTTTCTATTAATTTCGTATGGCATAATTATTTTTGTAGCTTTTTTCATGAATATATTATTACCAGACGATGTAATTCAAGCATAGGGAAATAAATTGAGAAGTTAATACTTTGAATTATTTTATCATATAGTAAATTTTTTATAACATTAATTTTATATTTTTATATTTTTATGTTTAATTTAGGAATATTATATGTAATGTAATTAAAAGTTACTTAATTATAGTACTGCTTCGGTTAAAAAGAATGTTACGCTGTGAGTAAGTAGAAAGTCTGACTAAAATGTCTGACCCAATATGGACCTCGACTACTAGAATTTGTTCTTTCCTTCTGCTCAATATAAAATCTTATTTTAAAATATTTCTTAAGCCTGAACAAATCTATGTGTACTGCCTTCACGAAGAAAATTAATAAAAATTATTTATTATAACAATAATAAAATACCCATATAATATTAACATATGGATGAATATTAGTCGACGTTTGAACTTTTAGGGAATCTTAAAGAATCTAAATAAATTTTTTTATTATATAAATAGATGTGTACACCTGTAATAAATATAAATAAGAACGTAAGTGCCTACTAGTGATATTCGAAAAGTGTCCCTCGGAGAGTTTTCGTATAAAACGAGTTTTATCGCGGTCGGCGTTTTCTAAAATTGTATAACGATAAAAGTTGCGAAAAACGATAACCGCATCGGAGGATATGCAATGTAAATTTTGTTTAGCTGTGCATGCAAATGTCTGCGTTACTTGGAAATCCACTTTAGACTCTGCTTGGGGCCGTTTATCCTCCATTGAATTCAATACAAGTGGGACAATTTTCCCAACTCTTTCGCCATTCTACGTTACATGTCCAATGCAACCATCTACAACTGCTCTAAAAAAAAAGTACATCTACAACTTCGAGATTTTATACCCACTTTAAAAACTTTCACTTTAAAGCGGTTCGTTTAAAACTTCTATTTGAAATTATTCAATGAGTGTAAACATTCTTTTTTACAGTCCCGCATTTTGAAATTGCTAGCTCAAAGTTTCTATTTTCGTGGCGCTTGTTGTATAATGCAAGGATACTTTTCACGAGGAAAAATTCCGAAATTTCAGTAAACGCGAAAAGATTTATCCTGAAAATTTAAAACTCACAATCAAATTTCCGGAATTTTGAAAATCCATTTTATCAACCGTTTATGAGATTTAGCGGGAAATGCTATTCCCCGGGTATAAGAAAAATAAAATATGGACGATGGCAAAGAGCTTTTAAATGGGTCAACAAGAACGTGTTTGGATTTTTGCAACAGTCCGTGAAATGGAATCCAGTGAAAATCGCTTTACATAAGAAGCCAGTAAGGTAGAAAAGTGCAGGAAGCTTTGAAAGCTTTTGGAATAAAACTTTCAAAAGTCCAAATCCAAATTTATACAGTTAGAATCGAAAAACTTTTTCCACGACAAATATTTTGACAGGCTATAAGTATATTTTGCTTTATCAAATTTTCAATATTATTGCACCAGAATCTCAAAAACAAAAAGCATTCGAGTAAGTTAAATTACAAATAAAAAGAATCAGTAAGGTACAAATTCATTTATTATTTTCCTCATTATTTATACATTCTTTAATATATTTTATATGACCTCATAAGAGAACAAATATATCGAGTCAATAAACGAAACAGATGCACCAATGGAAGTGCAATTCTAGTAAAATTTACGTTCGCCTTATCTCGGTGCTCGGACCACACAATTTGTTCGAATACGAGACCCGAAATAAGGCAGTTCCTGTTATTTATCGACGTCCGTGATTTCTGGCCGTGTGTGTGGGTGTAGCGTTCACCAAAACACTTTCGTTTCCGGTGCAATCGGGGAACGGAATCACCGTTTTACGCGAATCGATACAGTCGCGGGATAAACCAGAGAGAGAAATTGTTGGATCACGTTCGCGAACGAAACTGTTTGGGAAACCGCTGTCGCGTATCGTTTTGCTATCTGCCGCTTAATTACGGGTGTCCAGATAGCTAGATTCGAATTTCACGTTCAACTGTCACGAGGGAAAAGAGAATGCTACGAATATAATTTGTGCTGCCACGGAACTCCCGGTCGGAGATCTATTTTTCCACTTTTAATTGCGTCAATCTTCCTCTCATACGCCCGCGGGGCTCACCTGAAGGGATGGGAGTGGGGGTAACCAAACAGCGTGGTGGGAGGTACCTACTGTCCGTGACCTTGGTGGCCTATTAATTCGAGTTACATAAATTAATTTCTACAATTAAATAAAGTCAATATTTATTTCATGCACTTCCCGTTTATACAACTCTTTGGGCAGAAAAATATTATTACTGTTACTATATACAATACGTTAATCTTAAAGTTACTGTTATCGTGACTATCATAATTATCATTGCTGTGCGTGAATCGAGCTTCACCTCAATATCGTAAACGTTGCTTATAATTGTCTAACATCGCTTGAAAATTCGATCGATCGGAATAATAGTAATTACACAATTAAATAACAACTTTTGCTTGTTACGTCTTCCTGCAAACGAAGCATAGCTATTCAACGAATATCTTGAAAGATTACATCATTCTACAGTTATCAGAGTATGGTGGGGATGAACAGCCAACGACCTCGAGCGGCCAATACATTAGGCTCGAACCAGTAAGGGCCTGCTTCAAAGTGCTCTATTCGCGAATTAATTGTAAAGAATATATTGAACCTATCGATTTCAAATTTCGTACACACGTTTATGTACACGTAATGTACTCCTGTGAATTTTTTCAAACATCAATGATTATTCATTCTCGAGTTATGTGCTACTATATCGAAAAGGAAAACGTTTGCAACCTCTTCTCTTTCCCTCGGATTCGCCATTGAACTTTCAAGACTTTCGATGGTTTTCATTCTTAATGACCAATCTCTGACGAGTGTTCCTCGATAATTACGAAGAAAACACCGCTTTCGTCTCGTCGGTGTCGCTGGGTCTGGCTAGAGTGAAGTCCAGGACCTCGTCTGACGTCAGGAACCGGACGTCGCTGTCCTCGGAGAGCGCGGATCCGTTCGTGCTGCGTTTGTAAGTTTTTCTTCGTCTCAGGATGATGATCGTGGCCATCAGCGTGATCGATGCTCCTGTCAGGGTCCCGACCACCACCCCGATAATTCCTGGCAGATTGAATTTCGCTGAGCCGCGATGCACTTTTTCCGGATCTTGTCGACTCACACTCGGATCAGCTAGAGAAAAACGCAAACCCTTTTTGTTAACACGTGTGTTTTACCCTCTGTGCGCTCTAATTCAACAGAAATCTCAGACCGTTAGATATTGGAAGCTTTGGAAGGATACTTTTAAGTTAGATTTGGTTAGCCAGCCTGTTTAAACTTTTAAAACAGGTTAAACAATAGGACTATTGCTAGGAATTACAATAAAAAAAACAGTTATTCCCCTTACTACCAACGCCAGTAGTTCACTGTTACTCTGCTGGTGGCGCTAGTAGTAGGGGGCAACCATTTTATGGTATATCGAGCACTGTACCCTAGTTTAATTTGATTAAAAGTAAATAAACAGCAGGGAATAGTCATAATAATTAATAGACACAGTCAGAAAAATGACTCAAAATCATTCCTAGTCTCTTAGTCAGCACCAGGGACTAACAATTTAGTTTTCCTCGCTTGGAGGGCACAGTACGGAGAATCAGGTCAATTTTCTCAGTGTCTACGTCTATTTTAACCTTCCTTATACCCCGGATTAGGAGCTAACAATTCGAACTCTGCCCTCACAGAGGCAGAAAATACAATTTGGCGTATTTCGCCGTGAATATTAGAATTGTTTTGATCTGTGATTGGTCCAGAACCTCGGAAGCTGAATGTCATATTCAGTGCCCGAGTGGCAGAGAACGATTTCATCGATTCCCTGGCACAATGGCCTAACTTTCAGCTTCGTCGAAATTTCGAGCGTCGACAGAACAAAACCGGACGATGAAACTTTGTCGTCAGAGGGGATTCGTGTTACCGGGTTGCTGTTCCGGTGTCTCGTATCTCTTGGTAGTCGTCTGCGCGAATGGCGTCCCCTTTGTTTGGACCGCTTTCGTAGTTGTCACGGTAGGCGTAGTTGGACGAGTTGTTTTAGACGTTTTCAGCCTAGTTACGTTAGTGACGGGGATGACCACGGTGGTAGCCGTCGATTGCTTCGCCGTAACGGGGTCGATCTCGTCCTTCGGAGTCGAGTGCGTAAACTTACCATCATTGGCTCTTGGCGTGACGGTCTCTATGTATTCTTGCGTTGTGTTCGTTATGGTCGTCGTGTTATGGACTATGGTTGTAGCTTCCGTGACCTCCGCAGTTCCGTATTCGGTGGAAGCTGGAGATTATAAGATCTATACTGGTTTTTCGGATGGAATTTATATATTCAGTTAGACTTAGACTTTTCTCTTGTTATAGCAACTTGTTTACATTTGTATTAAAAAATATTTACATATCTACAGTGGGTTGTAAACTAGTTATTCCCCGTAACAGCAGCGCCACCATAGGAGAAAAGATGAACGAACTACTATACCTGCGCAGGTATAGTAGCTGTGTTTCATCGTTTCTCCGTTGGAGGTGCTACTAGCAAAGGGACCAATATGGTTCATTATATTTGATCAGTGTACTTTTCTCGAGATGCCAGGAATATTATTGGAAACGGCTCGTTATATTTAAAACGGTGTCGATCTTAAATAAGAATAGAAAAATTAAAATAGACTCACCCAGTACGCAATACTCCGCGTAATCCGGGCAGCAAATGGAGTGTTCAGCACAGTCGAGGGTGCAGTAACAATCCTCGGTGGACGTTAAATTGTACATGAAAATATTTTTGCATCGTCCACGACAGGTCAGCTGTGCGTTCACCTGCTCGATTTGGTCTGAAAAACCATTGCATCCAACATAATTTTTAATATAGGACAAATTATATTCTAGATAAAAAAATGAAAAACAAATTTGAAATGGGTGCAAAAGACGACTGGAAGACACACTTTTGCATACGTATCGACCATCCTTCCGAATGAAAGCTATCTAGACCCCTGATTTAACCCCAATCATCATTTATTTATAATGCAATTATTTTCTCGCCGCTCGTAGTTTGCTCTGCCTCTGTTTCTATCGCACGACAGACGTACGACCATTGTCCGTTATGTAAACTTCTTAATTGGAAGATAACGAGGAAATGGACGAATTAACGCAGCCACCCTTAATATTGCGTTGCGAAAAATCTGATTGCGTAAACTAAGAGGGTTACCGTCGTCGCTCACGGTCACAGCCTGGTGTTCCGATTTGTTTCCATTTCCACACTTGTCGCCTTGTAAAATGGCCACGTCGTCGATCGCAATATCGCTCACGTAACTATTTCCCCGTACACCCTCAATTACGATCTAAAAAGAAGAACGAAATGAACATCGTAACGCGTCGATTGTTCGAATTACGGAGTCAGGGATTTTGTTCGAATGGAAATATACTGCAAGTCGACGCGAGATTAGGAGGAACATGAGTCGTCGTTTTACTGTATTCGAAATTGTTTTGAAAAATACAGACCCTCGAATTTGGCAATGTTCACACCGACCACCCCCACCCCCGCTTTGAAAAATACTGCTCTACTATTTATACTCTGTTTTTGGAACCCGCCAGCCTAAAAAAAAAAAAGAAAATTTCTAAAAGTATGGCTGTGTTATCCACGGTTTGTTGAAATTTGCCCCAAACTTTGAGAAACTCTGCTCTATGATCTGTATTCGTTATAGTGACTTTAGCGTTGAGTAGTGATCGACAATACGCCTTAGTTGAATGGTATCAGATGTATCGATAGTTGTGGTTGTTCGTTATAGTGTTGTTGTATCTTGAAAGTGGTCATTATAGTATATTGATCCCCTCTACCTGAAAACCTTTTTCTGCTTTGGGAAGATTGAAAGTACCGTGCAGCCATTGATTCCCTTGATTGCCCTCTTTGGTGAACATCAGACGAGGCGTATTGTCTTTCTCTGCCTTGAAATACACGTTCAGTATACCTATTGTGGCTCCATACATGTGGTACCTGAAATACCGTACGGAAATAATTGAAATCGTAGGCCTCGAATACTAATAATCAAAGAAATTAATTTAACAATATTTTTGGCGGGAAATACAAACGTCTAGACCCATAAATTTTGAACAATATTAAATATTAATGATAATATCGGTGGTTATGAACTTATTCATTTTACAATTTTCTTCTTCTCGCTAAATACACTTCGCGTGCTCGATGCGTTAAATTATACGTATTTATGTGATCATCGAGGACACGGCCACCCCTAATGAACTACCACCAGCCCGTAATTATGCCTCCTACGATATCAACTACCGTTGAAATGATCCTAAAGAGAGGCGTGCTTTGGTCGACGAACAGTGTTGAATTTTCATTAGTCTGCCATTTACAGATTTCCTTTTGTATGCGTGCATGTGTGTGTGTGTGTGTGAAAGCGACATTTGACGCTACCCAAGCTACAGCGACCAATCGTTCCCACTGTTACAGTGTTTCGAATAAAATTGAAAGCTACCTCTGGAGAAATGGGTAGTTTGTTTGGATTTAGAAAGAAATTCAATTACGGAATTACCAAAAGGAGAAACAGCCTGCTTCCGTGTACGACGCGTTATAGATAGGGGAGATGATTCTGGCCGTGTCGTTCACCAATCGACCAGAAGCCTCGATGTACAAATAGTAGCCTGAAAGAATGAAAATTAAACGAGTAACGATCGATGAATCAAAACTTTTCGTAGCACTCGAATAAAACATAATGTGTAAAGTAAATACCATCGTTCCCTTTTCCCAATGTGTGATCATGCGTGGGGCCTGTTCCGATGTGAGAACTCGGTGTCTCAAAATTGTGTCGTCGCCAATCAAAATCATGCTGCGGGTCTTGTTCCCACCAACACAGGTCTGGTTTCTCGAAATCGCACTGCGTTGGAGCCAACGCACTCGTGTCTAATTATTTTTAAATTATATTTTTCCATTATCAATCTAGCAAGTTCTGGGAATCGAGCCACCATTTTGTATCCAAAATGATGTGTTCTGCGTTTGATTATCTTGAAAGCGTAATTTAGAAAAACGGAATTCACCTCGACAATATGGCGCCGTGCCGTTCCACTGCACCCCATCGCAATAAATTCGGGCCGGGCCAATCAATGCGTAACCAGGCTCGCAAAAATATATTAATATCGCGCCATTGTATTGCTGTTCCATTTGGGCGTGTTTAGGGGTTGGGAAGGCAGGACAATCATCCTCTATTAATGAAATGAGGTCAGTAATAAATGTAAACATTCTCAGATTTGAAAAATAATGTAACAAAGTCAAGTATTTGAAAAGTATTTGAACAATCAAGTAGTCGAACAGTATTCGAATAACTCGAAATTTTTCGGCGAAAAAAAAAATTTCCTATCGTTCTGGAAAAATTATTTTCTGTTATGGGGGTCAATTACAATCATTTTTGGTCATTAGACATACCCGCGAAATCCGGCCCACTTTCGAGAAAAAAATTCGAATAGGGGTGAAATTTTTCGACAAAATTAAAAAATTTCAAATCGTTCTGAAAATATTATTTTTGGTTGCAGGGATGAATTACAATCATTTTTTATCAATAGACATACCCCCGAATTCCTACCCACTTTCCAGAAAAAAATTCGAATAGGGGTGAAGTTTTTCGACAAAATTAAAAAATTTCTAATCGTTCTAAAAAAATTATTTTTGGTTCCAGGGATGAATTACAATAATTTTTGGTCAATACACATACCCCCGAAATCCTACCCACTTTCCAGAAAAAAATTCGAATAGGGGTGAAATTTTTCGACAAAATTAAAAAATTTCAAATCGTTCTAAAAAAATTATTTTTGGTTGCAGGGATGAATTACAATCATTTTTTATCAATAGACATACCCCCGAATTCCTACCCACTTTCCAGAAAAAAATTCGAATAGGGGTGAAATTTTTCGACAAAATTAAAAAATTTCAAATCGTTCTGAAAAAATTATTTTTGGTTGCAGGGGTGAATTGCAATCATTTTTGGTCAATACACATACCCCTGAATTCCTACGCACTTTCGAGAAAAAAATTCATTATCGAACATATGTGTGGCCAAAAATGTTTTTCTCTTTTTTAATCGGAATTTTACTGAATATTCAAGCTACATTTGACGAATGTTTGAATACTAAAATGTTCAAATGTTCGAATATTGGAAAGAATTTGATAAATAATTACAGTTTTTCATTGGCAATAATGAAACTTCAAAAGCTCCAGTAAACTTGTGGCGACCGGAATCGGTAAACATTTTAATTGATATCCAGTGTAACAGTATTATCAAGCGTGATTAAGAAGCTATGCTTACTGACGCATACGGGCGTAGGTGTATCCCACTGGCCTCGAAAACAAGTGGAATATTTGCTCCCTACGAGAGTGAAACCCTCGTAACAACTAAATCTGATGATTCTTCCCTTGGCTCTTCCTCGAACTTTTCCATTCAGTAGCCTCACCACCGGACACCTGGCTTTAAATAAAAAATACAAATTAAAACATTCATATTATTCACTAGATTCGAATAATAGTTACACAAAAAATTGTCAAAACAAACTCCTGTGTTAGGTTTGCTCGATCGTTGTATGCCTGTTCTTTTATATTTTCCATACCCCCACTTGACCTTACAAATATATAATTTGCATCTATCTATATGGCTTTGTTTATGAAGCCGTTGCACATTAAAAAGTACCTCTAATTTAGTTCAAAGCAATTTAGTTCATTTCAATTCGATACAAGATATACGTAAGTCATCGGTCCATGCTAAATGTCCGGTCACTTTTGAATGGAAATAATCGAGTAACAATATTTTGCAGCAACAAGATCAATGTGATCTATCGTAGTGCAAAAGTAGATCGAAATCGAGTGCTGTTTCCTTTGCAAACGTCGCTTACACTGTATACTGTTGACGTACTGCGCGAAGAAGCCAAGAAGAAGAAGAATCAGCGCCGAAGGTATCTTCATCCTGAGACCGAGTCGGTTTCCAAGTCCAAGTTACGAGTTACGTGCACATAATTCGCGAACAACGTCCGGGTAGATCTTTGTTTAACGGCGATTTAAATTTTCGCGGGCACAGCACGAACGGCACTACCGAAGAACAGTGGAGAACCACAATGGCGGACGCCTCGATGAACGGAGGAAGTGACGGACGAAGGTGCAACCTACTGCGAGAAGAGTAAAAAGTGAAATCGACCGAGGATCGTTCCGCATCTATGAATGGAAACAGTGATCCCGCGTTTCGGGGTTATTCCGCTCCGAATGAAGGCGGGAACATCACTTCCGTCGACGCGCCGCGCGGCGATAGCCGTCTATCTGCTTCCTGTCACGGTTATCGTCGCCGAGCATTGCCAGGCCTTGAGGAGAATTCCTACAAATTGCATTTCGACGCGATGATAAAATGAATTCCGAGAGAGAGGAACGACGATAGACGACCACCAGGCGCCAGGATTCTTTTGTTCGGTCAGGCTTTTGGAGGTTATCTTCGATCATCCGCGGAACTGGTCTTCCTGGTGTGTCATGGAATCCCCTTTGGTCTCGAACGGGGACTAAATGTTGGTATTATGCCCGCAAAGGTATACCTACATCGATAATTACTAAAAATTGAAACAAATTCCGGTATTGTTTCGCTATTATTAGAAAATCCTCGGTCTGAGCCTTCAGGCTCTCATCCTCAAGTTTAGAGACCGATCTTCGTTTGTTTAAGTCCCACATCCCCTTTATTGCCAACTCTGTTGTCCCGTTTTAGAATAAAATGTTTCCAGCGTCAAGGGTGGTAATTATTTTTTCGGTACTTTATCGGTTGCGGTATGAAACCGATAACGTAATTACGATAAGAAAATAATACTAGTTCTAGGTCTCTACTTAAGACAAATCTATACAATTGTAATGAAATAAAGAAACCGAACGATTATCGGTAAATATAGGTAGATATATCGATGTTTTCGTACATACAGCGATGTAAAGTAAGTAAATATGTAAATCGTCGGCAAATCCTAGAACATAAACCGTTAACGGCGGCCATTTTTCCGAATAATGGCTCAAATATTAAAACTAAAAAATAATTTAATTCCGAAACAGAGTAGGTTACCAGGAATTAAAAACAGTTTGCAATAAAATATTACAATGTATTTTATTTATATTATAAAATGATAATTAACAACAATTCTCGAACGAATTGCAAGGTAATATGTACAAAAATGTATGGCATCCAGTCTTTGATAACAGAATAATTTTTTGTTAGAATGGCATATCTGGTAAAAGGTATTCTCTTTTGTGGCATTATATTAAGTATATTTCACTTCGTAGGAACTCTTAATAATCACTAAAATTCCATTTTGTTATTGTACAATGATTTCACGGTTAGCAAGAACTTATTGTGACTGTTATCTTTCTTGGAGTATGTGGACGCAGATTGAACGGTCTTTTCTTCGAAGTTCGTTAACATGTTCAATTCTCTCATGTTGCCCTTCTCGAACGACTCGATATCGGATTGCGTGGAGGTTTTGTCCAAAATGAACGTTTGTTTTATTCGATTCATAGCCTCCTCTGTAACCAAACAACTAGAATAAGTATTACAATTTAATCTTTGAAGAAAAATATAATTTTCTATTAAATTATTCCCAAAAAAATGTTTACGACGCGAGCCAGGGCCCAACTGATGACGAAAGAGGACAAGCTGGGGCGGAAATACGAAAATTCCCGCGGCCAGATAAGTCGAAACAAAATTAACGTGGCTCGTATCACGGAACGAGAGTAAAATAAAAAAAAGAGAGAATGAGCGTATCAATGAGCACGAAGTTTTAAAATTAGCACGAGCATACGACTCGTATGACGGTGTACAGTTCCGTTTATCATGGGGTACCGTAAATATCCCGGCTGCTGCCGAAGATATGAAAAATTAACGAAAGAGAAAACAAACAAAAATTGCCATCAAGGTCATTTAAAGGACATGAAACCTTTCAAGTACCAAAACTTTTATATTCTTTTATGCGTGCATAGACTTACGTTCATTTTCATGAAGTACAAAGTCATCGAAGGCACTTATGTTCCTCATGAACAAATGGAACGAATCCTCGATGTCCGACAAACGAATAACGAAATCTGGATCGCATATCGCCATGTGAGACAAAAATCTCACTCCGTCCCTCAATATCTTCCTCTGCCTCCTGTTCAGCGTCATTCTGGCGTTAGGGTCGGTGAATTGATCTCTGTAGACCTTTCTGATGCAGTGTTTGCTGCCAGTCGGACAACACGTGGAATGTTTGGCGCAAATGCTCTTCAAGTGGCAGACGTCTTTCTGCTCTAAAGGGAAACGGTCCAGATCGAAATCCCTGATAGCGCCGAGATTCGTTTCCGCGCACTTGCATAGCGTTTTTATCGTGAACCGCAGTAATTTCATGCAACAATTACAAGACTCCAAGGTCTCGGATCTCAGGGGAATAACGTCCGTTTGCAATATGTATTGCACGAACTGCAACATCGCGTCCGTGATGTCTATAGCGGCTATTATGTCGAACCAATGGTTCTCCACTTGGGCCAGAAATATTTGCAACGGACATGCGTCTGAAGCGAAAATAAAATGAAAGTCGATGCTCTTGGGCGTAAATGCGTGCAACAAAAATAAATATTTAATGTTTCTGATCGTTGGTACCTGGAGTGAAATGTAAAGACCCTTTCCAATTGTTCACAGCCATCGGTTCTATAAAAATCATAAACAATTCCGTTACATGTAATTCCATGGAGAGTATTGCAAATACAATAGTGAAGTTATGCCAAAGGTGCACAGCATTCCATTGTAATCATAAAACGTTAATAAGGTGTGAGGAGTTAAAAAAAATGAAAGAAAGTTAAATAAAAATGTTTATTAAATTCGCTAAAAGTTGAAAACATAAGACAGATGTTACGTACGTGAATTAACGCAAAGCTTTCGTAGATTTGTGGCAGATTTGGTGAAAATCATCATCATATTACTTAGCAACGCGTAGCAATAGGGCAGAGGCCTGGAGAACACTATCTCCTTAAAAATTTGATAAACATATTCCATTCTGGAACAATAAGTTACATAATAAAGTGAATTCTAAATTGCCAAATTGTTTGTTGATCTTCAAAGGGCACACTTGAGTAGTTTTTTGTGGAAAATCAAAACGCGATTTTGATCGCTCACGTGTGTGCTCTTTGAGACCAAACAAGAAAGCAAATAATACAAAATTCGTCTTTAAAGAGAAAACATTGTTCACGTACCCTTGGGAACAATATTCGACTTTTTTGTGCACGTTGCATATAACCATCATGATTGCACACATGAGACCACTAAACTGATAGGATCTTCTCTAAAAGCAATAAAATTTTGATGTCAACGAAGTCATCCAAATACGTGGAGGCTTGTACACGCTGCTCAAAATAATTAGAGAATCATTGAAACCAAACATACATAAGAAACGGCCATTGCTTCTGGCCATATCCCCTAAATGTTTAACGACAGGACGTTTTAGTCAAATAATTCACCAGCAGGAGAATTATTATTAGTTTAGTTTATTAGTCTATAGATACTGTGTGTTTACTTTTGGACTATGTCCTTCTATATGATTAATTTGCCTACATTTACGCAGTTAGTCATTCCGTGTTGTGATAGTAACGGATGTAAATATGACTTAAATAGAGCGATAAAACATATAGATTTCAATAGTTCAAGTAATTTCTAAAACACCCGTGTGTAATTGCAAAATGAACAAAAGTTAATTTATTCCAGGCAAATAAAATATTATCCGAATAAAATGTAAACCTATATGTACGTGTATAGTATATTTATCTACTTACCTATAAGGAATTCTTATTTACCACTTACCTTGCGATTCTCGTTCCAATTTGTTTTCAAAGAAAATTGAGTTTAAAGTTTATTTATTTATAAATAGGAGAGATCAAGTGCTCCTGTGATTCTCTAATTGTTCTGAGGAGCGTACTATTACCTACTTACCGTGGATCCGACTAAAACAACGAACTGCAAGATCATCTCTAACATCTCAAACCTCTGATTTTTCCCCGGCCACGTGTCGTATCGAACCATTTGGCGGGAATATGATTTATAGGATTCGTCCCTCTCGGTGAGTAACGACGTCTTTCCTGCCAAGTATTTGCTCAGGTACATTGATTCCAGGGTCACATACGACAGTACGCCAAAGACACGCCTAGTCTCGACCCCGCGTTCGCATTCGTGCCACGCGTTCGCGTCGCATGCAGACTTGCCATAGAAATCCGAACTCGAATACAAGTCAGAAAAGTAAATGTCGTTCATGTCGCGAATATCGTCGTTCCTCATGGCTTGGAAAATCGTCTTGAGGAGGACGATCACGTTCAGTATCAACTCCCTCGCGGTGGAAACTAACTGGAACGGTATTCATCCGTCAACCGCACACTTATTCGATAGAATGGTAAAGAACTTGTGGAAAATGAAGATACTCACTTTATTCATTATCGATATCGAATTTTCTGACTCGAGTTCCGAGTCCGTTTTTCGCTGGAGGGCGGCTATTTCCGGTAAAATAAATTCCACCGTTAATCTCTTGTCGTCCACCGTCGTGGTTACAGGTTTCACTAATTCTGGGTTTTCTGTAACAACGATCGCACGATTTTAGCTAAATTTTATACAAGGCGGTCCGCTAGAAACGAAACTTGATCATATATATATTCACCATATATTCTGAATGTATCTTCTTCTTGCAAAATCGGCAAATTTCTTCGCCCGGTTTTCTCTATCACTTGAATATTTACCACAGATTTCTCTGGCTGTGGTGTATCGTATATTAACTTGGAGATTTTAGCAAGAGGATAACCTGCAAGAAGGGTATACCCTTACTACGTTTATCGTCAAACATTGAAAAAAAATCTTCGAACCAACGTTTCTTTTAGCCTGCAATTTACTTACACGGATTCCAAGTTTTAAGGCAATAGAGGCTTTTATTATGCATGTTTGTTTGAACGCAAGTTTCCTTCACTTTTACCGGTCTTTTATTCGAAAGTAACGATCTGCGGATAGGAATAATGCAAATATATATGTAGAATCTCAACAACGGGAATGTATTTTGCTTAGGTGATTTTTCAGAAACTTACCGTTTCATCTGCGAACAGAACCTATTTTTATTCATAGAAACGTTCAAACTCGTAGCATGTGGTTCGGTTAATTTAATGGTTCCCCCTTCTAATAATTTACAACGTTCCATTAAATTTCCCACTTCGAACGTCTGTAAGAGAACAAAAATCAGAATTTGTTATGTTGCACCAAAGCTGAAAAAATCAACTTGAAAAATACTAACTTGCAATTCGAGTTGGGTCTTTAAATGCTCTTTTTCTTTACAAAGGGTATTCACTTCCGTTCTATGTCGATTTTCTTGCGCCTCGATAAAACGAGTTTTCTCCACTGTATCGAGCTCGGCGCGCATATTAGTCTGCTGCAATTGATTTCGTAAAAAAACAGTTTCTCCTTCTTTAGTTATAAAATCGTTTAACAATTTTTTATTCTCCTGTCTCAATTTCTCCAATTCCATCGCGTATTGTGGCTCTGTTTACAAATTATATATCGCGTTAATACGCGGAAAGTAGAACAAATTAAAACCATATCTTTTAGTATACCATCACATTACCTGGAACAATAAAATTTTCATCCAATTTAAATGTTGAATTATGTATTGGTCTATGTTTTAATTTCTCTTCAAAATCCTTGTAGTCGGCAGAAACTACATTACTTATATCATTCAAATTCTCTGCTTTGTTTTTCTGAGTATTGTATGGGTACATGTACACCGGAGGCCTTAATATATCACTTTTAGTACTATTTACATTAGAAACAGCTTTACTGGTAGATGGCACGCTATAAGATCTCCGCATACTTGATGATGTTCGCTCTACATGTGGTTGAGTCAAAGCACTGTTTTCCTAAAAAGAATACAAGCATTATAAATAACCAAGGCCAATGCAATAAATTCTAATTTGTACGGGTGAAACAGACACGTCCAAATTTGAGCTCCAAAACTATTTTTTAATAGCAACACCTGGAAAGAAAAGCTAATTAAACGAGCTTGGTTCACGGGCATGTCTGACACAAACAAACAATGTAAATAATACCTCTAAACAAGCTTGAGTAGCTACAAAATCCATTTCTTCTATATCCTCCTCCGCAAAATCATCACCCCACACGTCATCAGTTTTTCCCAACTTTTTATGTGTTGACTCTCTAGCTTTTGTGGAAGCAGATGCCAAAGTTCCTTTCTTTGTATCATACTTTGGTCGCTTGGCAGGTACATGGTACTCATTTCCTCCATTACTCTCTACTCTTTTAAACATGTTCAATTCCTTACACTATGCTGTGTGATGTACATAAATTAATTTAACGAGTCCTTATAAAATCTTGCGTATCGGGCAAAGTGCTGTTAGACTCTTCGATATTTACATAATTCAAGAGATTCACATTAATATAATACGTTTTCACTTGTCAATTCGGATAGAGATGACCACGAGCGTCCCATTTTAGGCCAACCTGCGGCAATTTGACGAATAATTACCGCGACGTGACATTTCGATCTTCCGAATACGAATTCATGCCTCGGTGAATGAGTTCTTTGCGATTACTGCTTCCAATCGATGACACAAGAATCATGCGAACATCCGATAGAAAATCAACGTCGTTGTTCCTCATGTTACGCGTGGATTTATTACGAAAGCTTGTCAACGCGATTGGCATGCAAAACATTCATTTCGAGTTGTATGACAGACCGTCGGCTGCTTTTAAAACGTTGCGTCTCGAGTTCGCGGTTTGGGGGAAAAAGGTGGTAGGTTGGTGCCAGTGGAGCGCTAGCATGGTGTGTAAAGGCTTGAAGTTCACGATAAATCAACCCGAGGATTAAATTATCGCTCATTAAAAATGTATAATTGCATTACGAAGATGAATTTTGATACGTGTAATCTAAATGCGATGAGTGCTACAAAATAAAAGGTATATCGCCAACTCCGCAATATTTGAACCTTGTAATAGGTTATCGACCAAATGCATGTAATACCGTTTTCAGTATTAATTCTGATACGCGTAATCAATGTTTTGAATGTTTTATTTAAATGACGTATACAAAAACATATCAAAATATAATAATACGTGTTTAATGAATAATAAATAATCTGTTAATTGCTTAATCTTTTATTAAATGTGAATAACAGAAGCTGGACATTGTAATTTTCCCCTCGCAGGATATCGTTTGGAATTAGATATGCACGAGCACATTGATTTTTGCTATCTACGAATATCCGCAACATTTTTCCAAATTTATAGACTCAGAGTCAACATGTTAAGAAACGTAACGCTAGTAAAAAGTACAAGTTACTAGTTACTTTTCGTCTAGTTTTCTAGTTTTAACAGACAAAGTAATTCTCAGCCGTATTCATTGACCGGTTAAACGTGCGATTATGTAATACGCATATACATGTTCTTGAAACTGAACTACGCACGTAATTTAACAAGATAATATGTCTTAACATTATTCGAAATTATGAATTGAAAAATCTAGTATATTGACACTTATCTTTTTCAAAATTACCATATCCACATGAATATTGTTGCTTAAAAACTATGTGTATATAGGAAAAATTATCGTAATTGTACGATATAGTTATCAGATAACGACATTCTTTTTCATTGAAATCATTCAGGAGTTATTTTTATTTGTTTTGTATTACATAAGCATAAAAAACACTTCAATAACAAGACTTCTTTGTCTTCCTTTGCTACAGAGGTTTTGCATATAATGAATATGCTAATAATTACTGGGACAGTATTTGTGAAAACTTGGTTGTATTATGTAATCAATTTATTCATTTATCATAGTATGTACTTTATTGAAGATTCAACATCATTGTACCAAAGAGTATAATTATACATAACATTTCTATCATGGAAAATCAGGAATGATATTCGTACTGATATCCGAACTGTAACAGTCATAATATCATAATTCTAGGAGAATTATATTTTGTTCAGTATTGTCTCAGAATACATGTATTTAGGCTTTTGTAATGCCAACGACGCCGCAAGCGAGGCGGGCACCCGCATTTCCTGTGGTTTTTGACAATTCATGGCCTCCCTTGCCAAGATCATCTGGGTCAGCATGAACCTGTTATCACATAAAATTAGTTAACATAATTCATTACACAATTTCACATCAAAATCATCGAGTAACTTCTTACCACCAGAGTTCTGCCAATTATATTGTTTGGTCCCTGAAGTTGGATCTGATTGTCGGTTATATTAACATTAGCCACACCATCTGTACTTGCCTCAATATTTCCCAAATCTCCAACATGACGTTCGGCTGAAGTTGGCCCACCATGTTCTTTTCCCGATGGATTGAAGTGTGGGCCAGCACTTGTGCAACCTGTTCATTTTTATAAATAAAATGATAACAGAGTGTACATAAAATTCTCTGCAATTTGTATGGTACCGATACAATGAATTATTGCCGGCAATATTGATAAAAACATATCACAAATCAGTTTTTAAGAGTTTTTAAGAAGTTTGTTATTCACAAAATTAAACAATTATTTACGCGAAATAAAGTTTTAAATACGTAATAATCGTTAATAAAGAAATAAAACCAATCGTATCATGCACAAAAGAATACAAATTATTCGAGCCGCAAATTTTGCTATCTCATCAAACTTAAATAATTAGCATGTCATTATCCATTGACCTCTAAATTCACCTCTCAAAGTGTCATCGAAATGATCGACCCATTCAAATTTTTAACCTAAACTGCAGTTGATCGTTATATTCCGAAACATTAGTAACAATTACTTGAATACGTTCTAACATTGACACGTACCATTAGTGTTATCGCCGAATTCGTGAATATGAAAACCATGCAATCCTTTTTGTAAGCCGGATACCTGACCAGTGACCTTCACCGCACCTGAACCATCCTATTTAATAGATTTTATTTTATAATATAGAAGTAATTAATCGTGACACAGAATTATGTCGAAGATTCTCGAATAGCTTACCGTTTGTTCGAAGTGAAGGGTGCCTTTGGCATCACCCTGAAGAACGCACACGGCTTTGACCATTTTCAGAAGTTTCTTGACTGATCGGGGCAACAATCGCAGCTAGAATGAAGCTCTTCTGCACCAGTTACCGGCAAGTTATAAGGTGTAATTATCGTTTTGCTGAATCAGCGACGCAAACAAGGTCGTCGTATCGTTTAAAATGTGGTTGAACAGATAAAGCAGTGACCTCGCCGTTAAGAATAAATGGCGTATTGCTTGAAACCGTGGTCAATTGAACATCGATGCGCGAAAGTCAAGGTCAAGTGCAGAAATCATAGAGAATTTCATGAAAAGAGCGATTAAATGATTTGGTTTATACGTTGTGCCCAAGATGGCGTATCAATTACTTTTCATAAATTAACGCCGGGAATATCTAATAAATTATTTACCCTAGAAAGATCGAGTTATGGTGCACTTCCATTGAAGATCAAGGGAGATTTACAGAGCCCATTCGTGTTTCCCACATTTTCGATCAAAAACCGATCTTTAAGCACAAGTATCTTAAGAGTAATTGTAATTTTGTATGTTGAGAAACAAACAATACATAAAACGGTATAGTAATCATTTTTTAGTAAATTTTGCTTTATTAATACGTAGACTGCCATGATGGTCACTGGCAATCGCCACTTCAAACTTGACGACGTGTTGCAAAATTCTTTAAAACAAAAGAATCCTAATATTTGTGGAATTGTATACGCTACTGTTAATAGAAATGCTGTAAAACAATAGGTACGTTGTAGAATTATTGAATATTTGTATTCTTTACGCTGCAATTTGAACAAACGTCGAAGATATGGAAAACTGGCATAGGTCAGTCTGTCAAAGTCTTACAGATTGTTAAAGAAACTTTTGTATCTTGTAAAACATGATAAAATGTATCAGTTTCGTGCGTCATGTTGTTTTTGTTTTAAACAAGATATTTATTATACGTATATAGAGTTCGAGAGTGAAGACAAATTATTTGCGTATATAACCATCTTTATCGTATTTTAATGTAGATATCTCTATTTGAATCAATCATCAGCGGTTCCAAAATAAGACAAATATTATAATATTAATTTTCGCGCGAAATGTTTCATATGCCCTACTGAAATGTTCGATTATCGAAATTATTTTTAGTATCGATATACATCGAATTTCCAATGACACAGTGACAGTATTCGAGTTCAGTGCGAATAGTTTGTTAACGAATTGAGAGTGGTTTGTTTATTTGACGTTAAACGGTTAATTGAATAATAAAAAGAAAAATGCCACGTGGCGTACAACACAGATCGGTAACACCTGCGATACAAGTATTGCGAAATGTTTTGAGAGGTGTAAGTAAATAATTGTTTTTTTCTATTTAGAGCCCTGGTCATTTTTTTTTAGAAATTACGTAACTTTTTGTTGTTTCATTATTTTAGTCCGAATAATTTGACATAATTTTGAATAACAATGAATATGCTTGAAAGTAAAAATGATATAAATGTTGACTATGCAAGAAAGGGAGTAGCATAGATTAATCTAAAAAATATGCAATCATTGCAGAGATCGGTTGTAGAATCATTAAGGCATAGTGATACAATTGCTGCACGTACACAACCAGATCCTCTTGTACCTGGTGGGCCAAATCATAAACTTTCCAAAGTTTATTATTATTCGCGTGATGCCAGGCGTCTTGTTGCACCACCTGAGGAGTTATTTTCGTGCCAGCGACAAATTGAACATGGGTGATTATTTTTCTAATTCATCACATGTGTAAAATTTAAGTGGATTATAAAAAGAATATCATTTTAATGCAGTGTTCGTTCGAAAACATACAGTCAAAATATCATAAAAACAATGCATTTTCAAGAGAAGTATACCATATAGAATTTCTTAGTTTGGAAGGGGAAATATAACTATCTTATTTTTTGTTTATTTGTTAAGTTTTTTAAGTTTTTTAAAGGCTAATTTTAAATATATAATAACCATATATTTTTAGAACACTGAAGCTAGAAATCCTTCAAAGAAAAAAACAAAGTTGGCCTTCAAATAACCTTGAGAACATCTAACAAATAAAAAATAAATAGGATAGTTGTATTTCCCCTTTGAAACAGAGAAACTTTTACATCGAACGCATCTCCCGAAAATGTACTGTTTTCGAAATATTTCGACTGTAAATTTTTTAAAGGAGCACTTGTTCTATAAGATATTCTGCAAGAATATTAATTACTTTTCACGAACAATTAGCATAGCTTGCCAAATTGATTCTAGGAAACCCACTGACATTAAATATATCGCGCCAGGTAAAGTTTACGCACCCGACGATAAGTAAACATAACGTTCGACGAATGTTAGTTGCGCTATAGTTGTAATAAAGTAAGCGATAGTCGTGTATTAAGGACAATATACTGATAATGGTTTATAAATAAAGTAACGATTCTTTCTTTTTAAATAATTTTCCCATTTAATGTTTAATCGATAACAGTGCATAAATAATAAACAGAGGAATGTTTTCATATACACATCTCCTGCGAACGGCAGGCGTATAGAATAACTCTTGAGTTTATAATACATTATTACATACATACAGAGCACGACGCTTTCATAAAATTTCTGTGGGTCTAAGTATAACATTGACAGTGAGAGGTTTGTACAGTCAGCAGATTTCGATACTGCTATGTCTAACAATAGAGTACACGGCGTACTTATTCAACAATCTTTGCACAAACAATGAATTTCCCCGTTGCGTATCAACAATTGTGAACGGAAGTTCCCTCAAACGTAATAATTTAATATGGAATTTGATTCTGATAATACTGTATCATGTCGTATGTTTTCGTACGGAAGTTGAGGTAGCTGTTGCGTATTATGTTGAGCATAAAGGCAGCTGCATCGCGATCGGTAGCAGTCGGCACGAATCTGCCGCGCAAAAGCTTTATCGTTTGTCCACGGAAACAGGGCAACCCGGTATCAAGCATAAGGGAGACCAGAGAAATGATCGCCTCTTGGTAAGGTCTGCAAAAAGGAATCGAGAGATAAAAACCTTTATTATTAAAATGATCCCGCTGTAAGATGATGATAAAAATGTTGGTAAGCTCACCTCACAGCTAGGAAGGCTTGCACGCATAGTTCCATGAACCAACGGAAGGGCGCAGAGTCCATTTTACCTCCCATCACGAGCACCATTTCGTCAGTCAGTTTGATATCAGGCTCAAAACCTAGATTACCACCTGGTGAACTTTCGAACATGAACCCAAAATCGATATGTATAATATGGCCTTCGGTGTCTAGCATAATGTTGCCGTTGTGGCGATCTTTTATTTGCAAGAGGTACGTGATCACGCTGTAGGCGGCCATAGACCTCACAAAATTACGACGGACGTTTTGAAACTCTTTTGTTGTCTCGTCCCCGTAACGCGTGATGAAATACTGATGCATGTCTATGTCAGTCGTTCGACCAAGCTGGTCACGCGACGTTGCGTTCGGTACGCATTCTATAACACCGCACTGAAACATGCATAAATATTTTTTTACCAGGTTGCTGTTGTTAACATTGGTATTGGAAATTACTTACCCCAGGCGCTGTAGCTACTACTCTGTATGGGAACAAAAATAGATTTAGTCCAACTTTTTGGAATATATTCTTGAAAATACTGATCACTTGCAGAGCAAGCATATCTTGTCTAACATCGTCGCCGACTTTAAAAATAGCAGCCTGCCACGTCTCTTTCGTTGGCTCCCGCTTAATCTCTACTTTCCCATTAGCCGACACAGCTAACGCGATATTTTCTAATTCGTTAATTCCATACTTTTGTACTTTGAAACGCGCCAAAAATGGCGCTTTTGCGGCACTGTAAAATCATATCAGCACGTCAGATATACAGCTGGCGGATCGTTAGGAGAATATTACTCACCTCTGCATAGGAGTACCGCTTTTATAATCAATGTCGATGACCATAGCTTCGGGATTGGATGGTAAATAGCAACCAGGTTGTAGCTTGATCTGTGACAGAGCTTTCAAACACGCTGCTTTGCGATCAGGTCCTTTAGGATATTGTCTTATCTCGCCAGAAATATTCGTGATCTTCTCGAAAAATTCGAACTCCCTTTCGTAGAACTGTTTCGCTGGGCCGGACAACGAACCCAGAATACTTTTTACCAACGAGTCTAGTACATCGAAGAGAACAGGGTCCTTTATTTGTTTATCCTCGTCCATGTACATGTTCGTGTGCATGTTCCAAATTAATTGATGCGCCACTACCTGTATCCAATCAACAGGTATTGAATTTTGGAAACAATCGTCTATTTGGTTAACAATATAATAAATACCTGTGAACGTTTAGCAATCTTTTTGATAAACTCTATCACGTAGCCCATCGTATCGTGACGTACTGCTTGCACAAGTTGAGGTATGTAGAAAAGCACAGCATCTGCAGGGTAACTGCTTAGGACCTCTACTGCATACTGTGCAGAGATCGGATGATGAGGAAACTGACGCGAGAAGTATGCCAGTGCTTGAATGGGCGATACTCTTTCCCACGTTAACATGTACACCAACTGTAGCAGAAACGGTTGATTTAGAATTTTTTAAATCGCAAAAAGATGCCCAAAGCTTCGGGTTTGGAGCGTATCTTACCTCAGGTACATCGTTAAGTAACGTGTCCGTGGTAACCAGATATTGCAAAGCTTCCGGGACGTGCATGACCGGCACAGGTTTGAGATGCACCTGTACGCACACTTCCTTGATAATAATTTCGGAGTTCTTGAGCCGGACCGGTAAAAATACCGCGAGGACAGGGCTGATCTGCCACGCGAGTCGCGTGTACTCGCGCCATTTGTCATTCATGCCCTTGGCACGCCATTCGGCGATGCTCGATTCGCCAGGAAGCGCGAGCTCCTGCCTGCCACCAGGATTCCTCCAAACCTACATCAACGTACAGTATCAAAGAAAGACCAAAGAACCGAGTTACGAACGGAAACGTGAAATTAAACGTACTAATAGCATTTCGATCTCCACCGCCAGCAATTCCAGAATCAAATTTCGTTTCTTTATGTAGTCTTTCACGAAGACGTTGGCGTTCATGACACGCTTGCTACGATTGCTACGTTTACCCAGAGTATTGCTACTGGTGGACATAGGGACCGTATTGATCCACACGCTCGACGGCGTTTTCGAGAATTCGTTGTTCGTTGTGCCTAGAGACGTGCTCAGGGAGCCAATAGTCTCGCTATGCCCGAACCCGCCAGGCGTGTAAGACTGGGGCGTTAACATCTCGAATTCGCCTTCGTTACCGGTCATCACCAGATACTTTTTATCGCTGTGCATAACCTGCGACGCGACAAAGGATTATCGAGACTTCCGTGGACCAAGTTCCCAAGAGGCTTCCATGAAATTGATATTGCATACCTGCCAGAAACGTATGAGCGTGATCAAGTCCTCGCGCAGCTGGTCGAGTTCTTGCGTTGGCACTTGACGGTCCCGACAGAAGTAATCCAAACAGTTACAATAAACGCGTTCACGTAATACGTTTTTGCTCAACGTCCTGCGGACGAAACTCGTTATTCTACCGCTTACTCTCTACGCAGTACTATCATCCTTCACGATACCTTGGCAAAATGTCTCCCTGGAGGAGGAGCAATCCGCAAGAGAGCAGTTTAAAGCGCACACCGACGGCAGCAACGTGGCGACTCATTCCGGGTTCCTCGCCGGAAGCGCCAATGGTCATTGGCAGCGTACGGTGCAGCAAAGTGACGATCATGTCCACCGTCTCTTGACAGCAATACTTGGCAGTCTCGATCAACTCCACGATAAAGCTGACCCAGATCTCGTGGGGCTTGACGAGAGGAGGATTCGGGCCTAGTTTGCATCCCTCGTACACGGCCAGTGGACTGACCTCCTCTTCGTTCGGCGCAAACAGACCCATTCGTTTATCGACGGTGTACTGCCACGCGACAAGCATCTCTTGTAGAAAGCGTAGTTTGAGATCTGGTCGAACAGTGAGTATCCATTGCCAGCACTCGACCGCCGTGATCATGGACGCAGCAGTGAACAATTCGATCTGCGAGGAGGCGACCGTATGCAACAAACGCCTGTGTATTCCTGGGCAGAAAGATGAATGTATGAATACGTGTCGGGTATCGGTGAGGAAATAATTTGGAGAAAGTCATGAATTACCAGGCATAGAGATCAATAAGGCGGTAGCACGCCACAGAGCACTGCGATGCTTGAGTTCGTTACGATTACGACAGCTCATCCACACGGCTTCGATCAGCAAATCAATAACTTTGTTCCTGCTTTCTTCTAAAGGTATTTCAGTGGTGGTGGACTCTGTCTGCGCCAAGTAGAGTATACCAGCTATTTCTCCGGCGTATCGTGATCGCGTCGACATCATCGACAGCAGCCAGGAGCTGGCGCCCTTTGGACAACGCGGTCGCTTGTCCAACGAATTAGTCTGCAACACAGACGTTTAAGTTATGAACAAGGACTATTTGAAACTGTTCAGTGCAAGAAACGCAAGTCGTACGTTTGGCAAGGCGGACGTTGGAACAGCAAGATCCACAAATTCGAGGACAGAGTCCGTGGACAAGCACAGACCAGAGTGATGTTTCAGTCCAGAAGATGGTATCTGATTCACATACTCCTGCAAATGCGATCTGGTGGCCTGTGGCGCCCATTTCATAGCCTCCTGCACTATGCCCTTGCATCTCGCGGTAAAATCTTTCACGATTATCTGCACAAAAGAATACAGTTTCAAGCGTTGGACAATTTACGTACAGGATAATTCTGTACATACTTCTCTTGCTTCGGACGTGTCCATGAGTTCAATACTGTACGGTGTACTAGGAATTCGTAGAATCGGTGTTTCCTCGTTCGGATCAATTTGCAACGAGAAGGATAAAATCTGTAAGAAGAACGCTAGGGTATTCTACCTCTCTTCGATGTTCAATTATCTAGAGTAATGGGTACTCGTACCTGTAATATATCTAACATACTCCAAAGCACCTTGCAATTCCATAGAAGATGTGGAAAAGCGTCCACCAACGCGCTGAGATACTTGTCGGCTATTCGTCTGATTTGTTTATGAACGTGGTTAAAATGTACTAGCAGAAATTGAGCATGGTTCTCGAGTTGAGCTTCTCGCTTCTCATCCTTTGGCTTGCGTTGCATGGCGTCCTTAAATTTTACAAACACGGAATCGGCCACGCAGCACACGCACTGCCACATACCACTCTTTTCCTTCTGCAGATAAGTGTCGCACAGATACTCCATGATCGGTTGTAGGCTTGGCTGGGGACTGTTCTCCACCCTTAACGTTTCTAACCAATACACGGATAGCAAGTACGTGCATTGCGCGAACTGCAATTTCGTTACGTATTGCGATATGTCGTTGGTTCTGCGAAACAAAATATTCGATTGATTCGTCCCTGTCAAAACAATGTAGATAGAGGAATATTTACCGAGTGCTCAATTTTAGAATTTGATTCCTAAGCTCTTGCAATTCGGTCAGGGAGACGCTGTCGTTTCGTACGGCCGAGGTATATTGCAATTCTCTCATCTCGAACCGTGCACTGGTTTGCGAAATAAGATAAGGCGATTTAACAGCAATCTCCTTAACGCCCTCGTGCCATTCCGGAGGCCATAATCTCGATGCTTGGTCACTGGCGAAACCCATCACAACGCAATACAGCCAGAAGTCTTTGAAAAGTTTCAGAAGCCTCTTTTCTGGGTGCCTGATTGGCAAAAGTCTTCGTACTAATATGGCGATCACCGGGATCAGCACACCCAAGTTTCCCGCGCTACTCGCCGCCTTCTAATACACAATATTACAATTAAAACCAAAGAGAGTTCAATTCTGAGCCAATCTGCTAGAAAATCGACTTCTTTTTTCAATTTTTAACATCGAACAGTTAGTAATTACAAAATCGATTTTCCCCAATCAGTTCCAAGTATATAAATTCAAATTACCGCAGCGATAATATTGTTCGACACTTTGTCGCTAGCACGTTTGCCCTCTAGCCCCAGCTGAACGAAAAGTTCGAGCAAATGAAGCAGCAAATCATCCAATTCCGTTGCACCCTGTAGATTCGCTGCTATATTTGCAAGAGCGTTTGTGACCGCGTTAGCCACGTGGCAATACTGTTTGCGATCGTCGTTCGAGGCATAAGTTGCTGTGCTAGAGCCCAACGACATGGAGAACATTTCCATTATGTCCCCGTAAATCTGAAAAATATAATTTCATTCGTATTTTTTTCGTGATTCGACTATTCCGCCGACTAATTAGACAATTAAAACCCAACCTTTGCCTCGCATTTTGCGATTATCATGCAACCTAACTGATTGACTATTAGAAAATCGAGATCGCTCGGTGCACGGCAGAATATTTGCTGAAAAAATGAGAATATTGTGCGCATGGTCTTCGGCGTGTCTTTTAAAGCAACGGCAACATGTCCCAGCATGATTACAATGTTTTTTGAAATTAATTCGCTATTCGACTTCTCATCAGAATCGCTAAAAGCATTGAAACAGATCATTCAAGAATCACGGGAGCTCAATGTTTTTACATTTATATCCATACGGCGCATAGTATCGCAGACATTTTTCGAGGCAATATTGTGCACCGTATGGTAAAGCAACACGTGTAACTATACCCGTCGCATATATCAGCAGCGAACAATCTATTCGAGACACTGGCGACTAATGCCGGTACGCAGTCAGCGTTTACAGAATGAGCAGCTTCCAAAGCGATGCAAAGATTGCCAATAGCCGCATCGCGTAGCTTTTCAAAGGCCAGTTGTGCAGAGGATGTAGTTTCTTTGATGTCTTGTATCTCTTTCCCTTGAATAGAAACATTTGTTCCTTGATACTATCTGTGCAACAGTCACAGATTAAAGTCGAGAGCATTGATCTACCTTTTCCATGTTGGTGTCGGTGCAGTTTGAGAAGTATAGGCGATGGTACAACGAGAAAGTCCCGGAGATAATAAATAGAGGTGCTTGCTATGTTAGGAAACTTCTGTGCTAATTTTCCCAATCCTTCTAAACACACCATCAGCAGAGGCATATGCGCCAGCACCAATTTTGGCCCGTGATTAGAATTAATCTTTTCAACCAGACGGCCACACAAACTATCCGCACCTGCGAACAATCATGCTCGTGTAGACGGCAGTTCGGAAATCACCGACAGCCACGCAGCAGCTATCCATGAGTCGAATAGCTGTTAACTTTCAGAAATCTTTTCAAAGAACAAGGTGTCTCTGTGAAAATCGATCTCTGAACGACAATGCTCTAAAGTGCACAAAAACGAAATTAAACCAATGAACGGAACTTCATTGTTTGCTAAGAATCGAACAAACGGTTAGAATTAGGTAAGAAACTAGCATTTAGTGCAGTGGTTTCCAAACATTTTAAGAGACGTTAAATATGAAATATAATTTAAAGAGAGCCTCTGATTAAATAAAATAAACAATATTTGCTACTGAATGATAAAGATATTAATACACGGATAGAGATGTGTGAGTTATCTACAGTTTTCTGCACGATAAATATTTTTTTATGCCTCCCCCTCCTCTTGTTTGGAAAACGCTGTTTTAGTGGAATAAAAAAAAAATGTTGAAGGCCAGCTAGGTCAACGGGTGTATTCGTTAGTTAAAACTATTGAAAGTTATCGCAGATATAGGAAAGTCAATCGAAATACAAAGTAAGCTAAAATTCGAATACCCTCGCCGATCAGCATCGAACTGATATCTGCGAATAGCGCGGACAAATCATACTGGTCTCTCACTGGAAAAATAACGTAACAGATCTGTACATCCTAACGACATAGAAGACTTTTCGAAACAAAGGCCCTTCCAAGCATTTTGTTCCTCGGTAACGAAATAAAGGGTTAATCCAAAATACAGCGAATACAAATATAATGTCTTAAATAAACTAACTTATTTACACGTGCATTGGACAGAAGTACTTACGAAGAAGAATGAATAAAATTCAGGTGTACAAGTTCTAGTGATTGGTGGGGGGGGGCACAATGAGGATGGTTTATTTAAATCTCAGAAAACAAATTTCGTTAAATTAAAGCGGGCACTGCAGTATACATAATGGTTGATTAGGATTCCTTTTAATAATATTGCTAAACTACTTCGTTCGTTGTTTACTTTGGAGGAAATGCAGATGAAAGCAATATTTACAATTTTCATTGCGGATGCGTGTCTGAAAATGTCTAAATTCGTCCTTGGACTAACTCTTCGTTTCATTGCCGAAGAATACCGAAAACAAATAAATCGGTTGAAACGTTCGAGAAGAAAGAAACGAGAAATGCTTGGAAGCACATTTGTTTCGAATAATTATTTCACAGCAAGCAACAATTCAAATGATCATAGAAGAATTTGGTGATGATATGTAACGGAATAATTAAAATAACTCTACTTAATCATTGAGCGTATGTATAGGTCTTGATTTATAATTTTGTTTCTCTTTACCAGTTTCATCGCCGATTGCCCACACAAGTAGATCAACGCACGCAGAATTAGCCATTACGTTTACTTTAAATCTATTTACAGTTCGAAAATTAGTGTCCATGTCTTCGCGCTCGCTAGCGTCGTGCTGACGCGACTGTAATTCCGTTTGGCCCGATAAAAACAGTCCCTTCACAAACTCTTGCACGTCTCTCGTGAAAGGGGCAGGCAAATCGCGTTGATTTTGCAACAATTCTCGCAAAAGAGCGACCATTACTAGATTCATAGTTTCGTTAAACGTTCGATAGGGGAATATCTGCACCTGATCGGAACTGTAAATCTAAACAGATCGTGGACGATTAATAATAAGACAATGGCGGTACGAACGGTAGAACGCGAGACTTACTTGTTGAGCCTCTTCATCGAGGAACGTTAAGATTTCCTTCGTAAGTAGCTTCTTTGCCAGAGCTAACACGCTTTGTAAATGCACCACGCTAAACTGCATACCGGCTCTCCTTTCCGGGCTTTCGTTGCATCGCATTTGAGGGAACTGATTGAAGCTCGATCCGTATCTGCTAAAGAAGTACGTGGCTGGATCGTAGGGCACCGACGAGTACGATTGCAACGACGGTCGTTTAGCACAGGGGAATTCGTAATCTCCGGTCAGAAGACCCGGAGCATTATCAATGGCTGGATGAGGGTTTAGGTTGCCGCTCAAGGATCGGGGAATGATCGGCCGGAAGTTGGGAAAACTGTGTTGTTTCTTTTCTAGTGTTAAGTTCGTGTCTGCGTTTGCTGCGGAGGGGGGAGCTTCCGGTCTTGGGAAAATGCGACAAAGAAGAGGCGGATCCGTGCACGCGAAACGACCCATCGATCGGGCCAAACCGATCAACACCGGTACTATGCATTTGCACAATGACACTGGAATAAATAAAAGTGTAATTAGAATTTTATACGATATTTATAGTCTGTGAAACCTGTCTGTAAAGGACACCTACGCTTTGCTTGCATCCCTCTGCTGCCATTTTGATCTTTGTACCCTCGTATGAGGTTTGTCAATACTGTTAAAATTTCTACTTGGGTGGAAATGATCTCCTCGCGTGCAGGCTCGCATCTGACCGCGACGTCGCTGAGCAACGTGTTCAAGCAAAAACTAAAACGTTCCGCAACAGGTATACGCTCTGTGGGCGAACATCTGATCTCGTCCAGCCAAACTGCTTTGGGAAGACTGCGTAATAGCCGCAGAAGGTACGGTAATATTCGATCGCGATGTTGCAGACCAGATTCCAGAAAATATATCCCCAACGCGATGGACGCATCTTGACCCCTTTGGTCCAACCGGTATACACCTTGAGGAGATTCTTGTGGGCATAATTTGAACAATTGCATCACCTGCATTGACAAAAGAGACACATTTACGCTATTAAAAAAGCTATAAATTTATTTCTATCGGTTAATACCGATTACAGAGATTAGATCGTTAGATAAACAAGGCGATTACTGTTATCATAGTTTAGAATTAATTTCGATTTTATTTTGACCACCCGGTCGAAACGTCGTTCATTTTTTCGATTATTATAATTCAAAGAAAATTAGTCGTTCGTTAGATTTGCTAAAAAAATATAAATGGAAGTTAGTTTAGGAACGAATCTAAAATAGAATTCCATTTGGAGTAAATGTCTGAAAAAAACTCCAGGAAGATTATTAGATAACTCCCCTTGGAGTTATAAAAATCTAAAGATTAATAACATTGTGGCCAAGTGTCTCCTACATTTATGAGCAACAGGAATCTCCACTACTCACCAAATTTTACACTTCATTTTAGTTTTTACTCCAATTTATCCAGTTCCCTTATTTTACAAAATATAAATTGAAATTAAGGAGAAATTAATATAACTGTGTATCTTAACCCAGATTGGAATATATACAAATATTAGATTAAAGAGGAATTGCATTTAAACTGTTACTCTTCATTGAAACAACAAATGAATACATTTTTCAAATGTATGCTTGAATGGAATTTAACCAGTTCTTGCTTTTAGGTCCATAAGGTTCTTTCCACTTATGTCAATATTGATCCTATTTCTAAAATATGCGATTGGAGAAACGTGAATTAGTCTTTTCCAGTGGTGCCTATGTCTTTCAAAATATGATTTCTATCGTATTTTTTACGATTGTAATATGCATATTATACCGTGTATAATTATTATTAATATATATCGAGGGTGTGTCTCGTACATATGAATAATTAAAGTAATATATTCGACGACTTCTCGCTCATAATGTCGTGCGTGAAAAAACATTCCTATATACAGCGATTATTATGTCTGCGATTTATGACGGGTTCTGTTTTTTTGAAGAGTATGTGACATTAATTAACAGCCGCACATGTGCTATTAGTTGGAATGTCCTTCGAATTATATCACGAGATGACATATCAGGACGTCAGCTGACACATCCTTAAAACTAACCTAAATCTGGTCGGCCATATATTAAATATTAATATGTACGTAAATACCATTAAAAGATTTTTAAATCGACGTACCTTTTCCCATGGCGTAGGCTTGATCGCTGCTAGACATCTGGCCAAATGTTGGACGGTTTTCGAGAAAAATAACTTCTCGTCTGCCACCATTTTGCCCACTGTCCACTGGCTCCTCGATTGCTGTAAATATCGTCTGCTTGTCTCATTGACAGACCGCCTCCTAACGTTCGAGATATCGATATCTCGATATAAGTCGTTTATTTCGCGATATCGAAGTAGTTCGTTACCGTTCCCGCGTATTTATTGACGATGGAACTTTCTCGTCACATCTTTCTGTATTTAATCATTTAAATATTCGACAAATATTATTCAAATACGATTCAACTAGTGTAATAGTGAATAGTGTAAACCATAAATCAAATTCTTCAAGTTTATCGTTCATTTGGCTTTCCGAACCATGTGTGCAAAATTATAGTAACAATCAACAAAGTTAAATATTGCCATATTTTATATTACCATACCAGAACCAGTACTTCAAACGAAGAGCAATGTCTACTACCAGTTCGACAAAAATGTCGTAGTTTATTATAAATTAATATTTAAAAAAAAACGCGAATAAAAATTAATAAATTCATATTACAAAATATTTCTTGAGATTGCGAAAAGATTTACCATAGTTTCTAAATTCAGGCATGGTTTAGATACAGTTAACCATTCCCACGATCTCTTTTTCCAATTTTCACCAAGCTCGCTTCATGTACGGCTGCCTTAACGTTGAATAAATATATCACACTGCTAAATTCATTGATTTGTTCTGCTGCGCTGCTATTGGTCGGTCTGTTTCCGTCACCGACGCCACAGAAGAATTGGCCAATCGCAGCGTCCCTTTCAATGGTAGTGTACGTATATATTTAGAAGCGGAAACATTGCCCAGTCGCCCGTTTCCGTCTTCCTAGAGCTTGTCAGCCATTACAGCTCTGCTCACCGGTTCTTGCAGGGTAAGTTACTCTGAATATTTTTGGTCCTGAACACATAAATCTTTTCGTCATTCTCTGCAGAATCGTTTCAAAAGTAGTACGTTCGTACGCACAATTGTCGTAGAAGATTTCTTAAGCGCGTATTCTTGATCGCAGGTGTAACTGATACAGCTGACATAGTTTCCGAAAAATCGAAGATTGTCCTTACGGAACTGGTAGTGTGTCCGGGAGCAGATACTTCCAAACGTTCGTCCAGATGTATAACAATAGTTTTTCCAATCATACCAGGTACGCGATATTAAATAATAATCTTTTCATGCCGAATATAACGGGGCAAGATGTTTAACGATAAAACTGAGTAAATTTTTTTCCGCGATATCGGGTTTTCCACCATTTTGTTCGTGGCTACTCTTGACCGTTGATTTTACAGAGTTCGTTCGACCATGTTAAAAATTAGGTATTCGGCGTTTCGTAAGAATTCGTTTTTGCTATTTCGGGATCCGGTGAAACGAAATTTATGTACGTATTATTGTTGATCGATATTTTTGTAGTAAAATTAACTGCACTATGAAAAAAAAATGGCGATTTGATTATCCAATAAAAAGTTGCTGACAAGACATAAAAGCATACATATAGTATAAGTAGGGTTTCTTATACATTTTATACTCTACCGTCGTACAATGTGTCCCATTGCCTGCTTACGATACGCATCGTTGGTTTAAATTGCGGGTAAATTTGATGAATATATCGTTCGTTATCGAAAAATAATATTTTTTTATAACATTTTTCTGTGTAATTTTAAATGTTAAATGAAATTCAGGGACTGAATAAGACATTAATGATAAATGTATGCTGTACGGGTGTTATTTAACTTCCCTTCTCAAGCTAAATGGAAAAATATACAAATTTGAAGTCTGAATTCAATAAAAGTTCAATCTCTCGTCTCGAACCTTGTTTCAAATACATAAATTAGTAAAAACAATTCGAAAATTTCTCGAACATCCAGAATTTTCTATGGAAGCCAAGAATATTCTAGATCTTGTCTAGAAGGAATCTTAGTCCCGCGCTTGGTTCAATATCGGATTATTTGAATATTTTAAATATAATTTTAGGTCAAAAATTAGAAAGTTCAATCAGTGAATTCAGCGTCTAACTTGATTTTTTCGGATATATTTCTATTTTGAAATTCAAAGAACATTAACAAAATATTATTTTTCAGCATCGGTCGTATTTGCCAAATTCTCCAAAATATTTTTACAAAACGATATTAAATCTGCTTTGGTTTTCCTTGGTAGATTGTTAGAATATCATTATACAGTATAAAATTTTAATACATTGTAGAATAATATTTTGTAACGCATTAAAGAAGTGTCACATCCAGAATTATGACAAGTATTATGTTACCAAATATTTATCATGAAAAAGCATTAAACACAAATAATGAAACAATAAACAGTAATGTTATTCAAAGAAAGACAATTGTAAAAAATTATCTTCAACATTAAATGCATATTAAGTGTCCTTAAATGCTGTTTCATTAATTAACTATTATATTACTTAATATTTTATAGAACATTTTTACTTGTTCAAGTATCCGGAAGTAATATGTCACTTCTTTGGTTTCTATCTAAACTTTACCATAGTATCACTGCCAGTGGTCCGTGTTTTGTTCCTAAAATAATCAAGGAGCATTGTTAGCATTTGTCAGTTGCAATTTATAGAGTATTTAATGAATGCGATCTATACTTTCCTCTTATTCCTTTATATTTTTAACTTTTTTATTAATGTTTATTTTAAAACAATAAGATTTTACTAGAATGAAAAGACCACTGTTATGTTATTTCAATTAATTCATGCTTTTTTTTTTATACATTACATTTGCATTACTCTTAATCTTTTCTTTGTAATGAACAATCCATGTTGTATATAGAGGGTGTTCTGCCATCTTTGGGGAAAATTTTAATGGGAGATTCTAGAGACCAAAATAAGATGAAAATTAACAAATTAGTATCCTTGATTTTCATCTTATTTTGGCCTCTAGAATCTTTCATCAAAATTTTTCCCAAGGGTGGCTGAACAACCCTGTATAAAAGGTAGTTCAAAGTATGAATTGATAAGTACAGAAATGAAGGATAAATGCAGTTTATTAACACATTGAGTGTAGCATTTTAATGTACAGTGCATTTTTAAAATGTCTACCATAAATAGACTTCAATAATTGTAAACCTTTGAATAACTTTAATTAAGGGTAAAAAAGATATCATTTTCTCTAAAATTAATCTTATAATCACTAAGATTTTGTTGTGTATACAATTTAAAAAGCTATCCAGTTGTAAAAGTTTAAGATTATCATACAGTGTTTTTTTTTCTCTATACTAAAATTAAAACAAGTTATTAATTATTCTCTTATATAATATTAAAAATTGTTCTACATATCTTCTACGTATTGTGATGATGATCCAAATTTAAACAAAATATATGGATAATCCAGAGTACCTTAGGAGTGTTTGATGCAAATTAGAAGACAAAATAGTTCACTCAGCACTCAATGTGTTAATGGCTATTAGATTCCAGGTAGTTTCATTATGAAATGTATGGAACTGTGCTACTATTGATTTCAATAATGGTGGTAATTTTAAGATGGAATCTGATAGCCTTCTCATTGTAGTCAAAACAGTTACATCCACTATTGAGTATACAACACATGTTAGAAGCATTTTGTGAAAATGACTGATTACAGGTCCAGAGGAAATCGAGATTCTAGCAGTCGTAGCGGAGGTGGAACTTATTGGAACAGCCAGCAACAAACACAGAAGGAGAAACCATTGAAGAAGCAAATCCAGAGAAGGACACCTGGAGATCTACTGAAGAAACCTAACTGGGACTTATCCAAAATGCCGGTGATTATGAAGAATTTGTATATTCCTCACGTGAATGTCTTGAAGAGATCGACCGATGATGTTGCCAAGTACCACATTGGCAAAGAAATTACCGTCAAAGGCACCAACACACCGTCCCCGATTCAAGCGTTCGAAGAAAGCAACTTTCCAGATTACGTTATGGAAGAAATAAGGAAACAGGGTTTTGCTGAACCTACCGCGATCCAGGCACAAGGTTGGCCAATTGCACTCAGCGGCCGTGACTTAGTTGGAATTGCTCAGACAGGCTCTGGAAAAACACTAGCCGTACGTATTTTGCTATAATTCACAATTTTTTTATTCGTTTAATGTCTTGAATATTATGAATATCCTCTAAAATTTTCATCAGATTTGTTGGACTTGATATTGAAATTTTGGTAACTTGTACTATTATATAACACTGGTTTTTCCAAGTATTAATAGACGTGATACGTCTGTAATACATAATGTGATGATACTAATACTTTTTCGGAGCACCCGGATTTGAACATTTTTCTTTGAAGAATCATTTACAATTGTAACAAATAGCACTGCAATTGTGATAAATTATTCTTTGGTCACATATTCGCTTGACAACACTAGTGGTATTGCTCCTGAGGAAATTGATAGACAATATAATGCACTAATACCTTTATATCTAGAATTTAAAGTCTTACTCTTTTATAAAATTGAAATATATCATTCTTTAAAGTGTATTTCAATTAAAATTAAAAAATAAATTTATTAAATTAATATAATAACTGTAGAAACATTCTACAGAATATATAAGTAACACATTTACTATAGATCAACATGCTTTTACTTAATGTTAACTTATGATCAGAATTGAAAGTTAACATATACTGTTAGATTTGAAAAATATATATATCTATATATTATATTATAATTAATTTATGTACTAGATATGAAAAGGTTGAAACATATTTTTACTTATCAGTTTTATATTAAACCAATCTATTCTATTTATATGTATATGTCGATTATTCATTGGAAAAAAAATGTCATAGCGCATTTTTTAAGTTTGGAGCAGAACTGAGCGGTACAATCGATGATTTTAATCACTGAATTCTTTCATATTTATTAAATATTTGCTCATCGTTTTTTTTACTGCCCTTTGTTGAAACATCAGTAATTTTTTAAGCAAGACACATTTGCTTGCAAGTTAAGTTATCGAGGTGTAAATCTGGCAGAGGTTTTGCACAGTGTATTTCTTAAAGTACAGAAATAGTTTTCAAGTTGGAGCGTAGTGTAGTTGATGAGGTGTTTACCTATCATTCTGAGATTCTTTTTTTGGCGCAGGTTCGAGCTACGCTTACACGTTCGCTCGAGAATCGATCCCGCACTTGAGCAGATAAATGGACTGCCAAAATTTTAATATTAATACTCACGTTAACGAGAACACTTTGTGCATACGGTTTATTTTCGAAAACTGTTTATTATTACAGTTTTCCGAGTTTCACCGTTACCCTTTCAGCATGCTTTCAAGACTTGAAACATTTAAGAAAATGTGAAACGAGAAATATATTTTTTTTGTAACCACCAAACAGGACAGATCCTTTAAGAGAACATTGTTATCGATATTTTTCAGTATATATTACCAGCAACTGTACATATTAATAATCAACCACGTTTGAATCGAGGAGACGGTCCAATCGTTTTGATTCTCGCACCGACCAGAGAGTTAGCACAGCAAATACAAACCGTCGCTAGAGACTTCGGTTCCTCCTCTTGCATTCGCAATACTTGCATTTTCGGCGGTTCGCCGAAAGGGCCTCAGGCCCGCGATTTGGAACGCGGGGTCGAGATATGTATTGCGACGCCTGGTAGATTGATTGATTTCCTCGAGAAGGGAACCACGAATCTGCGCAGATGCACGTACCTCGTATTGGACGAGGCGGACAGGATGTTGGACATGGGATTCGAGCCACAAATACGAAAGATCATCGAGCAAATAAGACCCGACAGGCAGGTGCTGATGTGGTCCGCGACCTGGCCCAAAGAAGTACAGGCCCTTGCAGAGGATTTCCTTACGGACTACATTCAGATCAACATCGGTTCGTTGACACTGGCCGCCAATCACAACATTCGTCAAATCATCGAGATCTGTCAGGAGCACGAGAAAGAGACAAAGCTGTTGGGTCTCCTCAGGGAAATTGGCAAAGACCGCGGAAGCAAAATGATCATATTCGTGGAAACGAAGAAGAAGGTGGACGACATCACCAAGGCAATCAAACGAGAGAGTTGGCCAGCCATCTCTATCCACGGTGACAAATCACAACCTGAGAGGGACTACGTTCTGTCCGAGTTTAGAAACGGCAAGACGATGATCCTTGTGGCCACCGATGTAGCTGCTCGAGGCTTGGACGTGGAAGACGTGAAATACGTAATCAACTTCGATTATCCGAACAATTCCGAGGACTATATTCACCGCATAGGAAGAACCGGACGTTGCCAGAGCGCGGGCACTGCGTACGCTTACTTCACACCGAACAACGCGAGACAAGCTAAAGAACTGATCGCCGTTTTGGAGGAGGCTGGTCAAGTGATAAATCCACAATTGGCCGATTTGGCGAACTCGATGAAGAACCAGTACGGTAAAGGTCGCCAGCGTTGGAGTCATTCTCGCTCGAACAAGGACAACTCGGCTGGAAGCCCCAGAAACAACACCAGCCCGATTTCTTCGAACAACTGGCAGAGCCAGCACTCTCAAAACAATCAGCTCAGCCATAACAATCCCAACAACCAAGATAGAACCGTTGCGCGCCAGCAGAATGGGTATCAGAACAGTCGTCAGAACAGTTTCCAATCCAGTTATCATCAGCAACAGCAGCAGCAGCAGCAGCAACAACAGCACCAGCAGCAGCAGCAGCATCAACAGCACCAGCGACAGCCTAACGCCTACGCCAATAGTTGTCAAACCAGCAACGGAAACTACCAAGCTGGTTATCAGAACGCAAATATACCCAGATACCACGGTAGAACAGGAGGCTTTCAAGGTAGCCGGTACCATAATCGACAGAACGCATACAACGGCAATCAAACTGGTGGACAGAACGTGTACCCTATGCCATCTCCGTTCATGATGCCATCCGGCGGACACACTGATTCTGGGATGCAGAGTCTTGTGAATAACAAGTTCTTCCAGACAAATCGACCACCGCCTAACACCGGAGCTTGTGCTTACCAATCGATGGGCTACGGTCAGTTCCAAGCTGTGCCACCGTACAGTTATCCTTACCCGCCTACACCGGTGCAGCAGTGACGCTTTTCAAGGTATAAGTCGGTAAGAGTGCAGGCTAAGTAAGAGATCAGTTTTTCCTATCTACATTGGGCCCACTAATGTTTACGGTTTGTGTAGAAGGTTGGGTCTCCTTTGAATATATGCGTAATGTAATGTTTCTTCTTTTCTTTGTCATTTATTATTTTCTGGAATGGTGCCACTTTGACACACGCGAAGTCGAACGAAATTGTTTCGGTTGTTGGTACGCAACAAACAGAGTCAAAACGAAATCAAAAAAAAAAAGAAAAAGTATATTATTTAATTGGGGAAAAAAGATGAACTAGCACGAAGACGGCCATTGCGAGAGAAACAGAAAGAAAGAAAAAAAATTAAATGTTGTGCATTATTAATCACCGCGGCACATTCCAGTTGAGTTTTTTGAAGTAGTGGTAGTTATTTAGCGATGGTACATTGATATAATCATTACTGGATGTAGACTATGACCAGATATGTAGGCTTATAACGTGGTCATATCTCTAAAATAATAATTAATCTTCTTGCGATAACTATGTAAACGACATTTAATGCTTTCCTGAAATGCACGAAACATATAGAAGGGGGGTGGGTTAACGTTTTCATATTTGATAATTTATTTATATTTTGCATATATATATGTATGTACAGGCAATGCTCTTCAAAATGTAAGGCCTTTTGCATAAAAATTAAGCCGTACACCCGTTTTACAAAGCGCACGACGATATCGAATCGTGTTCTCTGTTCTGTAAACGAGACTTGGGTGTGTGTCTCTGATATAGGGGTGAAAGTAATCTCATAAAAAAATTAGAGCACGTCAATGGAGGATATCCAGCATAATTATATAGCGTACAAAAGCGAGTACTTGGAGAAGGAAAACTTGGGCTTTAGGGGACAACTTAAATTAAGCATGTAGTCACAATGGCTGTGTACCTCGGCGCAAAGTTTGATACCTTATTTTTATAATATATATCGAAAGTAATTTGTTGTTAAACCAACGAATGATTATACGAAGTAAAAAAAAGAGAAACATTGTTGTTTGATGTTTATGCAATTGGCCACTGAGTGGTCTTGTCCTCGCGCGCCCGTAACAAAGTAGGTACGCGCAAGGCTGGCCGCGATCGAATGAATTTAGTTGTACCTGTTTTTTAGTTCGCGCTCGTCGAAATTCTTGCTATTTTTTAGGGGAACGGTTCAAACTATCCGGGACACTTTCTATTGAAACGTTCAATGCGCTACGTAAACGTATTAACGCGCGTGGAAGATGTTAATTGTGTGGCAACGGTCCCAACCTTTATCGTTGCGGTTACCCGAAAAACGACTCTCGAGGAAATCTCACGTGGCAACAAAAATAAAACAAAAAAAAAACCAAAAAAAAAAACACGAGACACGAGACACGAGTTTTTGTGCCGTAGAATCGGGCACGAGCATGTTCGTCGACAGCGCATAGCAATTTTTTGCGGGCCTCCAGATTACTCTGTACACGTCACTACTCAAATAAATGAATAGTAGAAAAAGAGCTGAACAGAGAAGAATGCAAGACTCGAATACACTCGAGCAAGGACTCGTTTGCGAACGACATTATTGTGATAATTACATGTAACGCTTTCGTGAAACGGTCTCACAGTTCGTTACTTAATTACGCACAGTAGAGGAAAAAAAAAAAAAAAAATGTGAAGCAAGTACGTGTGCACACTACCGTTTTGGTCGGTTCGGACGCGTCACGCGCGTATTTACAGCGGATTCTGCTCGATAAGAAATTGAGGAACTTGACGATTCGTTTCTAGGTTCACATGTAAGTCTTTATATTCTTCTTTCGCCGTCTTATCATCGGACTTCAAAATGTAGGATCGCGAAGAAAGTTAGGTCATTCGCGGTATTCTTCTCTTTGCCCTTTGGACATTGTGAATGCTTACGCTCCTACTGTGTTAATCTGACTGCACACGTTGCGTGTCGGAGTGAATAGTGATATAATAATAGGATGCGTATGCTACGAGTATTGGAAAACTCTGAATACTCATATATTGCGTACGCCCTCTATTAAATCATCCCATAGTAAAATCTCCATTATTCGTACTGGAAGGGGTTGTAGAAAGCATGAATTACGGTTAAAAAAATACAAATAGATATCGGAGATGGACGCATCATTTTATTCGAATAACAGAGTATAAATTCGTTTCACAACTAAACTTGTAAATTTTTATTTTTCATTCATTATTCGAAATTTGTATCCAACTGGTGAATTCTGCTCATCTCTGGTAGTACCATAACGTAACTTAAACGTGTTTTACGTGCACGCTTTTGTGCGTCCTCTGAATTTATTGGACCGCACGCTCGAGTTTTGTTTCTATGTTAATACGAATAACTGGAATCGACAGGTCGTTGGCAGGGATGGGCAAAATTTTATTCGAATAATAGATAACGAGTAAAAACCAACTCATTTAATTCCATAATTAAAATTTTAATTTTTAAAGTTCGTTTCTTGTTGGTTCGAAATTTTCATCTAAACAAGAATTCTGCCTAATTTTGCACATTGGACACGAATAATCGAGATTTTACTGGATTTAGAATTTGTTTGTCTCTCTGAAATTGTTTCACTGTAGTTGATCAGAGGCTACCTTATCTCCCCCCTCCATGCCCTGGTCTAAAATGTTTTGATTTTGACATTTATCAAATAGCCTATTGAATTTCGCTAAACAATCGACTATCGTAATACTACCGTACTTTTAATTACATTACACTGCAAACATAGAACATATTACACATTTTCTATCGATAGTTGATACACCTGGGTGCACGCTGAGTCCATGCAGAATTATTCAGATTTATTTGGACAGAACGATAAAACCGAAACTATCCACCGGGTGGACGTTTGTTCACACCCAGGTAGCAGCAAAAAATCCTCTAAACTTTAACCCTTTGAACTCAGCCTGCGTCTTCTTTCGTGTACCAATCCGGAATATTAGCGAGTATCCCAAAACATGCATATCTTTCTTAACGATGAGTCTCTGGTATAGTCTAACATATAACATTTTAGGAAGTTTTACAATCGCGTTTGGCTCGAAACAGCAATGGTGGAACTCCCGTAACGTAGGACAACAAAGGGTTAATATTTTGTCAGTTTATAATGGAGCATATTAACATTACACTCTTCGGTTCTCAGTGAAGCAAATGTTTCGCAAAGTGCGTTTTGCATTTTGAAAATTGATAGTGGGTGTACGCGTAGCTCTGTGATATGTAAGATGTAGCATATTTATAGATCTACCTATTGTGCATCATGATTAAAATAAGGAACGTATCTTATCAGTTTTATACGTGGTATACAAATCATGTGATCCTAACGACGTGTACTGCGAGCGCTCGCTGTCTACTTTAGGGAAAGAGGAACAAAAGTTGTTGAAGCAAAAAGACCAGTATTTCCTTTCTTTGTGTTTGCCATGCGAATTCGTCTGCTGCCAGAGTGAAGAGAAAGAGAGAGAGAGAAGGAATCGAAGAATGAAACGTGTATTATTTCTGTTTAGAATTCTCCTTCTTGAGTATTTATGGAAATTTGAGTTTATCATAATATAGTCTATGACGAATTCATTTAATGAGCGTGTATAAAATTGTGCACAGGATATATTTACTTTCCTCCTTTGCTTTTGTACTGTGAATCTGTTCTTTTTGTACGTTTGTCTGCTTGTTAAGATATAGTCTTCTAATATTTGCGTGTTTATCGCTAAATGGGAGTAATCTTTATAAAAGTTTAATAATGCACTGCTATCAGTTTTTTTTTTTTTTTTTTGTTAATATGTTCGTATTTTCTTCTTTTTTTTATTCATATCAGCGGTCATTCATAAATCCTGTGTTCGTTATTAATTGTACTAGATAGAAACATCGGGGAACCTGTTAGATATGAATTTTTTCCCTCGCGCGACAGGATATACAATGAACTTATTTCCGGGAAACAAAGTCGTATCCTCGGTGATCGCTTCTTTCCTGCTAGTCGACAATTTTAGTTTGTATTATATCCCCCCCTTTTGTTATTTCATTACTGTACACCTTTTCGATCAAATCTCTGCGGTGATTTGTAATTTAACGAGGTCAGGTATCTTAAGTTATTTGCGCAATATTCCCAAAAAAGTCTTGCCCTGTTATTGTTACAAATTGAAGAAGAAAGAATTTAAGTGCGTTCGAGAACAAAACTCTGCAACATAAGTGAACTTGAATGCCCTCTTGGTCAAATACGTTTCTAGTAAACTATCGTTTTCTGTCAGTTTCCAACGGCGATTGCGAACGTTGAATAACGGAGGAATAGTTTTGAAGATTTTTCTGACACGCCTTCTTGTCAAAGGGTTCAAAATATTCTCGTGGTGTTTTCACGCTTGTATCAAGCACTGTCCAAATCATACACTAGCTGTTCGGTTGAACGGAATCTTGTATTTATTCGCGTCCTATCTGTTGCTTTATTTTTTTTTTTTTTTTTCGATAAAAAGAAAAAAAAAAAGGTTCGTAACGACAATTGGCACAGTTTTTTCCGCTTTCGCGTGCTGAAAAATCGTTGATGACTAATAGCTTCGGGAACACGAGTACCTTTTTAATGATTAATGCTGAACGCTGTGATATCGCGTACATAAACATTTTTATTATTATAAACGTAAATGTGCATATTGTAATGTTAAAGAGTACTATTCTCCTTTATATGTGAAGACTGAATCTCGCCAACTTATACACAAGTTTAGCAGCCACAGATACGTTCGTATACTGTAGACTACAAAATAGACTATTTGTATATTATTAATTATAACAATATGTTTTACGTGGGTAGTGCCGTATGGGACGGTACTATTATGTTAGTTCGATAACGGGTGCGTGTTCGTATTGTGCATTTTATTGAGAGCTAGTAACCGGTGCATCGTGACGAGAATAGTTTACACGAGTCCCGTTTCCTTTTACAGTTTTCGTCTAATTCAAGTCGAAGGGTAGTTCAATTGGAAACGTTCATTTCATTTTCAATTACTTGCCACGTTTATTGTTTTTTTCGATTTAATTGTTAAATCGTTCGTGAAAAGAGGACGTTACAACAACACAAATCCGTTTCATGGTAGTTCCTATATTGCATTCTTCTTTGTAACGTGAATGGGTTGCAGCTTAAATTTTGCAGATGAGTTGAAGAGCTTTTTACTTCGATGCGTATTACATTTTTGTTTGTTTGATCGAAAAAGAAATTTAACAATATTTTATTCGTGTAGTTACATGTGTGCATTGCCGAATCTGTTATTATTATTTTGCGACCGTATCTCAGTTCTTACTGTAAGTTGCTATCTTCCGTACATAGCTGGGGAAATGTACCATAAATTGTTGATCATTTTTAACAACGATCGGAGATCAGTGCGTTTCTGCATTGATAAGAATTGTAAACAAAACATTCTTCTACTACGATCCAATGTTTTGTATCGTAACGGGGAAGAGAATGTGACACGAAGATCAAAGTTAGGAGAACTAAATTTGTAACGTCATTTTTATTATGCACTCGATAATGTTATACTCTATTTTCTAATTGTCAAAATAAGCGTGATCTTTTTTTTTTTCTTTTTTTTTTTCTCTCCTTTAAATTTAGTTTTTCCTAATGTCGAATGTAGACTTGTTAGTGTATATATGAATGTTGAACACTGCACACTGTACGACAACAAAATTACTGTGTAAATGTTTTTGCAAAACTGTGAATCCAATACAGTAATTTATGTGTTTATGATTTTATGTAATGCGCCTCGTAATGATGGTACACATTTAAGCCTGGACTATTCAAACGAAGAACAATGTCTTTATTCGATCTTGGTGTGTGCTGAGATCTTTGAATTAACAAATCTTATCCACCGTATCTAAACTTCAACAGTTTAAGTATGAAGCTCATAGTGTATTGAGTTGATAAGTGGGTGCACAGAATAACATTGTTTCCTACAACTGTATACATTATAGAAATTGATTTTTCAATGTTCAACTGCGCGAACATTGTAATGTTTATTAGTCCTGCGTACACCTGATTTTATAATTATTGTATTCTTATAGCGATATTCAACTTTTATAATTACTTGTCTTATAATTGAGTAGTTGGAAAAGGGACTTCCCTGTATTTTGTGTATATCTTAACTCTTTTGCTAAAACCTGATACGACTAAACGAGAACTATCAATTTCCTTTATTAAATCTAGTAGCAAAAGGGTTGAAGGCACGAAATTCTGAATACATACCGCTCCCTGGTATAACAGGGAGCAAATATCAGTTACAGGTTTGTTCTTTTTACAAACGTTCGCATTTTTCGTAATTGTTCTCCGAATGGTAAAATACGCATCCGTTGTACTTTGTTTTATTTTCTTTTCAGAGCACATTATATTTACATCCAAAATATATCTGAACGTATATTTGGAGTAACAGGTTATTCGAGCTGACCTGTAATGACGTTAATTTATGCGGAGTTTGTGAACAAAAAAAGGCGAAGCGTAAGAAGTGAAAATAAGATTTTGGACACGAATCATCGAAGCAAACGTAAAAATTATAACACGTATAGGAATTACATGATCACGGGGAAACGCAGTACAGCACGGTAGACTTCCTGTTGTTGTAATAGTTCATTTGTTGACGCATCTGTTCTGAACGCGCATTAGGAGGAGAAAGAGGAAAGAAAATGAGTAGTTCGAAAGACGCTAATAATGTAGTGTGCTAAATTATATGGGAAGAGATGAGAACGTAATGATTTAGTATGCATGATTTCAAGCGATATTGAAAGCAGAAATCGAGATATCAGGCCGCTGGTGTCGGGAAAAGGTATACAATACAAAATATAATAATGTATTTTGTCATTACGGCTTCATTGAGTCATCGCGCCTTACAATATGAAAGAGCTCGGCCAATGTCCAAGACGTGTATACAAGATTTCAAATAACACTCTTAGATTAAATATAAAAACCGCTCCTTGGTCGTCCTCGGGTAAATTGAAACAAGCGTTTGCAAATTGTTTTAACTGCAGCAGAGAAGACGGCATACAACTGTATTTCTATTCTTGATTAAGAGTATACAAGAGACACGTTAAGGATATACATTTATGTCAATTTTACCGCGCAAGAACGCATTTATCGATTATTTATACATATGTATATAACATGTCTGTATATATTTATGTATACACGCATTATTTTGAAGGAAAAATGTTCTTTCAGAAGATGTAAATCATAGAATATTCTCTACAATGATAATCGCCTATCGCGTTATTAACAGATTCATTGCTGCCTTTACATTTGATTTATCTCATTAATGACTGTGTAATAGAATGCATAAAGATATCACAAGAGTATGCTTTTGCCATGGTAAACTTGGCAATGAATGTGTTAAGGATGACAAGTAATCTAGCCGAAATTGTTCAATCGTTAACTGCGGGCTCTTGGTGAGTTCATGGATGTCGCATTGAAACGAACATCTTTTCTTTTTTGTGATACAGGTATATTCAAAAACTTTTCAAATGTTATTGCATGTATCACTTCCGAGTGTTATATGTAATAATTTAACGGAGAAATGTTTTCTATTATCAAGCTGTTGCTTCCAAAGTTTCCGATACATAGAGAAAAAGAAAAGCGAAAAAAATCTGTACTACTTTTTACTAAACGATGTTTGACTTGGCATGAACATATTATTGCAAAGCAATATTTTATAAATACAGAAGATCAATATTAAGATGTACAACTAAGAACAAACTTGTGCGAAAACATTAGTTTTCTCTTTTTTGAATGAATCAAATAACGCGAATGAATTTGTTTCCTGATCGTGTAAGCCGTTTTACTGCAGAACCAATAGTTTTTACGACCAAAGAGAGGTATCGTGACAGTGGCTTGTTTATTTCCCCCCCTCTTTCTTTTTGACCATGACATGATTTTCAAAAGTGGAAACTAAATCGATAGTATATGTGTGGTGCGAATATATTTCACTGCAATCTTCAGTGAAAGATAGGAAACAAGTGACGTTTGTTGAAAGTATGTTAGAATTAATTCATTATTTTATGAATCGCTCCTGTTTAATCACACTTATGATTTCCCGATAAGAAGAAGAGCATACATAAATTATTTATATAAGGCAGCGTACAAGTCGAACGAAAAATGGCGTAAACGATGTTAAGAAACACTTCTATATTCAGATTCTCTTCTGTAGGTTTCATTAAAGTGCATTTCTTGTATGTTACACAGTATTATGGTAGAATATAAGAAAATAAATATTGCAATAGTAATCTGTACTTTGATTACTTTCCAAGTTCCGTTCCCAGGTTTTGCCTATGTTATAAAAAAATATATATCGTTACGTTAGTTTTCTAATTTTACCTAAAAAGTTATTAATCTAAATACATTGATTACATTTTTTATTAATATTACAGATTCTGTAATATTCTTTCCTTTAAATCTCTGTTCAATAAAATTAACTGTTCAAACAGCATGGAAAAATAACTTGCCACATAAATATAATTTGAAAAAAAAATCAGAAGTCGTTTTGTTGAAGTTATATTTAATAAATAAAAAAATTATTTTTTACTTTTCCGTTCATTTCAGAAGTAGTAAATGATATACTAATTTAATAATAATAAGCAAATAAAGGCACTGAGAAAACGTAGCATGGCAATTAAGTATCCTTGAACAAGTCATGTATAGTTATTTGTATAATCGTTATTAAATAAAAACCGTGATTACGTGCCAGATACAAAATAACGTAATTAGATTTCGAAATGTTAGTAAATTACGTAACTCTTCGACAAAAGGAAATTTATACATTTTGTATACAAGTTATATACGCAAAAGAAGCATGATCTATCATAAATATTTTTTAAGCAAATACAATTATATGAAAAGAATTGTGCTTGTATGGTCTGTGTTAAAAAATAGTCAATCAATGTCTTTATTTTTATTTTCATTTACAATGACAGTTACAAGTCAATTTTGAATTTAGGGCGCAAAGAAATGGCGACGAAATATTACTAATAGAGTCTTCCGTCCAGTTAGCGGCACTAGTCTGTATATTTTGTATACATACGCAATTGATCAGTGCTCCATTTTTTGTTAATTTGACTGTACGCATAAAGAGTTATACAAGTTGCATTTCATAATTCGTGTCGTTAATTACAATATTATCAAATGATGTTTCAATTTTTGTTGTTAAATGTGATTACAATGTTACGCTGTAACCAACATAACCTATCACGATAATGTAATTTTTAAACGTTTACATCATGAGTAATAGCGTTATAATATAAATTCGATTGTATTGTTTATACAGATATAATTCTTTTGTTTATATTTATTGAAATAGTTTATAATAAAGTTGGGAATTGATTAAGTGAAAAGTTGTGCAAACGTGTCGAGAACATGAAGAGCAGTAAGTAATATTTTAGTTTTTACGATCTTCTGTCACTTTCTTTAAACGTTTTAATATATTTTATATAGGTTTACAATAATCTTAAGTATAATAAATGTATAATGTATAATATAGCAATATATAGGATGTTATGTGAAACGTATTATCAGTGAGGGGAATGATTTCTCATGAAAAAAAATAACTCGAGAATATAGACTACGTATTTTTATGCGTGTGTTACTTTTTGAGAAAATTAATTTCCAGAATTTATAAAGCATGCATTTGCTTAATTAAGACCTGTATTGGAGAGAATGAAAGATAAGTCTTCGTACCTGTAATCTGTAATCAAAATTTGTGCAATACTAGTCCTGTATGTTCTTACATTTATAAACATTAAAGTTTAGTCAAATACTTGAACATTTGACAAGTCTTCAAAATACATTGTCCGAAACATGACATTGCTTGAACAAAAATTTCATTCTGCAATTTTTATTTTTTTCATGAAAATTCAGTCACTGTCTACTAGTACAGCAGTGCCCACTTAAGTGACCACACTTTTGCCCACATAATTGACCGTGGCCGGTCCCGAGTGTGGTCACTTAAATGGATACTACTGTACTATCTTCTGCTTTAATTTGTTGCAATAAGTTAATGTTTTAGATTCAGATGAAAGTGATTACGAAGATAAAAACTTCAGTAGTCAAAATGATTATCAAACAATGGAAGGGAAGGAAGCATATCCAAGCTATTTCTCTGATCAGTCTTGCGATGAAAGACGTAGTAAAAAGAGAAAACACGATGCCTCTGTAGATGAGAGTTCAGATTTGTCAGATTATTACGATACTTTTGATGAGAAAGACAATGCAAAGTTTAGCTCGCATAATATGTATCAAGATATGTCTGGCGAACAGGACTCGGGCGACGACTTTAGTAGCCTAAAAAATATAGAGACTAAACATACAGATGATAGAGTATCAAATTCTAATGACGATGCAAAAGAATCGAACGTGTCACAATCGGTGTATGAGGAATCCTATCATCGTTACAATAAACGACGCGAGATTCGTAAAACGAGATTGACTGATGACGATACTACCGACGAAGATAAAAGTAACGATACGAAGGAACAGTCGATCAAAAGGGAATCTACAAATGTCTTTGACGGGCAAGATAAAGTTCAACGAATGATGAGAAAAATGGGATACGAGGAAGGATATGGTCTTGGAAAAAATAAACAAGGTCGTTTGGAACCTGTACAAACCTCTAAACAGCATGGTCGTAGAGGTCTTGGTCATCATGTTCCTGAACTTGAAGCTTCAAGTCTAAAATGGAATCCTGCAGAAGAGAAGATAGAAGTTCAGGAACACATGGAATGGTTAGCGAGTCAAAATATTGAGTTACCAACTCGAGAAAAACTAGAGACATGGTTGCAATTGGGACCTAAGAAGGTTTCTATAGATGGTGAAACTCTTTTCTGTAGTAGAGATATAGTTACAAATATAATTAATTCAAAAACAGTATTTAATAATTTGGATCGTGTTGAAATGCGTCGTGCAAGAACACGTAGTAATCCCTATGAAACAATTCGCGGTTCAATATTCTTGAACCGTGCAGCTGTTAAAATGGCAAACATGGATAGTGCCTGTAACTTCATGTTCACTAACCCACAGGGGTTGCAGAACAACGAACTGCTCTACTTTGCAGACGTATGCGCTGGACCAGGTGGCTTCAGCGAATATGTTTTGTGGAAAAAAAAATGGCACGCCAAAGGATTCGGTTTCACTTTGAAAAATGAAAATGATTTCAAGTTGGATGATTTTTATGCAGGTCCTTGTGAAACGTTTCATCCATATTACGGACCAAAAGAAAACGGGGATGTTTACGATCCCAGTAATCAAGATGCTTTTAGAGAACTTATAATGACTCATACCAATGGTAAAGGTGTACATTTTATGATGTCTGACGGAGGGTTTTCTGTAGAAGGGCAAGAGAATGTGCAGGAGATTCTTTCAAAACAATTGTATCTTTGCCAATGTTTAGTAGCATTGATGATTGTACGAGAGAAGGGTCATTTCGTCACAAAACTGTTTGACATTTTTACTCCCTTTAGTGCTGGTTTAGTTTATCTAATGTATCATTGTTTCGAAAAAATATGCATTTTTAAACCAAACTCTTCTAGACCAGCAAATTCAGAACGTTATTTAATATGTAAGAAGAAACGACCAGGCACAGAGATTATTACACAATACCTGAAGCACATTAACCATTTGATTTTAACGAAAGACGAGAATAATGACGTTCTACAATTAGTGCAGTTCGAAGAATTAGAGAGAGAGCAGAGATTTTTGCAATATTTACGAGAATCAAATAATAGTTTGGGAAAGAAACAAATAATAGGTCTTCGCAAAATAGCTGCATTTTGCGAAAATAGTACTCTTGTTGAAGTTACACAAGCTGATATGCGCAAGGAATGCCTTAAATATTGGAAACTTCCTGAAGAAGGTCGAACAATACCAAGACACATGAAACCTCAAGATAAAGTAAAAACACTTCTTAAAAATGTTACTAAATTCCTGTCTAAGAGTGCAACGAAATTGACGGTAGATAACAAAACAATACTGAACGTACCATATAATTGGTTTTGTGTGCCTTGTGGTACTGGTGGACCATATGATGATCCAAATAAAAATGCCACATTTTATTTGGGTATGGGAAGAAGCAAAGTATATCGTTATGTAAGAGGTAGTTGGATGCACGTTGATGATATTAGTCTAGAATTACCACCAGATACACTGATATATGCTGAAGTTGTCTATGAAAAAAGAAAGGAGTCTAAACAATTGCAGAAAGTACTAGCATTACATATTATAGATGCTTTCTATTTGGGCAACGAAGACGTTAGTCACAGATATTTGAGAGACAGGTAATAAATTTTATACTGAAACAGTATACAGTAGTGCCCACATAAATGACCGCGGTTATCTCCACCAATTCTTAGAAGCCAAGCGGCTTCAAACAACGAGCGTGTCGAGCGTAACTTGACGCCGGTCGTTATCGGTACATTGTATATATGGTTTCGAGTGTCAGCTATTGTATCTCACTCGCACTTATCCTCTTTACTTATCTCCGTTGAATTCTGAGAAGTAACAATACCCACGCTTAAGTGAACGCGGCCGGTCCCGAGCGTGGTCACTTAAATGAGCACTACCGTAGATAGAAACTAAATATTAGATGTATTGCAGTTTATATGAACGTAATAAAATAAATAATAAAACAATAAAGTAATAAAATAAATAATATTACAATAAAGTAATAAAATAAATAATAAAACAATAAAGTAATAAAATAATTTCAATTATACCACATTTTATAATTACGATTGTAATTGTTAGTCAGCATATTTTATCAAGTTATTATGATTTAAAAACATTAGGAAGTACATTTATCTTATCGATATAGCGAGCAACTGTTACAATGAGGAAGTTTTATCGGGTCCGTGGTACTCGTTATAATTAAGTTTGAGTGTATTTAAATCGTGTTTCAGTGATAACTGTTTCGTGCAGAACTATATAAATCGTTTTACAGGCACAAGCTGGCAAGGAAATTTTGTGAAGCTTTGTGGAAACCAGATGGAAATAAATACGCTCGTATACGTACCAAAGAGTTGATTCTTGTAAACCAAAACATAGATGACAAATTACAAGTAAAGCAACGTATAATGAAAAATAATTTACAGGCTTCGGTATATGAATTTGCAGAAATGCCATTAGAAGGTCACAGTCCTCCTAACGAAAAACCATACTTTATACTAAATAGTATAATGTTTTTGAAAAACACAGCTGCTCCTTGGAATAGACATGGTAGTAAAACATATCGGATAACATATCTTTATAATCCAGAGACCAGGAACACCAGTTTCGATAGGACGAGACCTACTTCAGCCGAGGCAGGTTTTATCGAAACGTTTGAAAACCGTGTTATTTGGTATTGGCCTAACGATAAAAAGCTTACTATGGAAATGGTCGCTTCATCTATAAAGCAAAAATGTTCCGAAGTTGATTTGCGTTCGATAGACTATTAAAATGCAATACACAATAAGACAGGTAAATGTATATATTTGTAAATACATATGGTACTGTATGTAAACGAATTATATAATTCTAATAAAGGCATAGACAACTATCATGATAAATGAATACAAGTAATTTTATAAACAAATATGTAAACGATATAATTTATTCTTAGTAAGTACAATTAAATATTCATTTGTAGCGGCGGCACCCATGATTGGGTACGCTTCTGTACTTAAATCTACGATCCATTGTTTTCCAATTTGAACATTAAGTTCAGGTTTTCTATATAAAAAAATATATCTTGTGTGTTCCAGTATTGCTACATACGAACCATCTAAAAATATAATACATTAACACCTAATTCAAATAAGATGCATTTATATGTTACTTTAATACCTACTAATCGGAGAAACGCAGAATTTTTTATTACTTTTGCTAGCTTCTACATAACCAAACCCAGGAAAAGTATAATGATGTTGTATATCCCATTTAGTATCGTTTCCTTGGCCGGTAATCCATAAACAACCATCGTTGTCATGTCTCAGACATATCGCTTTACCAGATTTTGTTTTGTGCGTAAATAACACATGATTACTTGTTCCAAGCATAGCCAAATGTGTATTTTCTTGAGTGACTAGATTAATTCTTTGCAAAAGATTATCTTTTCCTTCAAGGTCACATTCTTCAAGCTGTTCCGCATTGAACCCTACACAAGGTTGACTTTCCAGTTTATTGTCTACTTGATCTGTACACAAATGAGCTAACCTGAACGTAAAAAGAACATATGAAGTATAGTTTAGGAAAGGGAATTTTTTCTTCTAATATATTAGGAACAGCAAAAAAAATTCTTTTTCGATCATTATGAAATAGAGCAATGTTTTTTATGGTAGAGAGGCAGAATGTACCTAGAATGAATTTCGGCGGCCAATGTTTCATTAGGCAAACATTCTCCATCTGTATCACCTTTAATTAATTCGCTCCACATTAATCCACTTTCGTGTTTAAACAATTCTAGTTTACATATATCTTGTTCATATTTCCATGTTGTTAACTTTTCATCTAATCTATGTTGGAATTGGCCTTCTAGCAATACATTATCCATCATTGTTACAGACAGTTTTAACGGCGTTACATCAATTTTGACGTTTTGATGGTTTTTTTCGACGTTAATCCAAACTGTTAACGAATCTTCATCTTGGGACCAGCAATATTTTGGAATTTTTTCTTTACATGCTTGTAAATCCGTACTATCGGTAGACTCTTGTACTTTTGGTGATTCAAATGTAATATAATCTTGACAAATGGAATGTAAATATTTGCCACTATTTTCTATATGTACATATTCAATGGCACCTTTTGTTTTTAAAGATTTTTTCCGTATAAGCTCAAATGATTCGCTTGCATCTCCTGCATTTTTCCAAGCATATACTAATAACAGAAGATTTGTATATTTTTTTTCACCTGTACTTTTAATATTACACATTGCAATAATAACAATTGATTTGTCATTTATATAGTTTACATCTAATATAACTCCAGGCTCTGCACCACTTAATGTAAACATTTTAATATGTTCTTCATTATCCATTACCAGTAATTTTAAACAATCTCCTCCATCAGAGATTGCAACAATATTATCATTACCAAATCCAATAGATGCATTGTATAATTGATTTTGTACAGTCACACAGGAATGATGTATTGAGTGCCTTCGTTTCAAAGTACCATCTATTTTAAATTGCCAAATTAACCAATTGTTATCTATAAACCAACATGATGTGTCGTATGGATTTTTAAATAAATGATTATGAAATGCAAACAATCGAGTTTCCAACAAAGAATCTCGATTTGCAGTCAATTCTAATCTCAGTACGTCTGTAAATTTTTTAAGTATATTTGACATTATTATATTAAACAAGTATAATTCGTTACTTTATTTAAATAGTACTCACCTCCTTCCAAATCTATTTCAGAAGCTATTGGAATTTCATCAGAGGAAAATTGATATTTTTCAAATTTCGAGTTTATTAAATTTTGATCAGGACGTAATTCAACAATTTCTATCATTTTATCTTCTTACTTTTATTCGCACTACTCAAATCGAAAAATAAGGAGAAAAATGTAAAAAAAAAATTATCCCTTTTGAATAACGAATTTTATAATATCAGCACATAATTTATTCTTGATATTTAGTACAATTTTCTTTCTATTATTGTATAAAATTTAATGTTAGTGTTGATTTCTTAACCCTTTCTGTAAATAAATTTAATTTTACAGAGTTGAAACACTGTAAGTCAGAGGTTCTCAAATTGTTTTTAAATTTTCGCGGCAAACACCTGTACGCGATTGAGAACTGCTTTCTTAATCAAGTTTATCAGTAATATTTAGAGAAAATATTAACTGTTACTAACTTTAATTAGTATGTATAACTCTTAAACTATTACGTTTAGAGATAGAAGTATCTGAATATTTTATTGTAGAGATTAAAAAACTGTATCGAATAGTCCAATAAAAATTATGTAGTTATTAATGCATAAAAATTAATAAAATTACATTCAGCTAGCGCATCATTCAATGCCATTTAATTTTATTTCATGACATTTTGTGTATTTTTAATTGTTTTAGGGATATTATTTCCCCAGTTGTTTGGGATTTTTGGTATACATTCGACGCAGCTGTTAAGAAGGTTGGGTCTTCCCCCCCACTAATTGTCCAATCCTCGGCGAGGATTCCTCGCAGCGAGGTCATAGCCGGCTGACTCGGCGTCATTTGTGTGTTTACTACGGAAGGACGTAGTAGGAGATTTGCAAGTAATAAGGTATTTACGTGTTTTATCTGTTATTATTTAATTGTTTCTAATTGCTATTATAGTTTTTGTTCATTCTCCATATTAACATGTCGACTGGTATGGTGGTCTCTACTAACTGACACTTTAAACTTACAATGCGATACAATATTCTTTACGATAGTAAATGACGCTACTTTAATTAGGAATACTGTAAAATAACACACTATTAAATTATCGAATATTTCCATGTTTCACATTATAATTTGAACAAATGTCGAGGACACGTTTAGACATAGAAAATTGGCATGATAGTCAACGTGTTAACTCTTTCGTTTAATATTAATACGATCTCACGTTTTTCCTTTGTTCACTTTGTGCTACTTGGTATACAAATACAGTAATGTACCGTTAACTTTCCCAAAATTTGGAACCTATTAGTAAAAATTGTATACTAGTCTAGTACTAGTAATGACTGCTCTGTAGCATTTTTTAATCGAATAATTATTTTGTAGTTATCATATTTATGGGAAATGTCATAGTATTGAAATTCACAAGTATTTATATTGGTTGAGTACTTTCTAGAAAAACAGTAGAGATAAAAGAAGAGAAACGGAAGAACGCATGTGTGCTCTCCTTTCCCATTTCAAATTCTCTTTCAGTGTTTGCAATGGCTACGCGCCATGTAGTAATTAAGGTTAAGTTTGGTGCATAGATCAGTGCTTCTCATATTGTGGGGGTGCTGATCTCTAGGGTTAGCAGAATAAACCCTATATAACCCCAGAATATTTCCTAGTATTTTTTTCTTACTGAAAGGATCCGTTAAAAGTTTTCTATCGTTGGTAGTACAATCATTCGAAATGAAAAGCAGCGAGTGTGTTTGAATAACTGAAATTTTGTTTAATTTGCGTAGGTATGTGTGTGATTCGTAGGTAAAATCATGAAACGTATCAGACATAATTTTATTATTTTCTTTTAGCAATTACGTCAAATATGAACAAGTACCTCTTCTGATCGACACGTAACACGGAACGGCGGACAAATCACGTTGATGACCTCAATCTACATTCGTGTTCAAACTGTAAGTATCACCTATCGCTATAATAAATTATATAATCTTGCCGTCGCAAATCTTCAAACTATGTTTAAACATTTAATCTAGAAATTCATTCTCGCTCATTACGCGTACATTTTTAAAGACGAGTTGTCTTATTTAAATAGAAATGTATTTCGTGTCGCAGCGCGTGCCGCGAAATTTGAAATTCGAACATTTGGTAATAATTGATTACTATCGTCGCATCTTCATTTTTTTTTTTGCATTAACGTTGATTGCCCGCAAAAATCGAAAGGAATTTCGTATGAAAGTTCCTCAAGATACAAACGATTAGTCCAAAGACAATACTGATTCTATGGAGTTCCGGTTTCTCTGTTGAAATTTCGGAACTCCGAGATAATTGAGTGGACTTCCAAAAGCTCTTCGATCATCCGATAGGTAGATAGGTTGCAGATTGAGAATCAAAGGCCTCGCAGGATCTAAAAAATTAAACGTGCAGCTTATAGCGCATGTAGTATATTGAAAATGAATATTAAGAGTTATTTAATTTATTTGTTTCTTACTAGCAACAGTAAACTGTTGTTTAGTTTTATCAACGAATAAATAAATTATTTATTAAGGTGTACTGACCTAAAGACAAATCTTCGATTGTTGATCGTTGTTTGTTGTTATTATGGTGCGCGTTTACCTAAATAAGGTGGAAATTCTTTTTAAAATAAGTGAAGATATAATACTTGAACAGTGTCTTAAGTGAAAAAGAAAAATATGGAAATGATGCAAAAATTATAATTAAAATGCTCATTGACAGAAGAACCCTAACTGCAGCATGCAATTGGGATGCATTATCTTGCCTTGCTTTTGTTATTCATGCAATATTGATTGATGCATCTTAATTATCATTACAAATTTTTCAGTCCTCACATTGAATATACATTATTTTATGCTTTAAATCTTCTTAGAAATTTATTGACCAGAATGAAGTTCTACAAGTGTTTAAATATAGTATTATGTATCATAAATGATAAAGTGTATGATTTTGAATCTTGCAAAAACAAACTGTTATTTTACAGTTATTTTACAATTGTTTATACTTGAAAATTAGTGCATTTTCATTTCAGTTCCAAGTCGAATATTTGTTAAAAATATTTTTTATGTTATCAAGATTGTTGTATTTTATTTTTTATCGTGAACTGTTCAATTCTTAACAATGTTGTTTTCCTCGCATTTTTTTTTATGGTTACAAATAATTTATTAACCATTCTATGAAGCACTTTGAACAATCCTTTTTTTCCGAGTACAGTAAACAATCTTTCTTACACATAAGTTATATAAAACCATGCAATGACAATTCTTAAGTTAGAAAATAAGAGAGAGAAGTGAAAGTAAAGTAGCCTTAAGCGTCCAATACAGTTTCCTGCGACTCTAACGATGGTACCTCTAGATTTCGTAGTGCGTGTTTGTGTCATCGTGTTCAGGACTGGTTTTTAACGATTCAACGCTCTCCTCAACACTTATCGTAGACGAATTTTCCGGCTGAAAGTATCACATTTTTCCATTACGTTTATCGTGCTTCGTATTTTCGAAATTTCTCAATTTTATTTTTTCTGGCAAACGAGTTATATTTAGAGGAGCGTATTTTTGGATTTTCGAGGAGCAAAATCTCAAACGTGTCAAAATTTATTTTCTCAAGGATATTTTATTCGTCGCTCGTATAACATAATCAATATTGCATATTTATTTAAAAAAAAAAAGATAGGAATACACATACAAAGCCGACGAAGATAAATATGAACAGTGCGTGTGATAGTGGGAATGAACAATAGTGTCACATCACAGTCAAGAATTTATATGTATATCTAACAGATATGAACGCATTTTGTTTTTTGGTGGAATTGAGTCAGTCCTTGAATAATAAAACTAATGACAAAACTGAGTATGATCTTAGTCCAGTTATGGCCTATTAATTTCAATGCAGCCTTCTGTGGACAATATTTCTAAATGTTTTAGGATACTGAAAAATAAACTTGTTGATTTTGTTATCAACGAAGGAATTTGTTCACAGAAGGTTCTCCTGATTGTCAAGGATTTATCTATTCAAGGAGTAACTTGTCGATATTTTCCTTACCGACTTCACGAAGTCTTTGTTGTTTGTATTTTCTTCCTTTGGTTGATCGTTTTCCTCATTTTGATTTTGCTGTTTTAAATCGTCCTCTTCCTCTTCTTCTTCTTCGTACTCCTCACCTGCTTCTTCTTCTTCACATTCTTCTAGTTCTGGTTCCTCTTGAAGATCCTCCATGGACTGAAACAAAATTATTTAATATGTTCAGTTGCATGTTAGAGTTCAACATTGTTTATTTTCTATTCTATTATTGTAGTAGTTAAAATAATAAGTGTAAGAAGTCTGTATTCCAAAACAATTACAAAATATACTTTTTAGTAAATTTATATATCATTGTATAATATTAAAAAAAAAATTAGAGCGTTTGTTGTTTTTAATTACATTTTTGAAAATAACACACGTATTTAAGTATTTAAGAGATACTTAGGTGAGAACTATTATAAAAAGTGTACACAAACAGTGTGTTCTAGTTTATTTTGAATATTCAAAATTTTAGTTAAATTGTAGTTATATTGTTTCATTTGAATGAATATTCTAAAGAAGTTACAGTTTCTTAGCTAGACTTTATTTATCAATTGATGTATTATATATCTCGAAATCTTGCAAATATTTTCAAAGCGAGCTTACAAAGTGGATATAGTTATTAACACAGTTGTTAATTTAGTTATAAAATTTAATTATTTACAGTCCTCAAAAAGCTTCGGTCGAATGATCGTCAAATATTATGCATTTATGTTTAAACAGTGAAAACTATGATCCTGTTTGCAAGCTACTTAGATCTTAATATATAATTTTTATAAAAAAAAGAAAAAATCTTTACGAATGGATTTGGTTTCGGAGGTTTAGTGATGTTGCCTGTATTTACCCCTAGGAGCTCCTTCTTCTCTGGTTCCTCATCTGCTGTAAGATAGAAACGATCGTTACTTTGGAAATAATCTAAATAGAAATTGAATTTTTAAATAATTAGTAATAATTTTATTGTAGCAAAATCTTTTCTCGTCAATTTATCTAATCCTTCGTCTATAAATATTTTCTATGGTTCTCCATCGTATTTTGCTTTTTTGTTTTAGTGGCCTTGGATTAAGAATTAAAGGAAAGCCATCTCTGAACAGCAAATTCATTTCGTTTCCTACCATCATATCAAGTTAGATTTCAAACTCGATCAAACCTACCTTTTATATGAACTCTTTTATCGTTAATTAAGTCTTTAGACTCCGCGTTGGGCACCGGTTTGTACTCTTTGACCGCTGGCTTCATGTGCGTACCGTTAGGTCTCTTCTCGTCCTCGTTCACGTTCATGAAGCCCACGGTTTTCACACCAGTCGGTATCGATTCTGTGTATTGCGGCGATTGCCATCTCTGAGAACTGGAAGTTGGCACCGTTGACGTGCCCGAGACCACAGACGCTCTTCTGCTGTGTCGATCTTTTCTCGCGCTTCGCCAAACCTCGTAGATGCAACCAATAACCGCCGCCACGAATATGCAACACAGCGCTATGAAGATATAAGTACCAGCACCTTGTTCCTCTTGCGTTGCGTCAGCGTACTGAGACTTGTATAGTATCCTTTCTGGCGGATCCTCCACCCAGGCTTTGTCACGACCCTGAACAGAAAGTTTCGAGTCCTTTTGAGTAGCTGTTATATCATCAGGGCTCGGAGACTAATCTCAAGTAATTATCATTCTTCGAGAACTTCAGTGATCAATTGCTAGGTAATATTTAATCTTGGGAGTACTCACGCGGAGTGTTTGCAGATCCTCAATAGAAAGTAACACTTAACGATCACAATGTATACAAATTATTATTCCAGGTTTTTTTATTGATTTTATGACCATTTACATTTTTCCCAGCGGTGGTGATTTGCTGGATCCTCGTGTGAGTACTCTCAGGTTAAAATGTAGGATGTTAGCTTACTTACCACGCTATCGTTTCTAGGCGGGTCGAGGCCACGTGGTTGCGCGTGAAAGACCGCGCACTGAGCGCTCCTGACTCCAGCAGGTATCGTCGCTCGGACGGTTTCACTTCCCTGTTTCGTAAAGAGCATATATTCCTCGAGTGGCTTCATGCCAGGACCTCCGTTGATCGATACCACGACGTCTACAAGAAGAGGGTATCCGTCATTTCGAATTTGCAATGTGGCTGATGATCGTTTTGTCTAACATAAGAAAGACAGTATTCTGTTAGAACAGTGATCGCACGTCACTGCAGATGATCGTTCGGGACGACAGACTTTTCAATTGGATGATTTTAACGTGTCACTCACTGCTGAGACAGCCGGTGTATCCTTTGTATACGCTGAACCGGGAATCAGTCGTGTTTAGGCCACCGAGTTGGATCTCCGTGACACCCGGGCTGTCGTCTTCGTCGTCGCCTAGGTTCAGCACTGGGATTGCCAGAAGCGACACAGGCTCGCGATCGATCTAGAAGCAAAGATAAAATACTTGCACCACTGCCGCCTAATGAACAGAGCATTCCAAAAATAGGCTGAACCAGTAATAGAATTATTAATAACGTACCAAAAGTGTAGCCGTATGGTTGTCGCGAACATAGTAGACGCTGTGTCGAGCACCGTTTAGGAAGTTTCTATCGTTCAATCGTACTCCTTGAGCAGAACCCTCCCTGTCTTCCTCGAATATTAGTTGGCCTTCCGACGTCAGGGCAACCAGCAGATAGTAGCTTCTTCTGGAAAAAAATGTTTTCGACAGACATCCAAGACGTTCCAAGAGAGGCTCGTTGGGTCGTTCAGAATTTAAGAATCCACGAAGCGCGAATGTTAAAGGACCATCGAGGGCTTACTTGTTTTCTGTCTGTAGAAGTAGAAGCGACGTGGTTTGTTGTCGTAGCTCGCTGGTCGAGAAAGCCAGTTGAACCTTCACTTGGTTCACTTCGCCGACGAGGTCGAACTCGCGTTGGAGAACACTCTCGCCGCTGAAATCTGCTCCTTTTTCTAACAGAGAACGCGATTATTTGAAAAAATATACTTCGATTTAAATCAGTTTGTAGTTTAAAGTTACTGACGGTCTATTCTTTTCTTGCTTTACAAGCGTTCTTACCATCGGCGCAATTCTCCCCGAAATAGGACGTTAGTTCGCAGTTGCACGAGGACTCGTGCCTGCCAAAGTCCTCCGTGCAGATTCCCAGGTTCTTGCAAGGCACAGCGTCGCACTTCATCTGGCAATATGGAAGGACTTCCTTACTGCCTTCGTGATTTGCTTCGTTGGCGAGATTTCGTAGGTCGACGAGATAGTCGCCGATCATCAGTCCACGTAGACACCCGACGTAGCCTTTGATCAGCATGCCCTCTTTGCCGACTCTCAATAGATCGTCCGAGTCAAAGCCTCCTAGATTCACCTATGTAAGATGACTAATCATTGCGTACATTCAGTAAAACGTAACAGCCTGAAATCTCACCTGAAAGTAATCACTGGGCGGCGCCGGTGGCCTTTGCGGTGCTAGGACCTCCTTCTCCGGATTTGTCCAGGGTTTGTTCGAATAGGTATCGAGCAGCACGGGAGTGGCGTTCAAAGTAACATTGTACTCGTTCACGTGTAACGTCGTGGATCTTTCGTTCCGGATTATCGCGATTTGCACCGAGATCCCCGTGTTCGCGTCTAAAAGCGAGTTTGACCTGGATTAGTAGAACATAACTCGCCTTTCTCGAAGAAAAAATATCTTCGCTTACCTGGATATTCGACGGTGATGTTTTTTATTTCGTTGCCGGCGTTGAACAAATAAACGATGTTCGTTCCATTTGAGATGTAGAGGTGGGCGAAGTTGTTCAAGTGATCGTTCGCGTACAGTATCAACGAGTGTGTATCGTAGGTCCTCAGATTGATCAGTATGTTCTGCAATAGTATGCCCTTCAATAATAATTTCTCCTCGTCCTCCTCGTCAGACCCAAAGTAGTTCTTCTTTAAGAAAGCTCCTTGCGACGTGAAGGTCAGGGCTCTATAGTTTATGTCTAAGCAATCATCGACGAAGGGAATTAGTATCATAAAAGGTGACACGAGGCTTGTGACAGGTGATTTTGTATTTGGTGCAAAAGCTTACTCTTCTCGCAATAGGTGCCAAGGTGAGCCCATCTGTTCTCGCAGACGCACTCGAATTTGCTCCAGAGTTCTACGCACCTGGCGCCGTTTCGGCACTTATTCGGTTGACAAGAGGGCTTGCAGTCCTTGATAATCTCGGACAAGTGGACCGACATGTAGCTGTGAATGTCCAGGATCTCACCGTTCACGACAAGACCACGGAAACACCCAATGAGACCCTGTCGGACCGAAGAGGTTCTCAAGTGTTCCCTAGAAGAAAATACATACTTCAACAAATACAAAGCGAAGCTATTAAATGGCGTCGCCTCGAGCAACTATGTTTAAATTGTTCTGCAACAAGTTCAACAGAACTACTCACGCAGTAGCTCCACCGATGAACATGGAACCCTCGAAGGGTCCAAACTCCTCCTCAGGCAACAGATCAACCATTTGGTATTCAGTGTTGATCATGAATCTAACGTGGTAGTCGTTGTAGTCGATCCAGATCTTTTGCCACTCACCATTATTCAGTTTTCGTATACTCTTCACTTGCAAATCTCTGACGGTACCGGTATTTAAGGTAAAATTGAACGTCAAACGGAACTCCGAGGTCAGAGCTACCATGAAGGACGGATAGTTGCTTCTGATAGGCGGCTGGTACAGTAGAATAGCTTTTTCGCCGGTTGTCCGAAAGCTGAAGGCTATGTCTCCTTTTCGCCAACCTGGTACCTCGATGTAGGATTGCGAGGTTGTGAATGTGACCACGTACTTCTGTGTGTCTAAACAATCATATCAGGTCACTCAATCAATTCACGTCTGTTGCAAGTTACAAGAATTCTACAAGAAAACACTGAACGATTACTTACTCGTTTCAACGCATTCCAACGGGCCTAAAGTGACCCGACCTTGTGCATCCTCTTCCAGGTCTCTTTGTTGCAAGAACACCATTCCTGTGATGCCTAGAGAGTCCGGGGTCTCGTAGTAACCTTCATCGGACAACCACTTTCCAGCGTTACCAGTTACGACGTCGCAATTGCAACTTAGATTCGAGTCGACGCATGTCCTGTTCACTGAACACGAATGAAAGTACCGGTTGAGGAAGCAGTTTATTCGTGCAACGATAGTTTTCAAAGGAAATAGTTTTGGATCTTCCAACACTCACTTCCACAAGGGCAGGAACCTCTGTTAACATTTCCAATGTAGTCGACGGTAGTCCCCTTCGAATTCAGGAACCACGTAGCGCTGTGCAACTCCAAAGGCGCTTTGTAACAATCGTATTTAACGTACTGGCTACAGTACAACGAATGTGAGATCAATTCTTGGAGCATCTCGCCGGTGAACTGTCTGTATTTGATGTGGAAAGAGAAATCGGACTCAGCGATAGACCTCACGTCGACTTGCGAGGGTAAATTGTGCTCCACTATCGTTTTCGTCGAGTCCTCGATGGACTGGAACTCGCATTTCACGAGGGCGGGTGGAAATCTGCCGTTTCCGTCGATGTCGATTTTATAAACGTTGTCTTGGGTGTAGCCTAGCAGAGCGAGTTCCTCGCACGTCTTTCTATATTGAGCTGGAAATAATCAGTACACGCTTTAACTGTTTTCTAATTTGCTTGTCGACTTTCGAGATTCACTCACCGAAATGGCAGTTTTTACCCATGTAACCAGTGTCCTCGCAATCGCAGGTGATCCTGTCTTCCTTCACCGAACATTTCCCTCCATGTTCGCAGGTGTTCGGCCTGGTACAAGGATCCACGAACTGGCAGTTATCCAAAGCTACTTCTCCAATGACTCTTTCGGTGTTGACCACGTATCTAGGCTCTATCCTTTCGTCGTTCACTCGAATCTCGCGCATACACCCGACCAGACCTGATCCAAACCATAGCGTCTCACACTTGTCTCGGTTCCATTAAATCTTCAGGCTTACCTGCATTGCTCTTTCCACTTCCGATTATCACTTTGTCGCCTAGTTCGAACGTCATGGAGAACAGTTTGCTCTGCTTGTTTCTATAGTCGACTAGAACACTGAGCTCCCCCTTGGTGTAATTAAGTTCAACCGCGTGCCAGGATGTGTTGTAAGGTGGAAACTTCACGGCGGCTGAGACGGTTATGTTCTCCAACAACACGGGAATCAGTTGGAAACGTATTTCATCGTTGACCAAGCGAAGCTGATAGATACGTGTTAACAGTATTATTTTGTGGACGAAAATTTTAGTGTCTCTGCTGATCGTTACCCTGCATTTAGTGCTACTCACCTCCCAGTATCCAAGACCACGATTGCTCTTTACGTCTCCCGACGCAACTACCGCCACGGGTTTCGAGCTTTTGAAATCGAAATTCAACTTCAGGGAATCGGTACGCGCTATGGGCCACCAAATGTGGCTCCCAGCGAATGGATATGTTATCGGTATCACATCAACGTCTGCTTCGTAGTATTCAGGCTCCAACACGCCAATGTAGTGCACCATGGGATTCGATCGTTTCAACTCGTAAATGATGGACTTGTCGTTGAAGAACACGTACTTCAGCGAGCCTGGAAATTATTTTATCAACTTCGATTAGCTACTTGGAGCTGAGATGCTTATTATTCTAATATATTGTATTTTTGTTCTAGGTCCACCCAGGCAGTGTTTCGTGTTACTTGACAGCGTGAAGATTCAGCTTTTACAGTGCTTTGATGGAGATATAGGATTCCAAATACTGTGTTCTATCAGTGTTGGCCTGTGACCGCCAGTGCAGGCGGCTACCTATGGTAGCCGTGGCGGTGCAGGCCTAATAATCGGCTGGAAAGCCATCCTGCTAGAACTCAGCGTAAGCTGGTAGTTCCTCCTTCGCGTGGTCCTCGTGGACCAAGCGAGTTGCTTCCGAAAGGTAGATTCAACTTGTCCTTCATGACCCAGTGGATTCCAAATACTGTGTTCTATCAGTGTTGGCCTGTGACCGCCAGTGCAGGCGGCTACTTATGGTAGCTGTGGCGGTGCAGGCCTAATAATCGGCTGAAAAGCCATCCTGCTAGAACTCAGCGTAAGCTGGTAGTTCCTCCTTCGCGTGGTTCTCGTGGGCCACACGAGTTGCTTCCGAAAGGTAGATTCAACTTGTCCTTCATGACCCAGTGCAAAAGCACAGGGATTTTTCAGGTTGTACGTGCAACGTCTACTCTCACAGTGACCTGCTGAGTATTACGGAGCAAAGGAAACACTGTGGAACAAGGATGAACAAGGATGACACATGGAGAGAAGGGAACGTCCACCGAGAAGGATAAACCGATTACAGACCGACAAAGGGGGAAAAGTGCACAGGTATACGCACACAGATACAGGTACGCACACGTGGTGAGTGTAGATATAAGGATAAATTAATTAATTTAATAGATTGTGTGTTATAGTCCCCTCGCAGCCATTTGCTGGAGAGGGTGGAGGTCTACAAATAACACCTTGTCAAAAACTCCAAGATGGTTTCCTCTGTCGAAAAGAAGAACCCAAGCGCAAACTTTTTTTTGCAGCTATTTAGGAGTCTTTTCAACGCGTTTTTTTTTTTAATTTGATAACGATGAGGAGTTAGTTTTTATAAGCTACCATTTTGAGCGCTACGACTAATGCTTGCTCTTCTATTTTTGGAAGAGTCGTATTAGTCTACGGCAGCTAAAGGATCTCAAATGATAAGTTTTGTCATTTGAACTCGTTACTTTTTATGAGTTTGATCATAACGCGTCGCGTTGATTGGGGGCTATCGTAATGCCTCAAACATTTGTTTATACACCTCTTATTTTGTTTATATATACCTTTTTATTTTGGTTGATCCGCGAAAAAGAACGGTGACTGGTATAATTTATTTTAATTTGATATTATTATATAAATGTTTGTGTACCTGCGAAGTTATTGTGCGAGAGGAGACCCATTTTCTTGTGCAGTTCAGGCCCACCGCCGATGTAGATTTCGGGATCGATGATCATATTGTAATTTTCTCCGGGTACTTCGAGCACTTTTATCTCGTCGTCCAAGCTGACGAATACTAAAGAACCGTTGTGGAATATCGTGAGATTATTCCAGTGATTCGCAGTAATGTAGTCACCGAGCACCGTAGCAATTTTCGAGTTATGTCCGAAATCTAATGCGACGTGAACCGATCCATTCATGATGGAGGCTGCTATATAGTGCGGCGTCCCATCAATTTCGCCGGACGCGTAGAACAGAGCCGAATCATCCCATTTTGTCTATGCAGAAAGATAAAAAAGATATTTTGAGATGTTAGTTTATAATAGTTTATTCACGCCAACCAATAGTTCTGATTTGCACAAAGGGTATTGCCTGTTCAGTTTCTATGAAACACTTATCGTTGACAAATTCATTATTAATTTAATATATTTGTTCTTGTTTGTTTGCATGTTAAGTGTGTTCGTATGGTTTAGATTGTTTAAACTAGTCAGTTTAAATTTGTTTGTTTTTTTCGGGTTTCTTTTACTTTGTTCAAGTTTGTCCGAGTTTATTGAAGTTCAACTTCGTTCGATTAATGATAATTAATTTGTCAAATACCTTGAATGCAAGGCTTATTCTGTTGACGGACGAATGAACTCTGTCTTTCCAGTCATACACGCGAAAAGAGACGTACGAGGAGCCTCTCAATGTTAAAATTGTTGCCGCTGAAAAGATCAATTCATGAAAATTGAAATAAGGCTTGCGAATGAATCCTCTTTAGATTCGAATTTTAGATCGTATCGCGTATCGATGGTGACGATTATTAATTTACGTACTGTACACATCGCAACGTTCGCCCTCGTATTTCGTCCCAAAGCAGTCGCAAGTCAAACTGTTATAGTGATTTACGCATTGCGTGGAAATGAAGCAAAGATTCTCTCGCGTTCTGCATCTGAAATTCGACACGAAATTAAATTTATCGAAACCCTGGGACCGATACCATAGAATATATTTCGTCGAACGTCTCACTTGTCAATGCACCCCTCTTTCACATTTTCGTGCTTCGTGGCGATCAGAGGCTGGATGGGCAATAGATCGCTGGCAGATTTGCCAGAGCTCAGAACCATGTCTCTTATGCAACCGACGAAGGATTCTATTATGTACTTCACACCGTGTAACCGTTCTTCGGAACTCAATCCTGACGAAACATACATAATTCATACAGAATTTGATTTGTTATTCATCGTGAATTATGTGTCTCGATGAATTATTTACACAACGTAACTTCTATGGTTTCAACTGATAATTCGTTTCCGAGATGTATGAGGTAAAAGGAAAAATTTTTGGTCATTGACACAAAATATATTGATTTTCCGTTTAATCAATACTTATAGCTTAAAATATAATTATTGTTTTCTATTTGGTGCACTGCTATGCTTCGATACTTCAATCACGTGATTAGCACGTGACAATCACGTGACCGCCACGTGTCGACTATCATTCTCAGAAGAGCAATTGTATTTCAATTTATAAATTATTTTTTAAACAGTTCATCGAGACATTTAATTTGAAGAATGACCGATTAAAAAAGTGACTTATTTACGGAACCCTTCATTTTGTTATCACCTCCTATAAGAACGACGGACGCCAATTCCTCCGAAACCCCATAATTGATCACGTGTTCGAGAACTTTGAGCGTGGTCTCTTCCTGTTTGTCGTCCACTCTGGCGATCAGTTTCGCCCCGTGCACGTCGATTCTTACCAAAACGCTGTGCCATTCGTCTCGATTCAGCCCCTCGCCGACGGTCAGGCTAGTCGATCGTTTTCCAAACACGTGAACAACTTTCAGTTGGCCCTTCTCGACGATCACGTACAGAGCGTACGGATCCAGACCTTCCGGTCGATCCTTGACGCTGTGGTACACCAGCAGACCGTGCGGTAATTTTGTGCGGAACTTGAAGGATATCTCGCGACACAGACTGCAAATTAAAATCGCATTTAACCCCCTTCAGTCGCTTTACGCTTTGCTAATCGCGGTGATATTCGTATAGCGCTCGATAGTGTTCACCCACCGAAGTTGAAACGGTTTTATCCCGCTGCCGTCGAGCTGAATGAACGTGTTGCTTTGCGCGAACATGAAGGTCTTCTCGTACCCAGATTCCATGAAAGTTAGCTCCTACGAAACAATTCTCCTAGTATAGTTTCACGTTTCAAAATAATCAAAGGATCGCCTATCAAATTGTTCAAACGTTTCTTTAATTTGTAGTTTGTTGAAGTTTGAATGCGTTACAGACGTTTTTGAGTCAGGTTTCGTTGAACTCGAGACACCAAGCGAATCGTGGAAAGTTAACCGTGCAAAATTTGGCGAGAGTTAATCGCGCGTTACCGTAACCCACCTTTCCTCTTTTGTACTTCGGTACAGGTGGTCTTGTCGGTGTTGTAGGCGCAAACGTTACTCGAGGAGTGATGGCCGTGGTGGAGGGCAGTGTGTTCGTGGTCGCGGTGCTGGTCACAAATACGCTGCCCTTCGTGACGAAATAAGGCGGCAACGTATCTGAAAGTATCGTGAAACGTTTCCTCGAAGACTTAGTCTACGTTAAAATCTAACGTAAAAGAACAAATCGGATTCCTTACGTTCAGGACCACCCACGCAGTAATGAAGGCACTCAGTTTCCGAGTTGAAACGATTCTCGTTTCCCAAACAGCCGCCATAGGGGAACCGCCTGCACTTTCCCTCGATCTTGTTGAACCACCACTTGGGGATGTACGGTTTGCAAGGACCCGGATCGGGTTTAAAGAGACATCTGTCAGGAAACGTTCTCTTGGTTGTCGTGAACCCGTCCATTTCGTCGGACAAGTCGGTCTCCGACGAGTCGGTCAGGTTCGCTAGGATCATCGCGTAAATGTTCGCCCAAACGAGGATCTTGAAGATCCGTTTGTTGTGGTCGGCCATCGTTGTTCTTTCGCTGAAAAATCAATCGTAACTTTCGGATTCGTTTGTCGAAAATGTGTTTCTCGTTACAACCTGTTGCTTCGATCACTTCGAACAGCGTCAAACAAGTACCTTCCTCAATTTTGATACGTCGGTCCCGTAGAAGACCTATACGATAATTGCTCGAACGCGACAAAGTAACTTCAACTTGCGTAACCGAGTTCGCTTCGAACATCGTCAAACTTCGGTACCTCCGGTCTTAGAAAATTCGTGATCCAATCGATCGTTACCCGGATAATTAGAAAGTATCTGTTTGTTTCTTTCATCGAATAACCGAACCCGCACGGAAACACTGTCGAAAATATTCTCGTCGCACTGCTTCCAACGATCTCGAACCTCGTGTCTCGTGATTCGCGTCTCAAACTCGAAGCACGTGATCCCTCGAAAAAATCACCCCTGTAATTGTTGCGCGCAGCCCGGCGACACATGCACGTCGCCCATGCTATATCGTCTTTTCCGCGTGAAATCGCGTCTGAACGGAGGCGACGAAATATTAAGCAAGCCAAAGCCCGAGCAAAGGTAAAGAGGCGGTGAGATCTCACGCGCTAGCCATTCAGTGACAGTTTTCTGCGTCCAAACATTGAGGACGCACGAATCTGCGTACCTTGACGTGCCGTGGTCCAAACGAGATCGCGACTAGCCAGAGGACAGGATGTGACGTCAGGAGGCCCCCGGCAAGCACGGCGGCGAGTCAATTGTCTTCTTTCGCACTGACACACACTGAGGGATCCGATCCCACACGAACGACACGCGCTGTCACGTTTACCGACAGACGGGGAAGCTGTTGAATCATTTTCCACGTTGGTCGATGTTATACAGGGTGTCGCGGCAAATTGGGCCAACCCGGTACCGTTAAGACAATGGAAATCAAACGCGATGTTTCAAGGTTACCTTTTTAGAGTAGGCGTGGGTCACTTCGAACTTATGGGTTATCGGTGACTTGTTGTAAATCATTTGAAATCTATTGCAAAACAGATCGCAGGTTTGCATTTTATCGTGGGGCATTCGCAATGTATCAAAGACATTGCCTTTCTTCTTGAAGTTAAATCAAGACAATCAGTTTAGTTTGTTCATTAAAATCCAAAAAATAATTTTTCTTTTATAATCGTTGAAAAATAAAATAAAATCCATGCAGTAAAGGTTTAGTACTGCAAGACAAGTACTTTAGTCGGACGTATGAGTTTCGTTGCAGACCATTACTTTAGGGGGTACATTTTTGTCATCACGTTATGGTATAACCCCATAAGTATCAAGTTACTATTTTTCCAAAATTGATGTTCATTTCCTATGTGTTATTTTTGAACGGTTATTAAACAGGAAAAATAATTTTTTATACCGAGACACTTGTACAGCATACGGTTGAACGATAAATTTACTTCGAACCGATGCGTCTGGATATTTCGAAAATATAAAGTTTAGTTTCGTAAACAATTTTTGAATTTAAAAAATTATCAAATATTCAGTCACCAATAGTTTATAGATCTCACGTAGGTAATGGTATAAGAAAACTGAAATATGTTCGGAGTAAACTATTGAAATAGTTCTTTATAAAGTAGCTTGTTCGTCGATCAAAAAGAAATTGTTTTTCCTAAAGTGTTCGAGTGTCTTTTAAATTCGAATAATATTTGAAGGGGTACCGAACCTTTCTGCGACTAAACCGCTTGAAATCTTGCGAGAGAGAGAATCAAATACTCGTCGGTGTCCATCATTGTCCCCGTCATCGCCACCACTTCCACCTCTTCCTATTAGTCTTGCTCTTCTATCTGTTGTTCCTCCGCCTCCTGTCGATGCTCCTGTTGCCGCTGCTTGTAGCAACTAGACACTAATTTATTAATACCACTCCGACTGCTGCTCTCTCTTACTCATCACGGTTTATTGACTATCATTACGGATTCAGTCACCATCGACACTTTTTCGCATAACCCATTAACTCTTACCGTTTCCCTCTCTTTCCTATCATTATCTAAAACTGTCCTTACAATTTTCATTCGACAGAACTCGTTCAGTATCCAATCGTGCATGAATTTTGAAGCACTCGTGTACGGTAGATTTAAAAAAATTTAATTTTCGGTAGCTTCGTTTTGATTTTCACAACAGTGACCTCGAGTGTGTTTTTTTTAATCAATCAGATTACACTTTATTATCTACTGAGCGAATTATTAGGTCCATTGACTGTTAACCTTTCAGATGCTGCGCTCGAGTATACTCTGTATATTTAAGTTAGAGAAAACAACAGGTATAGCTAGTAACTTGATTTTACGAAAGTAATTTTTCAAAATTAATTTCCTACGTCGATTAACCAAGCGAGGAATCGTTATAGATGCAACTCCAGTTTAGACATCGCGATATTTTTTATTTGAAAAGCTAGTTGGTGCATTTCTTATTTTGAGGCAGCAAGGTGGAACACTCCTCGTGGGTGCTCCTTCTGTTGTCCTCGGAAAATCGATATATCGAGCAAACCTGGCGACTGGGTCATTGTAGCAGCCAAGTTTTAAAGAGAAACCTCCGCGAGAACGAGGGAATACCTGTTCCCCTGTTTACCCACTAATGAGCAATCAAATTTCGAATTTTTCCTTCTAATTTTTGCGTGCGATATTCCAATTAACGGTAGTATATCACGAAATAGAATAATTGAGCAATTAGGAGAAGGATTTTCTTTCAAGGTAGGCCCTTTTCCCATAGAAAATGTGAAACTATCGACAGTTGAGATTCCGTTTAATTAAAAATAAAAATAACTTCAAAAAAATTTGAATTTGTTTCACGGGAGTTGTAACATTTTCAAAATAAATTTAGAAACAGGAAATGGTAGAATTGTCAAAATATTGTGAACAGAGAAACGACTATATTAAGAATAGATAATTTATTTTGACCACGAAGTAGCCACTGAATCTCAATGCAGCTTCTGAATCCTGATTCCTTTAGTGAAAAGTAATTTCTTATAGCGTTTCTCTGAGCACGGCGATTTCATTTGAGAAGAAAGGTTGCTGCGCAACCGGAAGTCACGTAGGGCGCTACATCGATCTTATCCTTTGAAGGGAGACGATTCAATTTCCATAAAGGAAGTTTGTCTCTTGGAATCTAGCGTCTAACGCGCATAGCAATGAAACGGATGAATTAGTCAGTGAATCATTTAATACGTGAATTGTGCATTCTTTAGGCAATATCTATGAAGCGTGTGAATAAAGTATGAACGACAGTGGTCGATACAACCGACCGAATAGAAACAAAGGAGACTTAACGAACACGTCGGAAACTAATTGTTCTGGTGGGTATTCAGCTTTTCAATCAGTATATCAAGAGTCCTTTATGCGACTACATCTGCAAATAATCCGTATCCCCCGAAAAATCAAATATTCGCGCGTTCCAAATTCATCGAAAAAATCCAAGCCTGTAAATAGTAAAATAATATCGAAAACTCAGACTAATCTGTGTTTACTTGCCAAGTTAGTATCTCCGTTTCCTAGAAAAGATATTCTATGTGTGCAACTTGTTGCAGCAGTCGGGCAAAACCTGAATTGTGAACGAAGGGTCACGGTACTATTAGTAGTCGCTAATGGAATAATTTCTAACTCGCGTGTCAGAGTTAAAATTAAAGATTTGAATATTAGCAAGACACTTTTTCGATAAAAAATCATTTTCTACCAACACGGTTCGCCTATCCCATTAATTGGATTGAGTATTTAAGGACGACGTCCTAATTGGTGCGATTAATAATTACTGTGCACGGTGGCACACGAGCCCCACTGCGTCACGCTTAAGAAATGTTCTCTAATTTTGCTTTATTTTTCCCGAGTGGTCAATTACGAGTCAAAGACTTCGGATTAAGAACATTTTCCTTTAACGAGGTCGGACGATCGCGATACATAATCCAAGGGAAAATGTCATGGGCAAAAAAAAATGTATAAATAAATTTAACTATCGATTTTGAATGTTATTACCAACACAACGTGTGTTTTCTTGTGTTACATTGTATAGTATGCAAATTCGTCCTTAAAAAGCGAGCTCATTTTTTTTTAGCAATCAGAATAATTTAATTACTTGGTTGACTGTAAAGTATTTCTGTTTGTTGACTATAAAACTGTAGATTAACGAGACTATAAAACGATTGTTAAGAGGATCGTTTAACTTACGTTTGATAAGAATAGGACTATAGATAACGCTATATAGTTTACTATAAAATGCTTGTTGATACGATTATAGAGTCCACTATAAAACGTGTGTTAATACGAGTAAGCAGTCTGCGCTAAAATGTTAGTACAACTATATTATTTTACTATAAATCGTTTGCTAATACGATTGTTCAGTCTACTATAAAATGTGTGTTAACACGTATGCACAATATACTATAAAATATTTGTTAACGCGACTAGAGTCTATTACGAAACAGTTGTTAACAGGACTATAGAGATTGCTATAAAATGTTTCCTAACAGGGCTATACTATAAAACGTTTGGTAACACGACTACAATTTGCAATAAAGCGTTTATTAACAAGAGTGTAGAGTATACTACATTCCTTAACAGGGCTATTAGAAACCACTATAAACAGTTGATGAAACTGACTAGAATTCAGTTCCTTTTTGTTCTAAATCAGAAACTTTCCTTTTTTAATTCTCGTTTTACTAAATTTTATATCATTGCTATATACCGCGGTCACCGGTTACTAGAAATTCCACTCTTTTTGGCGAGCAACAAGTTACTTACACTTGTCAAACATGGCCATAAAACATCACCGAATTGTCACCCAAACACGTTGTAAACAATCACAGAGAACTTGGTTTGAAAATGAAATGATTCACACGCGGTGGACGAAAGATGTTCTGTTTTTCAAACAACGTATCGGATCGATTAAGTTATTTTTCGTGTCCGTTGGTGGAGTTTTCTTGGAAGAAATTTTTACAAGTATAGTCTTCACTGGTCCGCTGGTCCCTCGAGGCGCGCGTCGCGACGGAATCGCGCTTACGACTGACACATTAACTCATTCTCCGAGCCGCCGTCGTGCCACAGGCTTTTTCTCCACCCACGCAGCCAACCGCGTATCAATTGAGGGTACTATCACGAGGTCTAGTTCTGTAAAAGGTGTCTCGGAAGTGTCCGGTTAACTCGCGAGTTCCTTTGCAAAACTACGGTCAATTGGACACCAACGATTTTCGTTGATCGCTGCCCGTCTAAACGTCCAAGGCAGACCCGTTTTTATTCGATTCGTTTCCTCACAGATGTCTATAAATCGAATATTTTTTCATCTCAAAAAATTTATTTCAAACCCCAAGAAAGTGCATTTTGTCGTCGTCGTTTAAAGTTCCTCGAAATGTTCGTAAATGAAATTTCCACTCCCCCGCTGCTCATTGTCTCGAGCTGAGCATAACATAATTTTCTCAACAAAGACAATGCACATGTATAGGGAGGGTAAGCGAGAAAGAAACAGTGTAGCAGCGACGGTCGAGTGTGTGCACTTCAAAGGAACGCCGCGAGCATTAAGATGAATCGTCCAATCAAAAAAATAAAAATTTCTACAATTTTCACCCTATATTTACGATACTAGCATGGACGGATTGGCGAGGTTCTCCCGATAAAAATGAGTACAAACACGGTAGAATTATATAAAAAAAAAAAATAAAATATGCGCAGGGTTGCAAAAAAAGAAAATCAAAAACAGAGAAGAAAAGGCTCGATGATAGATGAGGGCAAAATATAGAGTACAAAGTAATTTAAAATAGAATTTTCAATCTCAAGGTCATACCAAGGTCATGCTGATAGAGACGTACAAACGTATGTTACGATCGAAGAAGTCATCCGAATGTTACGGATTTTCTTTTAAAGATATAAATTTGTTTGGATTCTGATTCTCCTTGATCGAACGTTAAATAGTAATCTTCGCGTGGGCAGAAGCTAAGGATCAATAACCCTTCCGTTGTGGACGAAACGCGACCTTCTAATTCTCGAGTAATAATGCGTCGGATGCGTGCAGAGCCAATTTGTCTATTATCTCGTTGTCAGATTTATTTGTTACACTTCTGGTGACTCACACGAGGAGGCACGTAAGACTCGTTTTCGTTCGTGGTTCTACAGAATCTTTTTTTTATCGTCTCGTATAAATTTCGACTCGATTTAATTTAATTTAACAACGCAACATTGCTGTTCGTTAATCATCAATTAGACGAGCAATATTAATCCACTCAAGGGATCTTAGATATTGACATATTAATACTGTTGGAGCAAATAATATTTATTACTATTCTTATAATAAATAGTATTTCTTTAAAAATCAGTAGTAGTTAAATTCGAATTTTGACGATACAGCGAATAATAATATATTCACTGCTGTCGTAACTGTTCATTGACCTACAGTAACATTTGCATTTGGGTTTCAGCGATTACGCGAACGATATTAACGAATTGCAATTGCATCCTTCGTTCCACTTATCAGAAGTTGCACTCGACAGTCGTAATTTGTTGACACGTTTAATTAAAAAATAACACGCTACCGTTAATCGTCCCCCGTTGATTATTGATCGCTAAAAATTTTTGATTTAACGTGCTTAGCAAACGCTTAATAAATAACGCGTAATCATTCCGCGATAATTGTTGCTAAAACGCTTGACCTACATGTTGCGTGCATTCCACTTAGCTTCGCGCCGTGAACTTTTTATTTAACCCGAGGTGTGGAAATTATTTAACAATTACACGTAGATAAATTAGCGAGACGCGTCGACTGTCGTACAGCACTTTTGCCGTTTTTTATTCAATAATAAATAACGTGGTAATTTTATCAGAATTCCTGCCCCGTTTTCTAATAGAAACTGCACATAATTCCGCAGGAAAGTGTCAGAAGATGAATGAAGAAAGCATAAAGAAAATGTTCCGCGACAGGTTATAATCAATATTCGATAAAGTATCCTTACATTTGAAATTCATTTGGAAATATATCCGTAGACATTTACCGTGTTTCGAATATGCTCAAGTATAAATTTAAACTTTCATAAGTAGTCTGTTATTTGCATATTAGTTGCACGAGAACTCCAAAACATTTAATCGTTTCAATAGCTGGACTTTTAATGAAGTTTCTTTACAACCCTGTTGCAAAGGTATTAAAATTTTTTTTTAATGGGTCAAAAATATTTTGCAAATTCTCCAAGCGATGAAACAATTTCGTCAGTTCGCAACCTTGTCGATATCGATAAGTGTCGGTGGTCGCGAATTGTCTGACATATTACGTCCCGTACTACTGTTTCCGTAATAGCTGCCAGTTGAGAAGATTGCAGAATGATAAGAAGAAGTTCTCACTCGTTACAGAAAATTGCTGCAATCAACATAATCGCGATAATAGACCGTAATAGACTATTTGATACGTTTTACTCGTAACAACAAACTAATATCGAGAGAGATTGTACGCAGTATCAAAATAATCCGATGGAAAAGTAACAATTTTTTTTACTACTTATCCTTCTTCTTAGAAATTCTGCAACACGTATGTGGAATGAATGGAACGTACACCAGAGATTTGTTAAACATTACGTACATTTATTTCATAGCGTCCATACTCCGAGAATTTGTTACATTATATAAACATAGATATTTCGTTTTTATGCTAGTGTCTAGATCGATATACCTACGTGTGTATAGCTATAATACTTCTAGGCATGCAATATTCCATCTCCCTCTTTATTTCATTTTTTATTTGGTAAAACGTGTCGCGTGTTAAACACACTTATACTCTGATTTTGTCACGCTACCCCATTCAGACCAGTTCCTCATTCATACATAGTTCTTAGACATAGAAATCTCGTCGAAATCATCAATTCTTTGGGTGTCGTTCTGATAAGTGTTACGCTCAGAATTTTACAGCTCCCTCGCCATGATTTTTATTTTCTTCACTCTGACAAAGAAAATAAAATTGTACATCGTTGCGTAAGGAAATAATTATTATCGAGGTTGTTCGCAGATCTTTTTTTTTAACACTAGGAATAAATATTTCATTAAAATTTCTACCTCGTCACGAAAAATAAATTTACAAGCTCTTTCACTGAAAGCTGAACTTTTGCATTTACGTCCAGTTTTGTTTCCTTTGTCAGAATAATAAATAAAAATCGGCGCGAGGTTTCGATTTTTCAGGCTCGAATTATTTTTAATTTCAATTCGAATATTTTCTCGAACGGTGACAGCTTTTTTCTGGTCAGAAACGATCGTGATTGGATCACTTTCTAGGCCAAAGAGTCGCGATCTCGGAGATTCACATCGGTACTTGCCCTTAACAGAATCACTTATCACAGAATCTCGCGCGGAATTCATCAAGTCGAAGGATGTGCAAGAAAACTGACGCGAAGCCAAACGAAACTGGAGTTTTTCTATAGGATACGTGAGAGACAAAGCAATACGTGACAGACGGTGCGGTTTATCGACTAAGTAAAGTAAAAGGAACTGCTGCTTAATATTCTTATACTCTTCCTAGAATTCTACACGTAAAATATAGCAATCTTTCTGGCGTCAGGGCGTGAAGTGAACATGGCCACAGAAAACATTTGTTTCACTGTCCATTTCCTTCACAGATTGTTTCTGATCTCCGTTCACCGGTGACGTATTCATTTCGTTTCACCGTTTTCGCAACTCGGGAATTGTAGGATGTAAAAAATAATCACGACGAGAATATCGAGAAGGAACAATAATAATTATATTTATTACGCAGTTTACAGTTATTTAGGTAGGTTGAGTCGATGAAACAAATGCTTTTGCTTTTCTTTTCTTTTTTTCCCCCCCCCCGAACGAAAGGAGCCTGGCAACCGGACAGACGCGACCGGAAGTATCGAAACACTATATTCTCGAGAAATACATTTCGGCTGATCCGAGAACGAGAGCATTTGCTATACTTTAAGCGTAAAGACTCTTTAAACTGGTATACTTCAGTCGCATGCGCTATAGTCCACCGATCCGTGAAATATATTAAGGTTTCTCGTAAAGTAAATGTACAAATATAACTCGTAGGAATTTCGAGCAATCACAAGTCTCGAACGCTCTTCGCCATCGTTAAACCGAATCCCTCGTCTCTTCCTCTCATTATTGTCCAGTATAGACGTAAGCTTCGTAGAAAACCCTATATCTGTCTCTTCTCTTCTTTTTCTCTCTGTTAAACGTCCCGCGCGACGTTAATCTCGTTACAAGGAGAATTACTCGCACGTATGTTTGGTCGAATGCGGAATTCATTAATGACTACGGCCCTCGCAACTTCCTTCGTGTAACTGGCTGCGTTGGTACAGATCTTAGACGTCTCAACCTGGCCTCTGTGTTCTTGTTTTCAACGGGATCGATAAGCTTCCAGAACGTCGGTTGCAATTTATTTTTCGCGTACTAATTGATACGGGATTTTTAACCTGATTCGAAAGTTGAACAAACAAGGCCAATAGACTTTATTCGGATCGTTTAGATTTGCGATTGGCAATATTGGCGTTTAATTCTCTTCGCCTCACTGTGGCCCAAGTTTTGCAGTGTGCTGTAATGATCCAACTTAGACTATACCCTACGATCCTGCATGTATTGGGTTCCATGGTGGACCAAGTTTCACAGTGGACGTACCATGATAGGCCAAGCTCCTCGATCGCTCAAGTTTCACAGTGAAGTTTGATCTATAATGGAGTTTGATCCAACATGAAGTTCAGTTTGCTATAAAACATGATCTGCTATGGAATTTCGTCCACAATGGGCTTGGAGAAATAATTTAAAACAGTTTAAGTTATTAGTCTTAATCCACAACGTTACATAACTTTTGGGCATGTTCTGATTGTTCGGATCTTCTATTCAATGGTAAAACAGTTTCTAGCATCACGGAATCTACGTTAGTTTCGTGTTTTTAGTATAGATGGCGTTAATTGGTAGTACCGTGCGTCGGTAAAAAAGATCACTGCCATAGTTTCCTGTTTTATCGCCAAAAAAGTTTCTAGAGTTTATTTAAAACTTGCGACCAAGTTCTGAAAGCTTTCGATCGTGTCTGTTCATGCTTTTCTCAAATTTGATTTATAGATATTCGATACATTGCTCGCCAATCATATTATTTTCAATTAGATTTCAAAGGAATTGATTCGTTAGCTTATTTGTATATAAAGTTAGTAGACTGAACGTTCGCCAATGAAATTCGTTCGTTAATTTATAAGGTACCCTGATCGGCAAGCAACGTGTTAACAACAACAACAATCTCCAGTAAATCCGTAGCTCTGAAACCAAATTTAAACGCGTTCAAACCTAATTCGCGAAGAAATTAATTTTTCAAACGCAACGCTGTAGGCAACTTACGTTACTATTAATACTATGAAACCGTAAAATACGTCGCTATGATACACCTATTATTTCACTACGGCGTATAAGGAGAAAATCAGTAACAATAAGTGACACATTCGACGGTGCTACAATATATGCTGCGTATCGCTTCTGCCATCCCATTCTGTTCAATATTTTCTCATAGATACGGATACACAAGTAGTAAAAGTAACTTTTATCGTAAAGAATTCTATGAAATACGCTGGTACAAAATCCTGCATCGGGAATACTAGTTACGAGCATAATAACGTAAAAATAAAATATTCTACTACACTAAATGTGACTATACTACTTAACATAATATAAAAGTACGTTAAGAAAAATTGATTGGCACCCTTTCGGCACGATTGTCGACTGTAATCGATTGTTGAAATCAGCTGTGTGTACCTTCTCAATATATATTTATTTCACAAGTATTTTATAAACATTTATTTGCTTCACTGTGGAAATTTTTAAGATGCTCTACATTACGTGTAGCTTCGAATAAGATTTTATATAACAAAGTTGGACCATTTTCGAATAATAATTGCTTAAATATTAAAATTATTATAAAAAGAATGATGGTTTTAAATGCGAGAAAGGAACAGTCAGAGTCGAGGCAATTGGGTACCTCCAAATGGTCGAAATGAGTAATTTTCTTGAGAGTCGTGTATGGTATATCATGCATTCAGCTATTTCAATTCAACTGTTTGACAATCACACGTACCGAATGGGTTGAAAATGCTGAACACCGTGCACATGTTGTTGAGTATTTTTCTGATCGACTCAACCCGTTTGCACCCTCGGTTACCCTTTTGTCCGGATCGCGGAGGAGTGCAAGGGGCTCGATCGTGCTCTCTACGAGTTCGTTTGCCTTCAAGAAAACCAAATCCTATGAACTTGTCTGAAAGTGCACGAAGAACAATCGATCGATAACAATAAAACCTACCGAAAGTTTCCCGTTCTGATAGTCCGTTGGCGAATAAATACGACTTAAATACTGGCAGTGGAAGATGCAATGCAGTTATCCGCAGAGTAGGTACACGTTAAATAGGTACGCGAAACATTAAGAGGGTCTTAAGTAGTTCGAACGAGTCGCGCCAACCCGATGAAAACAATCGCAAACTCATCGTCGACGCTCGATTTATAAATAACGTGCTCATACAAAAATAATTACGCGGTTACTCTTATTCGTCCCGGGTCGCATTAGTCACGTTCGTCTCGCCGTCGGATTTACAATTCGTTTTTCTAATCGCGGTCGCGTAGAATTTCTCGACCTTGGCGTTTTTCGTCGGCTGCCCTCGAGTGCAATTCGCGCGACGAACCTCGAAGCAACGCGTTTAGGCCGTGGAATGAAGAATTCGAGGTTCTAGGAAGCCTTCAGCCCTCCCTGGAGACCTCGTTTAGTGGATTTTAGTCATTTTTCGCCTTCTTCAAGCATCCCAGTTGCATAAAAAATTTGTTTCAATTTTTTAATAATTTAAGAAAGAAATTGTAAACAGTTTAGAATGTTCCCGCGAACGAAGTTACTTTTCTGATTGAGAGAAGTCTTTTACACGTTTTGCTTTAAAATTTAGTGTCACGACGATTCGTAACTCGATAGTGTCGCAACGAAACGCATGAACAGGACAAGAAATACTGTATGTCTTTTAAATATACCCTCCGCTGTGTTAAATTATTCCGCTAATTGTCGAGAGGTTAAATATTTACGAGAAAGGAACGTTTAAGACGGTAACAAAATAACGAGACAAACCGGTGTAATAATTCGTCTTAGGGGTTCGATCTTTCCTTCAATGTGTCGTTTAAAAATCTCTCGGTGAGATGTCCGTCACTCTTTGCCGGTGTAAACGCAACTTGCATGTTCAAGAACGTGTTTATACAAACGTTTACTCAGAGGATAATAGACCTAACAGCCCATCAAGTTTCACAATTAACTGGAAAAGTTTCGGAGAAACGTGAAGCTCCCTATACATCTTTAATACTTATGCGATATCGTTTATTTCTTTACCTTTTTTTTTTACTTCCCTTCCTTTACTTGCGTTGCACTTAAGTTACAATTATAAATCGTCAGGCAGTTAAGTGTTGCGAGCATGCAACGGATTTGGAAAATAGTTGCACGAAGCTCAGCTCTCTAGCGAAGCATTTATTATACCCGATGTTAATGCATTTTTAATGCAAAATTTCGACCTCTCAGACTAATATTTATTACGTTCGAACTGAAATTTACAACATTGGACATTCGAAAAGGATGATATGACTTTCTCTATACGGTTGAAAATATCCTGAAAGCAACCTCTTATTTTCTCTAACGAAGGGCATCGAGTGATCGAAAATACCCGATTTCGATGAAACGTAATAAATAAATGGAGCATTACAAAAATATCAACCGTTAATTTTTGACAAAATCGATTGGAAAAGTAATTTCGTCCATAACGTCGAGGACAGTTTCGACCCAATGGGCACGGGATAATTAATTTACAAAAAAATATACAGGTCTAATATTTTTTCGATGCTCTGTTTCTCAGCCAAGTTTCATAAAAATCGGAGATCGTCGATCGGGCAATGCGCCATGGAAGTCTCGGGAGCCCAAGTTACCGTGTTCAACTGTGCTCCGTTAATTGTATCGAATGAAAATTCTGAGAGATCGCAATATTAAGCGTGAATTCATTACATTCGATCATACTCCATCCACCACCGACATCATTCATTAGATCTATTTCACACTGAGCGAACGATGCTGCGTGGTTTCTGCGATCGTGCGTAAAACTCTTGCGATAGTGCGGAACACGTGCGTCTGCGGTCCATGTTTGCACGGTTTTTTCCACTCTCCACTCTCATCGTTAAACATACGATTAATAATACCTAGTATGCGTTAAACTGTTTTCAATATCGATAGTCCCGTGTCCACGTACGCACGATATAATTCTTTTCTTCTCGTTCGAATATATATCACACTGAGCCGGCTGTGTGTGTGTGTCTGTGTTTGCGTGTATGCGTATGTACGTATGGGTATCCTGTGTACGTGTGTATCTTGAGTGTTCGCGAGTGTGTGTCCATCTTGGATTACGGCCTGGCAGTTTACGGCCCAATGTTTCGTTTACGCGTTTCACGAGGATGCGTCGAGGACCACGCGGGGGCGTCCCTCTGGATTTATAATCGACTCTCGGCACATCACCCGTGTGTGCACAGCGTAGAAAGTTCGAATTGGGACACTGCTCGGTTCTCGGGGGTTTCTTCCTCTCGGTCTCGTTACGCCTCGACGAATATTCATGGAACACCTGTGGCGCCCACTGTCCCGCCATTCTGGCTAGTAGCATTTCCGGGTGCACGTGCACTTGCGCACTAGATCGACGTCCTTTGTGTACCTCATCCCGTCAGCGCAAATCAGTCGAACCTGCAATAAATTCGTCGCATCTTTTATAACACTAACACTGAGTGTTAACGTAGTTCATAATCAGGTCAGAGATAAATCTCTTCATGAATAGGAAGATGCATAGCAATATCAAAAAGGGGGCAAATTCTAAGAGGTCTTGAACGGTCAAAATATTGTGCGTCGACTTAAGTAGGTATAGTCAGTGTCTGTACATGCTAGCCTGCAAATCTCTTACGCGTTTCACTAATTACTCTCTCTGATAAATCTTCCATAATATCTTGACTGTTTAATCTGATAAACGTGGTATTTTGCTATCTGTGTCAATAAATATATTCACTTGCGGAGGAATGTTAGATAGGCGTGTAGATTAAATACAAGGATTTTTGCTAATCTGTAAGTCTTGCGCATTCCACTCATTACTCTATGACTGTTTCTGACGTCTTTCTCATAAAGTCTCTCGCTAACTCTAACTTTCTAACTTTCACTCGGTTAATGAACTGTCATACTGTTTCCTGTAGCGATTTTGTATACTTGGAACTGCGCATTGCAAGGAAAATAGTCGGAGATGTATTGGTTTCTATCTACGTCTGACTATATCAAGGGACATACTACTGGAAAATCTATTCACTGCAACAGTAGACATCGTTGCCTAGTGTTATCGATCTCCTACTTTTCTATGGTGAATTTACACTCGATAGAACCCAGTTTATTGTTGACACAGCTAGTAGTTCACTGCGTATTCAGACAGGGTAGTTTCTACCACTATAATTGGACCGTACCTTGCGTCGTTTTGTTTTCCGTGGCAGGCAGCAAGAGTTGCCACAGCTACCCCAGCACTTGGCTAGCTTCACTGGTCGTCTACTCCGACATCCATTCTCGCTATAGAACTCTCTAGTGTGTTCCTTGCGACATGTCGGTGCTGCAATAGAGACATCCATATTATATACCTTCTGTTAGCTTAGCTTCTGTTAGTAGATTGGTAATGTTAAAAATGGCCGTACCTTTCTCACAGTACCGCCCATGCCATCCAGTTTGACACCGGCACGTATACGGATAAGGACTTTCGATAGGCGAGGGCACGCATTGCGAGCCCTTCCTGCATCCGTGACCCGCGCAGGGATCCGAAATTATTGTGCCAGGTACTGTCATAACGATGTCTGCAATCGATCGTGCTTGGATTAATCTTTTACCCTTAGAAAAGTTGTCCTAAAGTTTCGTAGATACTCACCGGAATGCTCGTGATCCGAGTTCTCTTGTTGCATAGGCTCCTCGTTGCTGCCACTATTCATCATTCCTTCCGGTTCGATGACGTCTCGCGCCTCGTCAGCCTCTTCGTCGTTAGACATGCATCCAGGAGTCACGCGGTGCATTTTAGCGGCGTTGCTGAAGTCTACTAACTTGTGATTGATCCACATCTCGGAGATGCAGCCTGAGATCAAATTAGAATCATTTTACCAAACGAACGATGTGGTAGCGTAGTTGTATCGATTAGCCTGAAACTGACCTTGGAAGCTCGTGATGTTCCTCAAGTGGAACTCCGTGAATGCTATGTTGGCGACTTCCGGCGTAACGCCGCCGACGTACATAGGCGCGAGAAGCTTCAGGTACTCCTTAGGACCCTCGTTGATGATGCTCCTAGCAGAACCACGGTCGACTCTCATCGTGAAGTTCTTCTTGATCGCGAGAAGCTCCGCCACGTGGAACTTGCCGTCGGCTACCATTTCGTAACTGTACATCGTCGAGGTTGGGTAGTTACCCACGTCGTACGAGACTCTCACGCGGCCGTTGAACAGCTCCACCGCGAGGTGGTCGCCGTTCTGGCCGTCGTAGAGGAGGACCCCGTTCTCCTGTATGGTCGTGAACACGATGGTCACGTTCGCTTCCGGCCTCGTGCGTAGTGGCTCCAGCTCGACCAGCGAGCTGTTGTCCACGAAGCTCAAACTCGTCAGGTACTCGCATCGTTTTCCTTAAAACACGATGTCAAACAGCATGAAAATAGCGAAAGTTTTATGCCGTTTGAGAACGTTGAACGGAGAACAATTAGTTCGATCGCTCACCGGTGTAGCCGGGGTGGCACTGGCAAAGGTAGTCCGCGGCGGAAGCGGGAGCTGGTTGGAAGCATGCACCGTGCTGACAGTCATGGTGTGCACATGGACTAGTTTGTGGATACAGCATGGCTGTCGAGGGTGCAGCCTCGCAGTACCTCCCTGTGTAGTCCGCCGCGCACTTACAAACGTAATTGTTTATGCCGTCGATGCAAGTAGCACCGTTCTGAAAAATAGTCAATAGTCGAGAGGACGTGAGTGAGATAGTTCGAGTGTTCGGTGAGTTATTATCGAGTGAGATAGAAGAGGGACAAGTACCTGGCACATATGATCACCGCAGTCATCCAAGTTGGTGGAACAATTGAGGCCGGTGAAGCCGATTGGGCATTCGCAGCTATAGTAGGTCCCGTGGTCGACGCATCGGCCCCCGTTCTCGCAGGGGTCGTGCCCTTTTGTGCAAAAGGGTATCTTCTCCTCGCAGTACTCGCCCATGAATCCTGGGGCGCAGTCGCATCTGTAGGCCTGTACGAGGTCGACGCAGGTGGCGTTATTTGCGCACTTGTTGTTCTCGCAGTCGTCGACGTTGTTCTCGCATCGAAGTCCCTTGTACCCGGGGGCGCAGTCGCAACTGTCACACACCGACTGATCGTCAATCGAGACATTGACCATGATCTACGATCGCGGTGCATCCGCCAATCGACGTTGCCACGCGCAATCAACTTATCCATCAGTACAATTTTTAAAAAATTTAATCAAGCAATCACAGGCTTGTTGCAATTTCACTTAGGAAATTCTTTTGTTGGTAAGTTGTTGCGCGTGGCTGCTACTCTTCGGGGCTCACGTGCAGGGGTCCCGTTTTGTTTATTTACACAAGAGAGCACGGTTCTGTCTACGTGCAATTTAGTGCTACTGAAACTACGATCTATAGTCTACTCGTCAACGCGTAAAATATTTTCGCGTCGACGCGCAATCGTAATCTTTGGCTTGCACATACTACTACCTACACTCGCTTTGGTTTTATTCGTGGTTTAATTTTGTTCGAGAACGATGCAGTATGCTACAGTAGATATTTAGGAGTGTGCGATCTGTTTCATGTGTTCATGTTTCATGTTTCGGTTACCCGCACATCCCTAATATTTAACTATACCGTGTAAATTAGTATGTCTCGTGCACGTCTACTCGGTTGTCAAAAACTACTAATTGCAGTCGTGTCTTCCATGTATGGAAGATTACGTCTGCAGCAGGATTCTCATGCAAGCGCGAGCCACGAGTTACTCCGCAAAGAAACTTCCGTAAAATTGAATTTGTCGAAAAAATTTAACTCGATGAGAACCTGGCGCAGACGTTGCTACTACGGGTACCACTGAACGAGCAAATAGAGGTCAGACCCGAACGAGCTGGCCAAAAGTCTACTTGGCAAGTTGGCTGAGACGTTTGGTACCTGAATCTTCCTTCCTCCAGTACTTTGCAAGTTCCGGTGTTCCGGCAAGGATTTCCATAGCACGCGTCAATTTTATGTTCACACCGGTCCCCATGATATCCTGGCGCGCACTTGCAACGGAACTTCCGATCCGGGAGCGTCTCGCAAAATCCTCCGTTCTGGCATGGCGAAGTGTAGCACAAGTCGCACTTGGCCAGGACTTCGGCTGGCTGTTGGCTGGCTGCGCGGAAGAAAGGTCTACGATTAATGAGCAATTTTAGTACCCCATTGTGACGACGGGCCAAAAAACCATGAACTAAACAGACTGCGTCACGGGCCAGTGAGAAAATCAAAAACATCTGCACGTGCGGAGCATTGAGGCGATCGCGAGCAATCGTGGCCAGCTAACCACACGAACTCCCAAAATTCCTTCTACAACACTACGATAGAAACACTGATCTAGAGCGATAAAATATTTTAAACATTTCAAGAGGACCAAGGAAACATTTTGATTATCTTCTCGCGAATGAACAATCGCGACGAAGACCCTAGGCGTTCCTAGGGCATTGATGCAATAGTCTACTTGATTGCTGTAACTGGCCACGTTTGCCGCGATCGCGATATCTGTCGTGGAAGTACATACTTTTGCATTGGAACGCGGTCGCAGGCGTCGTCAGAAGGAGCTTGTCCCTCATTGCTGGCGGCTCCATGCATCTGGCGATACCTGCCTCCACGAAGTCTTTCTTCACCCACTCGGCCAACCATCGCATACTGCAGTCGCAATAGAGCGGGTTGGACCCCAGAGCGCTATAAACACACCGGTCGGTGAATTATCGACGTCGAGAATGCAGTACGCTCGATCGCGGAACGTGAGAGATACTCACAGGTGGGTTATAGATTTGAGATCCTCGAATGCGCCCTCGGGGATCACGGAAATGTCGTTACCGTGGAGAGACCTGACGTAAACCGAAATTACAAATTATTATTCAACGGTTCCACAATGAATATTTGTTTAAAAAAAAAAATAATTACTTTATATAAGTATTAGCGCAACGTTGGAATAGAATTTCTATTTAAGAGGGATTTAAATACTTCAAATAAATAAAATTAAAACGATCGAATAAATTGTTTCCGACACTGACAGCGTAACGCTCGAGCAAGTAATTTAAATCGTAAATTAAAATAATTCGTTTATTGTGAATAATCATTCCTAAAATTGTCTCCGCAAATAAAATTAATAGCGACACCGGGGGGGAATAAACGTTGATAATATATCACGAATCGTCGCAACCGATAAAACGGCGCGTTTTTGCTCGTTAATTCGGCACAGATTGTTTCTTTGACATCACGTATTCCATTTATACCATTATCGAACTTTAATGTATGCCCAATTATCAATTGTTCTTTTCCCCCTGCGTTCTCCATTCATGGAAAACCAAAAGCTCCGCTGAAAGCTCCCAGTGTTTCATTCAGATACGGAAGTTTCGGAAGAAAAATGGCACCGTTTCACCGTTTACCTTCCGCCCCGTTATTTCGAGTAATTCTTTCCCCCATAATTTATGGAGAACATTGGAAATACTGAATACGAAACAAAGATGTAAATCTACGTATTGTCTGAGAAGAGAAGTAATGGATAATCGAAACTCACATTATTCTCAGCGATTTCAAGCCGGCGAGAGCGTTGCGTTGAACACATTGTAGCTTGTTGTAACTGATGATCCTGGAAAATTAATAGTCGAGGTTCGAGCACCGCGTAATATCACGAGAGGCAATAGCAAACTCGATACCGAATTACAAACATTGTTGCGTTCGCCAAAAGTTGTTACGATTTTTCGAGAAACTAGAAAATCACGTTAACTTACAGGTGTGACAATTTGGTGAGATTCTTGAAGGTGTCGTTCGATAGCATCGCGATCTGATTGTTGCTCAGGTCCCTGAAAGTGAAAGCGCGAGAACTTTGCTTTAGTATTTTTTAGTTTTCGAGTCTTCTCGGGATGGAATTTGCACGTGTATTTTATTTACAATCTAGTGAGAATCCTCAGGTGGTTCAGCCTCTCTGGCTGGATCGTCTTGATGTCATTCACGTCCAAATACAGCTCGGTGGTTTCCGGCGGAATCCCACGTGGAATCTCTGTAAGCTGAGACCTCGAACACCTCACCACTGACCCGGCGCAATTACATTGGGGTGGACAGTAATCGTCTCCTAGGCAACCCACGCTGTCGTCTGCAATTTATAAAGCAGACGGCGGATCGTTAATCTCGGGATCAATTCGAAAGGTCGGAAAAGAAAGCGAAGAAAATATCAGGGGATATTTTTAATCGATGGACTTTGTTTCTTCTATAAAACTATTATAGTTTCAATAATAGTTCGTGAAATTTAATACTATTTAAAGAAATTTTTCACTTAGAGTCTCTTTCGTCAAAATATTACTAGCGAGATCGATGTTAATCTATTCAGGAATAAGTAAAAGCTCGTTTTCGGAAGATTTATAGTAAGATTAAATCAGCAGTTAATTTAAGGGGAATTAGTTTCACCGATACGGATCTTAATGTAGCTCAGATAGCAATTGGAAATTTAGTTTTTTTTTCGTGTAAAGAAAGGATCGTACTGTTGCATTTGAATTCATGATGAGGGATGTCCTTGATGACAGCATCCTTCAATCGTGGCGGATCGTGACAGTGTCCAACGACGTCAGACATGTCGCGTTTTCTTAGCCATCCAGCGAACCACGCGAGATGACAATTACAGGACAAAGGATTGCCTTGCATGTTGCTGAAAATGGGAGGCAATTTGTTAAACTGCCATTAATTATGTGCACGGAAGCATGAAATATTTTAGCAGAGGGTATTAAGGAAGTTGGAGCGTATGCATTAAAACTAAAATGAATATTAACCAGTCACGATCCCTACGGCCCCCTTGTAATATTACACTAATTAAATATTCATTTTCTTACAACTACTAACCTACTCTGTGAGTAATTTTTATGTTCTGTTATCAACAATAATTTCCAGTCATTAATAACTCGCTAATTTCACTAGTACTAAAGAGTAACAATGCGATGCCTCATAACTAGTTCAATTGAAAAATCTCGTTCATAATATCTGTGATTTTGCAGAAGCTTCTTAATATTCCTTTCGTTAACGATAGCCAATTAGAGATTATTCACTTATCAATGTTAAATCCTCAAGTGCATCAATTTGATAGTCTCGTTTGTAGTCATTTAAAGTAATTGTTTTTGCAATAATCAATTGTTAAATTTATGCATAATATACATTATACCATATAATAATAATATATTTCTGTGATATTAATTGCATTGACTACTCTAGTCCACAAGTTTAATTGTTTCATTAGCATCTGTTACTAGTAACTTCTATCCAATAATGATTAACAATAATTGTTAAATAATGTCGCTTGTAATAGTTAAATAGCAGAGACCCACGCAGTGAGAGAATAATAGCGCAATATCCACCAGTTTTAACTACTCAAACCCTCTAATTTAACAGTTCAATTCACATTTCAATTTACTGCCATGACATAATAGCGGACGCTGAGACCAATTTAATGATGCATGATAACATGATTTTAAAATGACCTTGCGCATGGTAATGTGTTTTAGTCTTACATTGCTTAAATTAAAAGGTTAAAAATGTACAAATTTGATTTTTTCGCATGCAAGTCGTTTTCTTCATACAAAAAGGATATAAAAATACAGTAGAATTTCGATTATCCGGCACCCGGTTATTTAAAAATTATTTTTGGCTACGGGGGCTAATTACAATTACTTTTTGTGAATACACATATCCCTGAATTCCTACGCACCTTCGAGAAAAAATTCGAGTTGGTGTGAAGTTTTTCGGCAAAATTAAAAAATTTCAAATCGTTCTAAAAAAATTATTTTCGATTGCAGGGGTCAGTTTCAATTATCTTTGGTGAATAGACATACCACCGAAATCCTACTCACTTTCGAGAAAAAAATTCGAGTTGGTGTGAAGTTTTTCGTCAAAATTAAAAAATTTCAAATCGTTCTAAAAAAATTATTTTCGATTGCAGGGGTCAGTTTCAATTATCTTTGGTGAATAGACATACCACCGAAATCCTACACACTTTCGAGAAAAAAATTCCTTACCGAAAATGTAATGTCTGACCATACCGTTGATACGTTTCACTGAAATTTTTCGGCAAAATTAAACCATTTCAAATCGTTCTAAAAAAATTATTTTCACCTTCGGGGGACAATTACAATCACTTTTGGTGAATAGACACACCCTCGAAATCCTACTCACTTTCGAGAAAAAAATTCGTGCAGGTGTGAAATTTTTCGGGGGAAAAAAAAATTTCAAATCGTTCTAAAAAAATTATTTTCGATTGCAGGGGTCAATTTCAATCATCTTTGGTGAATAGACATAACCACGAAATCCTACGCACTTCTGAGGAAAAAAATTCTTTATCGAAAGTATGTGTTAGATGATCGGAATTTTACTGTATTAGTAATTCGGATTGAGGGTGGTAAGGGGATCAATGGTTGCAAAAAGCACTTACATGGTGCGTATGTGTGTCAGCCCTTCGAACGCGCCTTGCATAACGCAAGTTATAGCGTTCCCGTGAAGGTTCCTGCAAAAATGAAGTTCGAAGAGTACAATACCCGGTGATACCGTTTTATGAAGGGACATAAAAGTTTCTACTCACAGAGTCTTAAGATTCGTCAAGCCGGTGAACATCTTGTTGTGAACTTCCCTCAGCCTGTTCTCTGTCAAGAGTCTGTGGAACGAGGAGTCGTTTATTTCCACGAGACAAGAATGTCACGGTATAAAGTTTCGAAATTATTAATAAAAAAAAAAAAGAAAAAAAAAAACGACCACGCTTTGGAGGTATTCTCTCTACTGGTCGATGAGCCGCGGGATTACGGTTATTCGTGACGAATCATCCTCGGAAATGAAACAGAATATCGAATATTCTCGGAGAGCAGAAAGTGGAATATGTCGAGATTGATGAAAACTAATAACATTTTTAATTATAACCCTAAAAGATTATATTTGAGTTTCAAACATTTTTCATACGATCGAACAACAACTTTTCACGTAAAATTCCGATTCGAATAAAAATTGTTTTTTTTTTTAAATTTGTTTTTCTTCGCTAATATGCGATAGTTTAGATCAGCTTCCGCACTCGTGTGCACTAAAATATACACGAGCTACCGGCATCCTCCACCCCTCCGACTATCTAATTAATCGACCCATTGTCCCGTTAATTGCCTTTGAAAATTAAATCCTATTCTGCTTCGTTAAAGCTCGTTTCAAAGTCCCGATCGAGTTAGGCACAAATAACGCAAGTAATCTCGACACTCCGAACACGCCCGCCATTATTTCAAACTTTCTCAGCGGGAAACATTAAATTGAAAACAATTAACAATTCCTGAGCAGGCGAAAATAGCCGGCGTCGAAGGTGCTCACTGAATTAATTAAGGAACAATAACATTTTACACTGGGGGGTTCAATATTAAATCGAGTTACGGAATCTATACTTTGTCACATGTTTCTACACATTCTCAGGTTTCGTGCATTAATGATTGCAATATGGAACGCGCTGTAATCGGTCGAATGTCACTTCTCATTGTCCCACACGGACGATTAGCCTCCCGCTCGCGTTCATCAGCGAGAAAGACAACAAGAAGCGAAAAAAAGCAACGTGGGGTTGCAGAAACACTTACAGGTCGGTGAGCTTGTGCGCCCCCAAAAAGGCTGACGCCTCGATGCGTGAGATTTTATTCTTCCTGAGGTCCAAATGCTGCAGCTCCGGCAGCTTCTCGAACAGGCCGTCCGCTTTGATCTTATCCAGTTCATTGTTGGCCAACAGCCTGGGCGCAAGGACAAAGAAAAGCCGGGAGACGTGAAAGTTAGAGCCCATCGTCAGCGTCTGATACGGCGAGCAATTAATCGCGCTCCGGGGCGTCGATCCATTAAACGAGTTCGAATAATTTATTTCGAATAATAGCACGGCGCTCGTCGCGCCTAAAACCCCCCCTTCGGGCTAGCTTTTAATCAGATAATTATCTTGTCGGCCGATTGAATTAATTTTCTCGCGCGAAGGAAACGAGAGCCCTGAACGAGCTCATTCATCTCGATCGATTGTCCTCTTTTATTTTGCATTCTCGCTCGATAAAGTTTCGTTCGACGGTGAAACAATGCTCGATAATTAAGAGACCGGGTCACCGTTGTCCTGATGTGTAATATTTAGCCCGCGGTAATCGCCCCGTTACAGTGTGTCAGGTTCTATGTTGCGGTGTATCAATTACCCTGCTATAGTGTTCCAGTTAATCTGTTGTTGAGTATCAATTATCTTGCTATAGCGTATCGGTTAACCTGCTATATTAAATCTATTGTCCTGCTATAGGCCACCAGTTAGTCCATTGCGTGCTAATCTTGCTATAGAGTATTCATTAGCCTGCTATATTAAATCTATTGTCCGGCTCTAACGTGTATCAGTTAACCTGTTGTAGGATACAATTATCCTGCTATAGTCTATCAGTTAGTCTGTTGTAGTGTATCAACTATCCTGCTATAGTCGATAGAGTAGTTAGTGTGCTCCAATGAACCAATTAGCCTGTAGCCATGTAAATAAAATGGATAGAGTCAGGTACTCACAATGTAGACGTGTAAATTGGCAGCTCCTTCGGTATCGAGACGAGCTTCTTGTTAGAGCAATCGACGGTCGCGCCGTTACAAGTGCACGGCGCTGGACACTCTCCAGGCAGGATGCACTCGCCAGCCCTCTTCGTCAAGAGTTCCTCGTCGCCTACGAATAAATGACCGGATATATTCCACTTCAAACAATCCCGTCTGATCCACCTTTCCTTCTCAGGACCACAGAAACACGTCGTTCTTGGATGAGTTAGCGAATTAAAGCAATTAAATTTGGCGGACAGTTTGGTCCAATATTTGTCGAATCGATGCATGCAGGTGGTAGACTTCTTGGTGTTCGTTCGAAGTACCATGGCTTCGAATACAGTGCAATGTTAATGTAAATTTTCAACGTAGCTTTTAATTCATAATTTTAGCGATTCCAACATGTTCGCAAAAAACTGTTTCCTCTGCACGTCATCGTCGATGTATTGTACAATTTTTATGAAAACCATTTCTCTCATATTGGGTGAAATACTGGACGTATTTCGGAGCAGTGTAATTCAAGCGCAGCTATTATTCCTATTTTTATCTTTTGCTTCTGGGAATTTTTAATATTCTACGGCACTCTATGATGTAACTGCGAATGAAAGGCAAATAGGTTAACATTGTTTTACTCGGTTTTATACGTAAAATGTGTGTAATACAACGTGTGGAATAATGAACTCGTCTCGGTTAACTTCAAAATATGTTCGTAACCCAAAAACAACATGAAAAGACGTAGAACAGACGCGGACAATGATTTCCAGATCGCTGCGCGTGAATTACACTGGCAGACTTTCAGTTCTGACTTATTAAAATGAGTAATATTACTTCAGTGGCTCTCAACTTTCATTTCGTGTAATAAGCAGTACTACGTTCCAACTTTTCTGAATCAACAACTGGTAAAATGCGACGAGCTCCTTTCGCGACAGCCTGAAAGGGTTATCATTATCGCATCAGTGTCGTCCGTGTTGATCGAACTGTGCAGAACGTATTAATATGTTCTAACTTTTCCGAATCAACGGCTGGTAAAATGCCACGAGCTCCTTCTGCGTCAGCCCGAAAGGATTATTATTATCGTGCAAGTGTCGTCGACGTTGATCGGACTGCAGAACGTAGTGCTACGTTATTATCGGCCGTGAGAGGATCGAGATCACCGGTAACCGAGTAACCTCGTCGTCGATCGTGACGGTGGAAATCGCGAGGACACGAGGCTCGCGGAGAAAGTGGCCACGCGACGTTGCGCGCTCGTCTTATTAAACGCTGAACGCAAATTACCGATATAATTACGTACGTGTACCGCGGCGGACAATTTGTAACGCGGCGTATAATGCGATGATAAATCACCTGCGCGCCCGTACTCATACATAAACATATTCACCTCTCGGAGCACATGACATTCAACACTCAATTAACGTGCGAGAGAGCTAGCGTTATTGCGCCGATGCTTAATTTAATGATATCGTCGCTACTACTGTTCATTATCAAAATTTATCGTCGCGGCATTAACATGGTAACCCGGTGCGCGTGATCACGCCGCTGCCTGCTTTTCGACTTCCGATTAATCAACGTGCTCTCGCGAACCCAATGGATTTTTAGGAGCGTTATCTGGCCAGCTATCCGGGGATCGATTCTGAGAGGGCAGCGTTTAAGTATCGTAGACCACGGACCCATGAGTTCACAGCAGTTTCTATGCATGCATAGAAAGCTGCATCCAAAAGCAACAGTGCTTTTAAGAATAGGTCTCGAGTTAGGGGTCCCAATATTGCGGGATATTTGAAACACTGATCTCGCTTTCTGGTAACAATAGGCAGTCTCGCGACACAAATAGTAGCGATGATAGTCTATAAACCATGAATCGTCTTGGGTAAGTGTCGCGTAGTTATAGAAGAGATGAACTGAAATTTGATCAGTCCTATCTCCCCACGGATCGGAGCTCGCTCAAACTATGTTTACATCGGTATTGTCTCTCGCGCGAAAGTGCATCGGGGATACTTGCAATTGGTCCCACCGCATCGGGAGTTTAACAATACCTGATTTTTAATCCAAAATAAGTACCTAGGCTGTTACTATCAACCTAGAGTATGATCAAGGGGACACGCCCTAAAAATGTTATTACCGTAAATCCTCTCAATTGTTCAAGTTACTTTGAAAGAAACCTATCCAGTGTTCTTTCACTCTTTTCACAAGGGTCTCTCCAATGAAACCTGGAAAGCTTGAAATTCTTCGCGTCAGGAGTCTAAGAGGAGCTAAAGAAACGTCGTTCTCCGTTCCTTTTAGATCTTCTCTCGCGCGCCTTCCAAGAGTTTTGCGTAAATTTTTTCTCGCCGAGTGTCGACCGCGGCGAAAGTTACGGAAAGTTGGCCGCAAGTTTTACGCCGGCCTAGCGTAAGTTCTCGTTTGCGGAAACGCGGCATAACGATAATGTGCGGCTACACAGAGGCACCATACGTGCCAGCGAAGTGTTTATTTTCCGGTGTCATTTACTCCGCGAAAGTTGGCGTGCACGGAACCAACTGCGGGAGGTGGATGCGATTATATTCCGCGCGGGCGAGTGCAATTAGGGGAAATATACAACCGTGGAAAGGAAAAGCACGAAGCTTTTGCTGTTGTTATTCTTGTACACGCGGGCAAGATCGCTGCGCTGGCTGCACGCTCTTGTTCTGCCTGCTCGTCAAGCATATCGCTTCGGTGTTTATTCTCAGACGATCGGTTTTTTAAATCTCTTAAAAACGCACCAATTCCTTGGTCGTTGCGGCGATTCGCGTTATGGACAGTTTGTGACCTTTTAACTCGAGTGACTAGTCGGGGATGCTGGATTTCGTATCACCAAGAAGGCGAAACAATTACCCCGATTGTTCAATCACACATTGCGGATATATTATAGTTCCCTCGTTGCTATTTATTATTAAATACTTGTACCCTGCACTTGAAATATTTTCCACTTAAAACGAAAAATCGACACATGATCCATCCGGAATGTTTTAAGCAGTTCGCATTGAGTTGTAAAAAGAAAAATGGTTTATAGAAAAAGATGACTGATTGCGTTCATGAGTTACCGACCTGTGTCCGTGTTCCAGCGGAGCGTTTAGAGGAGAAAATATCGGAAAAATCGAGTCGTGCTTACCCTTACATTTGAACTTGTCGTCCCGCATCGAATCGATCTTCCGTTTCTGCACCCTCTTCGGCGACTCGCACTTAGCCCCCGACGTCTCGATGGGATGCGCGTGAAGGTAGGCGCTCAGCCATCGCAGATTGCAATCGCAGATGAACGGATTTCTTGCCAAATGTCTGCGAGAAATTGAATAATGTTTCGGTGAACTATGAGTACAGTGGGTCAAGAAATAGTTATCATCTCTGATACTAGCTTCACCAACGGAGAAACGGTGAAACACAATTGCTATATCCGTGCAGTGGTTCAACGTATCTCCGTTGGCGGCGCTAATAGCAGAGGGACTATTATATTTTGGCCCAATGTAGCGTTTGACTAGTAGCAGGGACAATTGTCTTTTGGCTAATAATTAGAATAGATCATTTGATCTTTATTAAGAAAAGTTTCAACCGTATCGGGGTGAAATTTCCATTCTTAATAAAACGCAACAGAAATGATCCGATTGTTCTCGAAAGTTTCGAATAAATATATCATCCGCTCGACTTTAGAAAAGAAATGAATGGACGTCAATCAACGGACTGTTCGGAATTTTCAGAAAGCTTCGAAACAACCGATAAAATGCACGGTGACACGCATTCGCAATTCGAGCCCGGCGTAGGCGGGGAGGGCTCGAAACGCTAAAGCCACGGTAATTTGTATAAATTAACGGTTGAACGGCGGAATACAAACAGCGTTTCAATGCTCCGTAGATTGGCGAAAGTTCCATTGGCCAGGGATCTGATGTTGTTATCGTACAGAGACAGCAGTGTCAGGCTGGTTAGATCTCGAAATAGATCGGTTCGTATGCACGATATCTCGTTGGCATTCAGCAATCTGAAAAGTTCATTTTGTCTCGTGAATTTGCACCATCTTATCACTTAGGATAGAGTTTGAAATTGGTTCAGTCGTTGCACCATTAAGCTTATTACTTTTATATAATTTAATACATTGTGTAGCATCAAGCTTAGATAATAGATTATAGAGCATGGTGATTAAAATGTAGACTATATAATATTTAATGTAGAATAGAGGGTGTAGAGCACATATAGAGCATATAGAGTACAGGTAGAGAGTATAGAGCACATATAGAGCATCTAGAGTACAGAGTAGAGGGTATATAGCACATATAGAGCAAATAGAGTACAGAGTAGAGAGTATAGAGCATATACAGATCATATAGAGTACAGAATAGAGGGTACAGAGTATATTAGAGTACTATAGTACACGTAGATAGTACACGACCGAAATTTTCTAGGAAATCTTTGCATCAACTTACAACAACTGCAGGTTTGTCAAGCCTTGGAACAGTCCACTCGGTAGTTCGGTAATTTTGTTTCCATAGAGTACACTGTAATCAAGAAACCCTCGGTTTATGGAACATCGTAATTTCAAGTAATCGCGAAATAAGTTTCAAGTATTATACGTACAGCGATTCGAGCGATTTCAATCCGTGGAACGCATCAGCCGCCACTTTCTTAATCTGATTGTTGCTGAGGTCGCTATTATAGAATATTTGCGAATTAAAAGTTATTTATCTTATATTATCTACAAAAGTTTGGAATTAATTATGAAAACTACTTACATTCTACGCAATTTTCTGTACGGAAAGAAAGCCTTCGGTGGTATTTCCGTGATGCTGTTCTGCTCTAAACGTCTGCGAATGATCGATAACAGAAGAAAGTAAATTAAAAAACGTTTACACGCACGACGACTGAATTTTTCCGCGCGGAAGTTGCCAAAAGAAACACGGTTAAACAATCGTTAAGATTATATAAATTTCAAGGCGAAAAGGCCCCGTGGGCTTCGTTAAAGCATCTTAACCGGTTTTTGCCCCGTCCTGTACATCTTTCAATAATTAATTTCAGCAAGAAGGAGACTGTTTGAACGAACTTTAACTCGAAACTTTCGAAGTTTGTTCAATCCATTTTCATAATTAGTCGGGGCCAATAAAAAACTTTCTACTTAAAATCAATCTGACACTTCGACCTCCTCAAACTCGGGTTTTAATCCTGACTTTAATCTTGTGTAACTTTCGTCCTGATTCCACTTCACGGCCAATTATAATTTCAACGGGAATTTCGAAACGTTTAAACGGAAAGAATCGATTCGCGGCGAGTTTGACACGGTTCGCCCCGGGTTTGTACCGATCGCCTCGACCGTAGTTTCACGAAACACAAGGAAACGTTTGGCAAACTCCGCGCGGGCTGGTAGGACGAAATTGCGTTTACGAACAGCTCGGTCGTGTCCTCGGGAAGGTGGGTGGGCACTTTCGTCAAAGAATTTTCCCTGCAGTCGACGATACCGTCAGCGCATCTACAGGGATGCGGGCACTGCGGTTCCGCGCTGCACTCGGAGCCTATGCGCTCAATCAGCCCCGAACACTTGAACTCGTGCTCCTGTGTGCAAAAGGGTTCGCAAGAACTTTTAGCAACGGAACTGGCGGTTCAAAACTTTCCACAACGAAGTGGCTCAACTAGGCGCAACTACAGGTGTAGGATTATTGGTGTCATCCGAAAGTTTTGGAAATGGGTCAGTGTTCTAAACCGAATCGTAGATACAGGAAACAGTTTCTGAAAATATTTCAGAGATCTGTCGGAGACAGATGTTTGAACAGTGAAATGATAAAGCGAGACATTGAGTTTAATAGTTGGATGTCTTCTGAGTCTCGTATAATGTGATTTTAAGTATCGTTTCAAACCTGTAGGTCGGCGATATTTCGATCCTTCATGTGTATAGGTGAGGCGCAACGCGTGTGTTGGCCAAGGCGTGGATACGTTTTCAAATGTCGCGACAACCAAGCTAAATGGCAGTCGCAAGAAAGTGCGTTGTCGACCAGCTTCAGCGTACGCAAATGCGACAATCCATTTAGCACTTCTTTGCCCAGCGTCGTCAGTTTGTTGTTGTTCAGCATTCTGCAACGAACAGTCGTAAAATAAATACTGGAAGCGTTCAGAGTCATAAAAATATTTAAAAAGCGTTTTGACATTGTTAACGATTGCTAAAGTACTTAAATAATTTTCAAAATTACTTACAGTATTTCTAGATCCTTTAATTCTCGAATAGATGCTTCGTCTATGCAGGTTAGCACGTTGTTGTCGAGCAGCCTGAAAATAGAAAATTAATATTTATTTACCGAAGCATCCTCGAAATTGTCTAAAATTTATCCAGTAAATGTTTCTCAGTAGTAATTAACTTATCATCGTGTCCAAATTGTAATTAAGTTTTGCACAAGGGTATCGCAGTAGGAAAACTAAGAAGAAAACGTTGAAAATTATTAATTAAAGACAAGGATCAAACAGGTAGTAAAGCAGAAACGAGCTTGAAAATGTTCACTTTATATTACGGTAGAACTTTCTTTTTACGTCAGTCAAGAAACGAAAATTAAAGCGGAATTAATTCTGCTCTCTTCAACGTGTCTGACCAACGTTGATCGTACTACTTGGAGAACTATACGTTGATCTATACTACTAGACTGAACTTTCTTATTTCCCTTGTAGAATTCTGATTACAATCGCGAACAAAATTACAACTTCTCGTTCTCAATTAACGTTTTTAAGCGTACTTACAAGTATTTTAGGGACGAAATTCCTCTTAAAGTTTTTGGTCCAATCGTAGCAATTTGATTGTGACTAAGGTCCCTGAAAACAAATAAAAAATGGTCCTCGTAGTAGGAAAATTCATCGTGATACAATTATTATAATATATTTTTATTTTATCGCGATCCCTCTCAACAATAAAATATTTTTAACAAGCTCCTAAAATAGAATCTAATTATTTTTCAGATTAATATTTAAAACTTGTTTTTTTTTTTTATACAACATCTCGTTTATTAATTAAAAATTGTACACACTGTTCGTTAAAACGAGAGAAAAATAAACGCGAACAAAAATTGGCCCGAAACTCGTGAACATCGTACAAACTTATTATCAGAAGTTAGACGAGTTTGTCCATCAAGAATAGCTATTAATTCTTACTTCTGTAATTTGAACGCGGTGTAATGACCACTGTCACGTCGATTATAAGATGGAATGGTTCGAGGAAACCCTGAAAGAGATCATCGATCAATTATGGTTCGTGGTAATAGTCGGTACGACGACCTCTCTCGAACTTTTCTTTCCTATAGCTGAAAGGTCGGTTTTCAATGGACAACGACACCGATGTGTAGCCCACTTTGATGCAGTTGGTCTCGAGTTCGTTCCACATTCGCGATAAATTATTCAAAAACTTGTCGAGTGTCGGCTCGGGCCTTTGGATGCTTCTCTAGGAAATTCTCCCCGGGTACAGTCGTCAATTCACATGTGACCGCGTGCACGTGCATCGGTCACGTGGTTGGCTATGGATTTCCTTAAGGTTTCACGGGGTCGTTACACGAGTAACGAGTGACCATTTCCACGGGCTCACGTGACACGTCGGTTTCCACGAACCCCTAGCCTCGTTTCAACGTTTACCGCAGCTTCGAGGTGTCCTGAATATTCAGTTGGCCGGGGGACGCGTGAAAATTTTCTGGAATTGTATATGCGTGCATCCTCGATTCCACGGTTAATTCTTGGTGCACCTGATACTCTCTTTCACGGAGAAAATTGAAACAAACCGCGTGCAATTACGTCTACGCAAATAAACACCTCGTTCGAATATACAAACAGGGTTCTACGTAATTTAATTCTAAATTAAATAAAATATATCAACAGGGTGGACGAACACTTGGTACACTGAATTTAGTTTGATAAAAAATTAAGAGAAGACATTTGTAACGACTCGAATTATAAGATTTATAACAACAGTAAGGGACATTACTGTACCAGCTGTGAACACGAGAATGGACACAGTGGTATCGGTGTTCCCGCGTTCAACGCGACATTAAATCTTTCTCTGGGAAGGCAAGGCATGGCTCGATCACATTCCCCTGCCATAATTTCCTCCAAACGAAACAGCGTGCATAATGCATGGCAACGCGATGGTTTTCCCGTGGCGATCCTCGGGTCCACGGCGAGAGTCAGTCACGATAATGGATTCTCCGCTAAACCGGGGGTTCATTTAAATAGATTGCGTTACGTCTCGCGTGGCGAGATCCTCGAGACTCTCTTCCTCGATGCACGAGTTAACCAGACGTTCCGCGATGATAGGTTAGAGGTCCCGGTGCTCGGTTCACCGTTGACCATCCATTGGCTCCGAGACCCGCGCAGCCTGTAATTATGTCCGCCGGAGAGACCACGGACGGGAACATCTCGACGAGACGAGGACGAGAAACAAAAATAGGAAACAGAGACCACGGGAGCGAGAGAGATCTAGGACGGAACGACCAGAGAGAGAGAGAGAGAGAGACCCGAAAAGCCACGGTATTCCTGAACCCCCGAGAGCCGCGAACATACGGCAAGAAACGGCAGATTTAGACTCCTGCTTACCGGAGCCAATCCTGAAAGCAATTACCGAATTTCGACCACGTAGACATGCCAGGAACAAAAGGAAAGACAGGCTTTTAGTGCTGCCAGTTTCATTTGGGACCGCTGTTGCACCGCTGGATCATGATAAGTTCCTAATTTGAACGGGCAATTTGGTACGGCCGCGAGTGGAATGTTTCTATTGATAGCGATGCAGGGGTATTGCACAGGATTGAACCTATTTTTCTCGTTGGGGTTGTCAGACCCCACGGCTCGGCTCGATTATACAGGAAATACGTGCGTCACTAGCAGACGCAACAGCATCCTTTATTCCTGCTCGTCGGACATTTTAATTTTGGGGCTTATTTTTTTTTTTACGTAACCTCTTCTTGCATACACGCGTACGCGTCAGCTCGATATTTCTGTTGTAAAATCCAAAATAAATGATGGGGGTAAACAACAGAAATTAGCCCCCAACCGATGGGTGAGGGTGTTAGGCAAGAAAAATGACGTAGGTTGGTAAAAGAAATCGTGAGACTAACTAAACACAATAGTGGTGGGAGTTTCCTGAGCGTCCTCTGGCGGCCAATTGATTTTGTACCGATCGAACGTAAAAAGAAACCAGAGTAGTATGAAATCTCGAAAATAAAATCCTCATCGCCCCCCACACCGACAATGGCCGCGCGAGATTGCATCGAACCTATTTTTTTTTCGTCGGATATTTTCATCCATTGGTATTTTTGCGCAGTAAATTTGGTAGAATTTCAATAATTTCCCGCGCGCGACGAGACCGACAGATTAAACTCCCACCGCGCTCCAGCCAATCCAGAAAGCAATTACCGAATTTCGACGTGGCCGCTCCTTCGCTCGAAACTAACAAAAGGATCTCCTGGACCTCGTCTCTCTCGCGTCTCTGCCCCGCTCGATTCCGAATGTTGCTGCCACTGTGCTTTGTGCGCGCGCGATAAGAGTCGGATGAAACTAAACCGGATTGATAGCGTCGGGGATCATAAGAGCCATTCGTCCAACACAGCTCCTCCGTCTCGAGACTTAATTTCCGTTTACTTGCGGTCCTCTCAAAAATCCTGGACCTCTCAGGATACAAATTTATATAGATCATAATTTCATTTTCACTATGATCATTGAGAGTTTACTACAGGGTCAGAAATTTCCTCAAAAAAAACGGGGGTTCCTAGATAATTTCCAGAGCACCATTCTCCGTCGTATTTATAACAGAATGTTGGGTAAGCAATTATGGAGCTTAGGTATTCATGCTCGGGCCGTAAATCAGGTGTTTCTATACAGTAACTGCGACTATCCGTAGTAAGCAGCGTTATCTATTGTATGGGGCCACTGAAAATTTCATTGAAATTCCCTTATCTAGGCAATTGTCGTCTTTTGTTTATTGTACCCGGTGTAATGTGAAATTTCGCGATACTCTGATCGGGGGAATATTTCTGGAAGAAAATGAAAAAATTGAGAGCTGAACATATAGGACCTAGCAATCAGTGCGTCGCGAGTTGTTTGAAAATTGGCGGGCTGGAATCGATACTCTCCGCGAGTAATGGCGATAGGAAATAATATCTCGTTTGGCCGTTCAGCGGGCATCGAACCTGGGCGTCTTACGCGACGAAACGATACGCGGCCGTAAATTTTCGCGGCCGCGAATCGCAAGACAGTCCACGTCCCCGATGCGTTTCGTTGCTTAAATCACCGCAACACCAGGTTGTCAAAGCGACGGGGGGAACCGTTTGTCCCGGTTATTATCGGCTTAAGTGTACAGCGAACAAATGTTATTGCCTCGTAAATACAAGCTTGTACGTTCGCAAGCGGGTTCGAGGTATCGCGTTTCGAGCGGCGCAATATGCTCACACGACGGAGTGATACTAATCAGCCGAGTGTCCGCGCCCCTTTCCATTGTGTCAAACCATTTATTACCGGCGAGTTTCATCCTCTTACCACCTCGAAACAGCTTTCTACGTTTGCGCGATGGGTTAATCACACGTTTCGTCGCCAACGGCCTCTTAGCGACGCTGTGAAAACAATCCCGGGGATCGAAGGCGACGTTATCTGAATCGAACAGTCTTTGTCCCGTAACGAATGACTCAACCGGGGTGGGCAGATCGAGAATTCGGTGCTGGGATACGCTGGCGTTACAGTCACCTCTGAAATTTTAGGCGTATCCATTTTTTTATATAACATTTTACTTGAAATTGAGGCTACCTCGTGCAAATGCTGATACACCTTCGTTATTTGGCAACTACTTTTAGTTTAACAAGACAAATTAGGAGTGTTCAACGTCTGGAATATGTCATCTTGCGACTTCCCCTCCCAGATAAGAAATTGTTCGACGACCATTTGAGTAGTGTCTAGCAGATGTCATATAGCGAGATTATGGAAGCTGTAGATAGCAAGGACATAGTACCCCGGGGTACAAGGCGTTAATACTTCAGGAATGACTAGGTCTGATCCTGTTTGGCCACTACCACTTAGTAAATCAAACTAATCCCGAGGTTCAAGCGATTAGCGCCCTTCAGAACCGATTGCTCGATAATGGCGCGATATCGTTGGGATGCCCGACGTCTGGGAAATGTCATTTTGGATCCTTCAGCCTCGCGGACAAGGTGTTCGATAAGCGTTCGAGCAATGCACTTGACTAGAACCAGATGGCGAGCAAAATCCGACCGGGGATCGCGATGAAAGGCATTCGACACGGCTGTCGTGTTTTCGCGTCGCGAATTTGTTCGAGACGCGCGGCCTGGCGTTCGTGAAAGTCCATACCCGGCCTGCGACTCGTCACTGTAATACAGGACACGGAGGTTATCGCATAAACTTTTCAGACGATGACCTACATACCACCCACACGTACGCGTACACGCGGAACTGCACGGGTTTGGTTTGCGAGACCCGTTGTGCTAGCTTCTCCTCCCCACCCCCCACACAGATCGAATCTAACTTTTCTGCTTAGAGTTACCCCCTTTTTTTTAAGTTGGTCGATTGCTCTACTTTTTAATCCTTTGCACTCCGAATTATATTTCAATTTTTTTGCTAGGAGCTCCCAACGCTTTTGAAATTTACGTTAAGTAAAAAATAGGGCAATTGAAATAAATAGAAGAACAAGCAAATTTAATTAAATATCTGTTTTATGTAAATTATTGTTGACAAAGGAGCTTCCGAGATAAAAACTGTTGTCGAGTCCATTTCGAAGTTCCATTTTTTAAAACAACCTACAGCTGTCTGTAAACCGTAATCTCGAAGCAATAGTCTCCGCACATGTTATATGCCCCTAACATCAGTGGAGGTATAGTGTGTCAAGGGATAGGAGTTACAAATCGTTGACATAGTTCTCTTCGAAACTTAAGATCTAAACTTCCAAAGTATGTCGATAAGATAATTGTACATTACTGGTATGAGTTTTTCCATACGAACAAAACAATGATTGCACAGGTAGCCTACTCTCTGCTGCACTCGCCACATCATAGGAAATGCTGCTATAGCAGTGGTAATTCTATCGCTAGGCCACCAATGACACCAATGACCAATACGACTAACTAACTCTGAATCTTAATCCAACCTAGTGAAGAGGTGGATAAAAGACTTGGAAACTTCGCTGTGTTCGAAAGGGCATACGCGACTTCCGTGTAGAGGATGCTCTATGGTATAGACCCCTAACTACTGTGGGTACATTAAAGTCGTTGACATAGTTCTTTTCGAAAGTTAAGATCCAAACTTTCACAGTACGTCGACAGAGTACGATTCTAACAAGGATCAAGAAAACAAACTGACTTTTCCACACGAACGAGACGACGAATATCGAACGATCCTCCAGTTCGTTACAGCTTCTGCGAGGAACAATAAATCCCATCCATCTTGATCAATGATCGAACTTCGATGACCCCAAGGATCGCCAGGAAGATCGAGCGTCGAAGTTAAAGAATGAGATATCACGCGGGGGCTTCTATTCCTCGAACGTTCTTCCCGATCTTGAATCTTAATCGACCGGATCCAGCTCGGTATCCAAACGAAGGTGGCAAAAGGAATAAAAGACCGTAGGAGTCTCTGTTGCGATCGAGAGGGCACATGGCGGCTTCCGTGTCGAGGATGCTCGGTGGCTGCCACTCGAGGAGTCGGAAAGCAAGCTGCCGGTAAAAAGAAAGGTCCCTTTTTCTTGTCGAGGCCGACAGGGACGTCTCGGCAGAGGGAGACGAGAAGGCCGAAAGGCGAAACAAAGGAAGAGAGAAAGAGAGGCGGGAAATTGAGATGGACCATCCATCATCCTGCGAAGTGGCCAGACGAGGCTCGAAAGTTCCCCGTGACTCGAGGCCTTCCGCTCTGCCCTCGGACACGTAACCTACAGTTTCTGATGATAAGGCCCGGGATCAGCCAGCTTACAAAAGGACGTATTATGTTGCGAGCTTCGGCGCGGTTCTCACGGGCATTCGGACGTCTGATAATCCTTCATCTGCCGTGGATAAGTCGATGCCCTGGTAAGAAACGAGAGAAGGCCAACGTGCCCCAGAGTGAGAGGTGGGAGAGGGGTGTTGCTTGCTCGAGTGATGGAACTGTTTGGTATCTTGGACGCCTACGATCCGTAATTTTAGGGTAGTCGCTCAACCATTAATTAATTTATACATTGATGAATGATACCTCCGTGTTTACGCGGTACACTATTATTATTATCGAACGTCTTTATTGAAAATATAGGTACACTATACATTTATTTCCACAATGGTGAAGCTCATCTTGCTATTTAATGTAAATATCAATTCTTATTTGAGAGGGATCGCAAACACACAGATTCTTAATCTCCCCACGGAATTATTTGCCATTTGCTTTTATAGGCGTCGTTAACGTTGGGAGCATAATTGAATTTTATTCTGCAATACTCACAGGCGTTTTAAGTTCATCATGTTGCTGAAGAGGAGGTCTGGGAGGTGACGTATCTGATTATTGTTGAGACGCAGCTTCTCGACGCCGACTAAATCTTGGAAGGCACCTCTCTCGATGGTGTGAATCTGATTATTCGATAGCCAACTATAAAGAGAACGATCGAGTCAAAATAACAAAAAATAAACTTTTCGTGAGTTGGACGAGAATCCAAGCTTCCTCTTCGAAACAATATATCTTTTTTTTTTTATCGAATTCGACGTAATCTCGCGAACTTTTCGTTCCCCCATGAGTTCTACCAAAACAGTCAGGGCCGACCATAACTGGCTTCGTTACTTAACGGACAGATTGCTCGTCTACTCACAGAACGTGAAGCGTGGCCATGTCCTCGAAGTCCGTCTTGAATATCACCGAGATATTGTTCCCCTGGAGGTCCCTGAAACAAAGAGGAAAACAAATTAATTTCGCAAGTCGCTCAGCGGCGCGGGTCGATGGTATCTACGTCGTGAAATTGTAATCTCCTTCTTTCGAAAAGTCTCTTAAAAATGTACTCGTCGGAGCGTGTTTCGCGAGATACAAGAGGGGAGCCGTCCTTCGCGGTGCTTAACTAATTTCATTTCGTTTCAAGCACGGTCGTATTGCAGCATTCACCATGTTTTTATATGAAACCACGATCTTTTTTGATTTTTTTCGCATTTATTATAACAAATAAATAACATTAATATTGTAAGTACACGAGTATAATGACGAAGTATCCTGTACACTAACGGAGGCAGAAGATCGAAACGAGAAATTTCTTAATTTCATTTTAACAGCCACCCACTCGACTTTTACCCTCCCACCATTTGTGCCACCCCAAACCATTTGGTTCGCTCGGAGCGCCACTCGTAGTATTTATTTGCCGCGAATAAGTATTTCTGTTTCCCGTCCTCGCAAATATTTGTCTCGCGCAAAAGGGAACTGTAGCACAAAGAGCGACCTACGGAGAATTTTATCGCGAGCCCCTCTTTTTTTTCTCCCTCTCGCTCGACGAACGCTATGTCGTCGTTTACGCGCCCGCCAAAGCGACCCCAGCAACGCTTCGACTGCGTAATGAGTCCATCGGGCCGTGAATCGGAATTCGTCGAGCGATGGTTTATCGAACGGTTTCGCGCGTTATATTCGTGTATTTATTTCAAACCGACGCGAAACTACCCCGTACAGGGTGTTCCTATAAACTGGGACAGGTTTTTTCAAGCGAAAATACAATTTACAGAGAGGAGTCGCCGCGATACGACACATCGCTTTAACACCATTTTGATCGAAGGAAATGATTACTTAAACAACACGAAACGCAGGCTTATTTGTATTAAATTAAATAAGATTTCTACTCGATCGAACCAAAAAAAGGATGAGAGTAGAAATAAATAGATTCTGAATTTTGTATTCATAATATTGGCGAGCAAAGGGGAGATTTAAGAAAAGAGTCTTGCTAAATGAAAAATTTCATTTTACGCGACTCCCCCTTCCTACTCGTGACACGGGGGTCGTGCTCCCAACTTTAGAAAACACTGGCCTGGGAGCAGGGGATTCATGCTGCAGCAGCACACTTTGGCGTTCGAACGCACAACAGAAAATATCTCAAACCGCGCGTTTTCCTTCCACTTTTCCGAGAAAAGGCCGCTTTGGTGTTCCCGTAGCTGCACAATTATTCCACCGGGAGCGCGAAGCGCAACGACAATATCCAGCGGCAGAAACAAGAGGTGAAAAAGAACGATCCGAAACGCGGCCGCCACGGTGAAATTAAAATCTCACGCAAGGCTTAAAAGGGCCGCTAAAAACAGTCCTCCGTCTCGTTTCGTCGTTGAACCGGGAGTGTCGGGGAAACGAAAACGAGGAAATAATTTACGTTCCTCGTCGTTGTCGTCGCTGGCCCAAGAAGAAAACGAGTATCAAAAAAGGAAGAAAGAAAAAAAACAAAAAAACGAAAAAAAAAGAGAACGAAGGAAGGCTGCGAAAGAATTCGTACGAAGAGAAGTCGAGCGAGTAGGCTTGCCTCGTTACTCGTTCCTACGTCTGGCGCTTTTTTGTCAGGTAAAAAAGTTCCCCGAGGAAAAAGGAACCAATTTAATAAGGCCTTAATAACTTGCCCGGACCGGGCTGCAGACGGCTGTGTTTGACGGCTACCCCTCTCTCGATCTTCCTCCGCCGCGGGAAGAGCAAATTCACGCTTCCTAGTTACCGAGTGCCAGCATCGGGACAATGATATTCGAGTCACTGTCGAGACTTAACCTCTCGATCGAGGATTTTCCGAATTAGATGCTACTCTAATCATTCGGAAGATAAGATTGCACCGTTTGAATAGAGGCACTGTCGACTCGTCACATTTCCCCGTATTAGTGAAATCTCAACGCGAGTCACAAATGACTCCGGCACAGGTTGCACAAGTGCAATACTCAACAGTGTTAAGGAAACAACTGTAGAAGTATTCAGAAGGAACAAGTGATATTGATAATGAAGACAAGGATGCAATTATTAGCTGAGAATAGAGTCCTGGAAGCAGTTTCAAGTTTTACATAAAAATGTCAATGTCATTGTACATTGTGCATCATTCGAGTAATTAAAGTTACAAGTGTAAAAGGAAAACGGGGGCAACAGCAGCAAATTGAAAGATCGAATCACAGACACTCGGGTCAAGTGAGCCAATCGCGCCATCGCGTTTGTCGACAGAGTCACTTCGAAAAAAAAAAGGTGGTGCACGGGACCAGAGTATTTAAAATGCATGCCCCGAGCATCTAGTCGATAGAGACGAGCGTGCTGATAGCCAATCCTCTTGATAATCGTCAAATGAAAAAAACGTGTTTTCCCGGTAGGTAAACACGAACGCGAATAAAAAAAAAAAAAAAAAAAAAAAAAAGAAGAAAAAAACAAAATAGGAATCTGTGAAAACCAGCGCCACGGTTACGCGGCATCGATCAACGCTTGTTTTCCGCGTCTGCTCTCGGGGAACGGCGTGACTTTTCGCTCGTCCCGTGTATGAAGAGGGTCGTGCGACACGGGGCTGAAAACCGGCGCGGAAAAGGGCAACGCAAACTTTCCACTCCTCGTTCCGCCATGCTTTTCAATCTCGCGCCGCGGAAAACGTTGCCCGGGAAAAATCGTCTGGCGGACTTTTTAATCGACTCTCTGATTTCCCCCCCCCCCAAATGGAACAAAATCTCACGTCATAGTTCGTGCACGGCACAGTGACAATGATATACGTGATTTTACCATTAGAATATCTCGAACAACTCGTACACATTGATATCTTTCGTTGTCATAACAAAATTTAATCATCTGGGAATTAAAATATTGCAAATAGAACTTTCATTACGCTTGAAATCAACCGATAGTAAACAAAAATTCGTTATCAATATTTGTACGGCTTCGGAAAGAATAATCCTTTTCATTAAACCTGCAATTCGTTCGTCCGCCAATGGCCAAGATATAGAAAATATTTGCCGATTTATCGATAAGCGTACGATCTAAATTGACGCTGTATCGTCTTCGTTCACGGCAACGAAATAATCACGCTCCGCTCGACAGAAGCGTCGGAGACGTCGTTCGCAGATCGAGGAACGATCGATCGCGTTATCGAATCGGGAGCAGCCAAGCCTAGTCGCATAATCCACTTTATCGTCGATTCGATTAGCCCTGAACGAGGTGAAACGAGCGCGGTTGGCAGCGGCTAACGAAGCCAATACGAAGAATACGACGTCGTCGCGTTATCATCTTTACGCCGTGTCCTTCCGAGACGTCATTCAAATGCCTCGAAGTAGGCAGCGATTATCGCGACATCCATTACAAGACAGTGGAACGGTGATCCGTCACGCGAGAAAACGTATAGAGTTACGCTTTAACGATAAGAAGGATCGCCTTTCCTCAAAATAAACCTAAACCTGTCCTGGGACTTCATCCCGGTTCCACAATTTTAACTCCAACCATTCACGAGTGACGTTCGCGAGTGTCGAGGCGTTTATCGCACTTTTCCTTTCGGATAATAGCTCTGGCGTCGATGTACAGTATTACCTCTCTTGTTGCAACGAAATCGGGACGTTTTGTAAAAATAAACTTTGCTCGTGTGACACGTTTTATTCGGGAAAACAATTCTTGCCATTTTTTATCTGCAATAAAGCACTCGAGGATGATTCAGTTAGTCTGTAGAGAATTTTTAAAGAGGATTCGATGATCCCACTGTAATTAGTTCTCCGGTATCGTGAAAGAGGACGTTCGAGAACGTGTGAGCGAAATGAATTGGCCGCTGAAGGCCACCGCGTAGCCACCCCCCACCATACCGTCGTTAGTCTACGCCCATTGTATCCTTTATCTATCCCCACCACTCTAAGAAACCCTCAGTCTTTTAAGAACAGCGACAGGTAATGATCCTGCAAGACAGCTGGTCATTTCTGACGCCATTCATGGCTGGGAAAGTAGCCTGTAGCGTTAGGTGTTGATTTTCGTTTCACTTCCGTTTATAGCATAATAGCAGAAGACTCTCAGGATAGAATAATAAATTCAAGTCAGAGAACAGCGCTGGAAATCTTTGAAAGAAGCTTCGTTCAACATTAACGCGACCTGTTTTTCTTTCCAGCGCGCTGTTATCTGACGATACACAAGCCTTTTTTCCCCTCCCGCATATTTCTCTTTAATGTACCGTGAAAACTTTTTTAACTCAGTTACGGGAGTTGTAATGGAAGCGAGCTTCAAGCTTTGCATACTTTAGTTTCAATATACCTCCTTTTTTTTTTACGGTTTTTAATGTCATTGGAAATTCCATTTGATCCTTCAACGAGTTTCTAATAACGCTGAATTACCACCTCGCGCAAAGGTGAAGCATGTTTTTCGTGGATTTATTATTACCGTCGAGGATAAACATTTTTATGCAACCGTGTCAGCGTATCGCTCCAAAGACTGATTCAATTTTCTAGCCAGAATTTTTACTCCTCTTCCCGTTAACCGGCCGGGAATATTGAACTCGGAACTTTTTAACAGACTCAAAACTTTCGCCTTAACACCTATAACTCGACCCTTAAAAAATCTGTTTAAAACTTATTAGGCGTTAATGAGGGTCTTAAACTATCTTCATTATTCAAGGGGAGTCTGCTTCTCAGGAACCTTTTACATACTACTAAAGTGATCTTACATACAAAAAAAAAAGGAAAAAAAATGGTAGATATTCTTTTGACTATTTGAGTGTTGGAATATTTACAATTTTCAGAGAATTTGCAATGTTTAGAATATCTAGAGCATGAGGGCTCTATGTTCTGTATCAGTCCTCTGTTTCGTATAATACGAATTCTCACAACAGAACATTTGTTCACCATATAACGAATAGTTATTTTTTAATACAATCGAATAGTTAAAATCTCTTCGTTGTACGGTTTCGAACGCCATCGTTAGTCTCAGCCCCCGCCTCCT